CTGATCATATACAGATCCGAGATGCCACCTCCCATACAAGCTATCATATCTCTATCATCTTACTTGCAATCAAATGTCCACTCTCCCCAGATCTGGTTCCCCAGATTCATCCAATTTCAGCCAAAACGAAAATTTTCTAAATCTGCGCATTTCGAGAAAGGGGCTTGCAAGTGAATCTCTCTATGATTTTACTTGCTCGCCACTATCCCATCGTGCGCAGATTCGGATATTTTCGCCACCTCCCATACAAGCTATCATCTCTCTATCATCTCTCTATCATCTTACTTGCAATCGAGTATCCACTTTCCCCAGGTCTGGTTTCCCAGGATTATCCAATTTTCGCCAAAAATGAGTCATGTCCAAAAATGGGCCATTTGGGAACTCGGAGATCACAACAGTCCTTTCACAACTTTTGGTCACTCACAATATAAATAAAAATGCAATTAACGTATAAAACGAAAAATTTCCAAATCTGCGCATTCTGGGAAAGGGGCTTGCAAGTGAATCTCTCTATGACTTCACTTACTCGCCACTATCCCATCGTGCGCAGATTTGGAAATTTTCGCATCTTCGCCTAACAGTGGACTTTCCAAATTTAACATGAACATCATGCCACCTGCCATGCAAGCACCCAAGACACAACCAACTTGACAACCATATAGGGTCGGAATAACGGTCGTGCTGGTTGCATAAACTTACCGCTGCGCCACAGTGGATTCATGACATTCAAAAAAAAAATGTCCCCTGATCATACACAGATACGATGCCACCTCCGATGCAAGCACCCAAGACACAACCAACAGGACAACAATATAGGGTCGGAATAACGGTCGTGCTGGTTGCATAAACTTACCACTGCGCCACAGAACCTATCACAGAGCCCTCCCTCTATCACTCGTCACACAGGCCTCACTGCTTTTTACAGTGAATTCCTCTATCAGTTCTCAATGGATCATGAGAGCTGGCCTGGCAGAGGTGATAGGTGACACGACAAATATAAAATTAAGAAAATCATCAATGTGGTCTCTTATATAACTTTTAGGTCCGCATCACCACCAACAGCCCAAAATTCTCACTCTGGCACCCACCCTAAATTCAAGGGAAAATCACTGAATTTCCCTTTAAAAACACTCAAATTTGAGTGAACGGCACTCCGCAAATTTAGCCCTCCCCCAGGTGATGCTCCGGAATCTTCCGTATGCGAGCAGCACCACCGTGTGACGTCACGCACTCGACAGGCCGATAAATTGATTGACAACGCAGGACTTTCAAAGGCTAATTTGACAGAGAACGCCCTTCATAAAAGCATGACATGAAGGGATATTCCAATAGAAAAAACTGTATATTCTATGGTGAACCAGATCCAATCTGGCAGAATGTTACTTCTATATCATTGTGTTCTTTCAGACCCCAGATTATCACGATCTTTACATGCATGCAAGCGCGACTACTCGTCACCCTGCCCAGAATTCCACAGTTGACGAGGGGAGGGCACAGGTGTTATTGTAACAGTCTTAACCACTCTCAGCGCGCGACGACGATGGTGCTTGTATCCCTCAAGAAAGCAACGGACCATGTGGGCGCTATGCAGTTGTACTCTCACTCTTGAACAAAGACTCGAAAGCGCGCTGGGCTGAGCTGTGCAGGGTCAACTGGCCATGCCAAAGTACTGACCATACGTTGCTTCGGGGTCTTTCGTGTTTTCCTTGGTTGACCTCTTACCTGTCAGATTGTGTGATAAGCTTCAGAGAAAGCGTAGTCGAACATAAGCATGCTGATTCGCTCCGTTTTTCTCGTGATTTCAGTGTCCTGAAGGTTGGAATCACGTACGTGATAAGACTTGCCGGGCATCTGAGCTGTACAGCGGCCCGTGCAGGTCCAGTTTCTCATGGGGGAGGACGTGGAAAACTCTTTCTCATCGCCTGTCAGACGCGAAATGAACTTCGCTGCGTTCAGCAAAGATAACCTGGAAGATTGGTCGAATAGGTGTGGGGCTTATTGGACCTGTGAGCACAGTTGACTCCATATGATCATTCTCTTGTAAGCATGCTTCTCCTAGACAAAAAACTGTGCATCGTATCTAACGCGACATTGTTGTACTGGTTGTCGTAAGTACAGGTTCTGTCAGAAGGCCATGTTCCGGTTCTGCGTCATGGTCACCACCTCGGGTGCTTACGTTCATTGAATGAGCGTATCTGCCAGCTTACTTACAGCAACATGCGCTTTCACCGGTTTCACGGCCATCTTCCCGATATCTGGCTCATTCAAGGCCAAGGACATTTGTGATGGGTTGTCAGTCATCTTCAACCGTCATGGGCACCCGGTCCGACTACGTTGTGATCGCGCCAAGGCTTACCTGAGCAAGTATATGAACGATTACTGCCAGCAGTATGGTATTACTATCGCCTATTCCACTCCTCGTTCTCCTTGGACTCTCGGTTGGGTGGAGACTCGCCATCGGGTTATCAACTCTACTCTGGCCCGTCTGATGGAAGGATCAGGACGTTCGTGGAATGATCCAGTAACACTCTCTATGCTCGAAAACTGTATTAACTCATATGGTCTGGAATACGAAGGCAGTGAAAATGTTTGCCCGTATGAGCTTATGTATGGTTTCGCACCTTGCTCCGCCCTACAAGCCCGCCTCAGGGTTGATCGCGACGACCCAGATCTCAACGACATCGAGACCGATGATCCCATCGAGCTCGTCAGTTCAGCACGAGCTAAGGCTACCCGACTTGACAAACTTCATCAGCGTTTCAGGACCATATGGCAAGACCGCCGTGAACGTGTGACTGACAACCGCGATAGCGGACAAGACGACAATCAGCAGGGCTCGAATGCCAGCACCAAGCCTATTCGTGCTGCGAAGGAGCGCGCTCTGCGTGCGTTGCAGCAACATTTTCTGCGCGATGACGATGAACACTTGTAGTCTCTCGTTATCACCACTTATCATCAGAGAAATCGTTTATGGGGGGCGAGGCTGAGCACTCTATCCCTTCCATGGATTTCCTCGTTTTTCAGTCTCTTTTTACTTACTCGTCATTAGTCATACTCTCTCCATTATTGGACGGTTTGTGCGGTTTGGGTGTATCGACCGCGCCACGCCCGCGTGACGTAGTTTGTACTTGCGTGCCTTTGCGCATGCGTGTCCTCATTCGTTCGAAGTGATCATCAAACATCCGTCACTACCCCTTCGTCTCTATGCCTTCGAGTCGTGTTTCTAAGAAGTCCAACGAGCCTGCTCAAGGGTCTGGCGATCCCCCTCGTTCAACTTACGCTGTAGAACTCCAGATGATCGCTAGAATGAACTTCATTCTAGCGATCATCTGGAGTTCTCCTCGAGTGTCTCATCTTTGCTTCGCGAAACCCGCGGGGACGAATGTGCTAATGCGTGGGGAGAACGTGTTGTCCCTAAACTCAACGAGTTCGTCGAACGGCAAGGAGACAACTGGGTATGGTATGTGATTGGTTGCACGGCACTAAACAATATCAGCTCACCAAGAAAATGTTTTTGCCTGTAGTCTGGTATCCCATTGCATCTCACTGAACTAATCGCAAAAGAGGTGGAGGAGCTCCGACAGGATAAATCTGACATACTGCGAGCTTTGGAAGCTCCACATTATGACACGTCATCTCGTGCAGCTCTCATAGAGCCCAGCTCAGTCAACATTGGTAAGGATTGAGTTGAAGACTTCGAGAAAAAATGGGTTGCAAATCTCATAGAACACAAGAATCGATGTACCAAAATACGGCAAGCTTCGCTGATGACTTACGATGTGTCACGTAACTTGGTGAGACCGATGCAGCTGAGTTTCGTTCCGATGGATAAGCCTCCTGACAGGTCAGCGCAATGGCAGGGTCTGTTGCCGTGCTTTGTGGATGCACCTTCAGTCTCGTGAAAGCTTCGTGGATCGGAAAAAAATTACTAGGTGCTAACCAGTAATTACCAAGGACTGGTCAATAGGATCCCCTATTAACCAGTCCTTGAGCTTCTGGCTAAATCTACATACCTCTACATGACTGGTTAATCGGCTAACCAGTCCTCCTGTGAACTCCAAAGTAATATTCAAGCAGCACATAGCTGAGTGACCTAGTAGAATCCTTCGGTTTGATCCCTTCACCACGATAAAAGGTGAACAGAACCACTCACCAGTCTTCCTCTCCAATTGCACTGGAACGATAACTTCATGATGAGATACTTCTGCTGCACCAGCATACGATAATTACACGGGTGTCTTCAACTTTCGCAAGCACGCGTCATTCGATGCAATTAGCTGGGTCGCTGCTTCGAACTCGACATGCCGGCCGAACCATACTTCTGAACTTTTCGAGCTTCGAGGCTCGATCTCGAATCGATTCGATTCGTTCCCAGAAGTTATATAATCGATTGGTTCAATGTCGATACCGGGAACCGAGAATCGATCTCGAATCGAATCTTTCGATTCAGGAGCGCCGGTTCGATCCAAGCCTTGGATTCCAAGGCTACGGCATATTTATGTATTTTCTATTTCGAAAAGTCGCGTACGATGGAACCACTGAAACCACTGAAACCCAGCACCTGCTCGTGAGCGTCCCTAAATTCCTCGCCTCTAAAGTGCTCAATCCGCCCCTAAATGGCTCAATCCGCCCCTGAATTACTCGTACCTGCCCCTAACTTTTCTAGCTACCCGAGCGTCCCTGAAGCGTCACTGCAAGCGTGCCATGTGCCTTTGTTGACTGCCATGACATCTCGAGGAAAACTCTTGTGCATTACGCATTACGCTTGACTTTGGCCGTCTCAAAGATACATGTTTGAACTTGACCAGCCACTGGCTGGAATGTTCCGAAACCTTGGCCGACGCAACGATCAATCTAGTTTCACATCAGTGTGTTAAGTCGCTCTATCCACTGACCTTGGCCGTCCTGAACACGTACTCAGCGTACTGAACTCCACCACGCAACTACATTTATTAGATGAGCACACTGGTATGGGTCACTGAGACAGAGACTGTGCCATGTATGTCAGTCTCAGAGAAGCTGGTACGATAGCAGATGACTCATCCAACTTTAGAACGCATGTGGCATATTGGAGCAATTTAGGGGCGGATTGAGCAATTTAGAGGCGGATTGAGTAATTTAGGGGCGGGGCGAGGAATACGGATTTTTGAACCTATGCTATATGCGATAGCTATTAGAGGTATTAGGGTACTAGGGATATTGAATTTGCGTTGTAGATTATACTCAGAAATAGTATTTGAATAATCTATTTCTGAATTACCGAAGAACAATCTCGAGGGTTCGTCCAGGCCGAACCCGGGGAATACATCCTTCCGACCTGGGGAATCGGCATCTGCAGAATATCTGGCTGTTGCCGCCATTGGCAGCGTGCCACAGCGAAGCGATTCGCCTCGGGCGAACAGCGAGGTCGTGCGCGGGTATCAAATATCTCGCTGATAGAGTCTATCCGAGTCAGATAATCAGACAGACTACCAGTGCATGACAGGCACTGCCTGTGGCTATCAACTGAGCAGTCTAGCCTCGACCCTCACTTTTTCTTCGCGCGTCACGCGCGTGGAAGTGCCTTATTAAAGGCATCCTGAATTATTGCAATACTAATAGTATTATACTATGATAGGTGCTGTAGACCATATAAGTAAGCCTCAATGCTGAGGTAAAAGAGAATTTCAATGGATTTCGAATTTCGAGGTGGATCGATTTCTCGAATCGAATCGATTCGTCTGCCCGCCGCGGCATCCTCGATTGATTAGCACCGAACAATCGATCGATTTTCGATATCTCGATCCAATCGAGCCTCGGTCCGTTGCATGCTAACTTCGGAGCTGTATCATCGGCTCCAATCGCGTACACTCCTTGAACTTCTTCCACGAATACTTCCACGCTCCCAGTTGGTTGTGCCGATTTCCCAGGAGATCCAGGGCCGTTGGGTTTCTGGACTTCACCAGCAACACCAGAAGTCGATACGATAGAAGGACCTCGCGGCGAGGTCCTTCTATCGTATCGAGGTCCTTCTGTCCTGATTTCTCACGTAATGGCGGGCGAGGTCCTCGCCAGGTGCAGTACTCGAAGTCGACTGCCAACAGCAGTTTCAGTGTGGACTGGCTGCGTGGGTGGTTCAACGGGATTGACCCCATGACGTAATAAGCCAGTACAATGTCTGGTTAATAGATATTGTACTGCCACTTCAAGTACAGCCAGGGACAGAAATAAGCCATATATACACCTACAGGCGTAAAAACGCTTATTGGTATTAGGAATCCGGATAGTCAAGAGTTTTTGGAGCACCTGACCAGTGGCCAGATGCATGAATGCATCTTGTAAATCTAGGCAGACTATGTGCGGGACAGACCGGAACATATAATACAAATGTTCGAGCTTAATCTGCCGAAATCGCAGTTTGCCAAAACGTTTCAATAACTGATTAATCTGTATGCAAGGGAAAATGGGTCTTATCCAAGGTTTTTGGATAGGATAATACGTTGTTGTGGTCACCCAAGGATACTCATCTGCAGCACTATCTGGAACATGAGCTAGTTTACCTTCTGCCACAAACGCAGCAACAAGCTCGTCGCACTTGCGTTGCACATCAGGCGGTGCAAAAGTGTAATTTTTATGGGTTTTCACATAAGATGGTGGGAGTTTACGTGCTTCAAGCAAAACAGCATCAGAGACTTCTGCTATGAACTGTGATTGAGATGGATTATCAGGGTTGGGTTGGATTCCAATCTGTAACCATCCAAAATCTAAGATTTTAAATCTTTGATGACCAAAAAGGAATGCTTAGAAGGGACAACCTCAGCAGGTGAAGGTTGTGTGCTGACAGTCAGTACTGGCTGAGCGTCAGGCTGTGGAAGCGTAGGGTGAACAGGTATGATCGGTATAGTGCCAGAGCGTAAAAATCTCGTAACTGGCTGTAATCCCAAACGTGTGTCAAGGAATAATCCATCCTCGAAGAAACGAAGTTCATCAAGCCCGATCGAGCCATCGACACCATGGGCGATGTGCTTAACAATAAACGGTGACCACTCAAGTGTAGTAGTGATATCACCACGAGCAGCAGAGAGTGTGATAGTATAAGAGAGTTGCCAAAGTGTCGACCCGACCAGCAGTGCAAAATGACGCAGACTGATCCACTAGACATGCAGTGAGATCAGATTGCAATAGGTTTTGAGCTAACCGATGAGTAACTAGAGAATGCGTGCAGCCCGTATCGACAACAAGGAGAGGTGCTGCGGGTATACTATTAGGGGGTTTGATAGCTATCAATGAAAGTGTAGACTGAATGGTTTGGACCGAAGCTGACGAAGAAGTTCAGTGCACCTGCCCAGTGGTTGGTTTGGACGCTGCGTCAGAAGTCGGCAGTCGAGTAACACGAGAAGCCTGCTGTTCTAAAGGTTAGTGAGAGAAACGGCATTTCTCGCCAAACCGACATTTACCAGTAAAAATCTGGTAGATACAGCGTTTCTGGGCCTTACAAGTTTCAAACTTGCTAGGGTCTTGGTCCTTAAAGGCCCTTTAATAAAGGGTATTGCTCGTTCGCCAGTACTACTGGGAAGAGACGAAACAAGAGGGTTGGTGGACTTTGAGTTGCCATGGGATCCTGGTGAACCAGGTGAACGTTGGAATCCAGAAAAAGACTTATGAGCGGCTTGAACCCGTTGACGAGCATCTGGACGCGATGCTAAGTGATGAACTGACAGGTTGGGATCAAGAAGCGAGGTATTAGCTGCAATAGCTAACTCAGTCCGTAAGCCAAGTTTGAAGATTCGGCTGAGCTGCGAATCAGATAGTTTATAGTCAACAGCAGCACAATCAGCCCGAAGTGCTAGGAGTCTAGCAAGGTAATCATATACAGACTCGAAAGGAGCCTGGACGAAAGAGTCGATACGATCGTCGAGACGTTAGACTTAGAGTCCTGAGATTGTTAGAGTCCCCATAGGTTGTACGAAGCCAATGAACGCCTCTATCAAGAACAGTTGTGTAATCAACAAGCCCTAGATCAGACTGTGCGGAAGGTTGGACCGCCGACAGAAGCCCTGCTTTGACATTCTCTCCGCAGCAATGAACTAAATAATGCCACGCTAATTTCGAGCCCAGTTCAAGGTGAGTAATTTCACGCTGAATAGCATGTAGAATAGAATTTATAGGGCGAGAATCAGAAAGTCCAGCATAAGGGCGATTATTAGAAATACGCATGGCTGTGATAGTCTGTACAGCTTTCATACACTCAGCTACCACCTTGGGATCATCGCTCGATCCTGCCACTGATCGCACATTTCCAGCAGAGGTTGCGCTAAAAATCCCAGTGTAACGGGGTGGATTGCGAACAGACGAGGCGTGGGAATCAGCAGCAGATGAAGGAGGTAGAGGGGCTAGACCTTTAGCTAGCCGGGAGAAATAAATTTCGCGATATTTAATACGATCGCGAAGTTCGGGCAAGGCGGATAGAGCGTGTTCAAGTTCCTCAAGTTGAACACGGTGTAAAAGCCCAACATCAACGTCTAGAAAGTCGGCTAACGTTTGTTCCCCATCCAGAGTAAAAAGAGCGAGCTTACCTGGTTCATCAGTAGGCATAACGGGTTCTCCACCAAGTTGTTGCAACTCAAAGCTTATCCAAAGTGCTCGGACAAATCGATTAGCTGGGCGTGCGCACAACATCCAGGCCAGATATATTTTCACATGTCACATCCCGGGATCGAACCTCCGAGCTCCCGGTTACTAGCCCAACAGTTGGGTCCCAACTTGCAAACCCTCTCGAGTCTGTTTGGCAACAAGCGTCATGTCCCTGCTGAGTATGACCTCTTTCTTCTGGACTCCACACGTTTCCCTTCTCGGTGCTCTTCTCTGTGAAGCCTTTGTCACGCGCCACGAAATTTTCAGAACCACTCCGAGTGGTTCTGGAATCTGCGAAAGGCTCTCAGAATCGCGCAAAAGCTCCTTTGAACGTGCTAAGAACCACTTCTGGAAACGTTTCTGGGATCGTTTCCGGAGCTGGGTCTATGAACAGAAAATCCCAGAATCGTTTCTAGAAACGCTTCTCAAATTTAAAACCGGTCTATTGAGCTGTTCAATTTGAACAGGCGGACAGTTTACTAAAATCAACAGCGCGGGGCGAGCGAGAAAGTAGCTCGACTGTGCACGATTTCGCCCGAAGGCCCGAACGCACGATTTCCCTTGAAAAGTTACAACTAGTTTGTGTAGCCAAGTAGTGAGACGTTCCTCGCAACATATATTCATAGTGAGCATTGTTCCAACACCGTTGATGAATTCTCCATACACCATTAGTTGCTGCTGTCAATATCACCGAACAACTCCGAAGCAATTGTTCCAATTACCGAGATTTTCTCTCATTTTTGATCATCAGCCTTCCTATTTCTTTTATTTTCACCTGCATTGTTGTGACGAGAGATTCTAATGCTGGTCAAGTGCGAAACGAAATCGAACAGGGTGAAAGGTCTATCATTCCACCCAAAGCAGACATGGATACTCGCCTCTCTCCACAGTGGGGCAATCCAGCTTTGGGACTATCGGTAGGGTATCCAAATCATGGCTCGCACTGGTGCTCAATGTCGATACTCAACAAGGGATCATACGTCGCATTTTGATCATTCAATATTGACGTGTAGCTCTGAGCAAAGATCAATCAGTGGTCCTTTCAGGCTGGGTACACTTATCGACAAATTTGAGGAACATGATGGCCCTGTGAGAGGGGTATGTTTTCATCGTACTCAACCTTTGTTCGTCTCCGGAGGAGATGATTACAAGATCAAGGTGAGCCATACAAGCGGACCTTCCGTCATGCTCGCTTCATTGATCAGGTTTGGAATTATCGTCTGCGCCGATGCATGTTCACGCTATTGGGTCATCTCGACTATATCAGAACTGTTCAATTCCATAATGAGTACTGATCTATTGTCACTGTGTTTTACATCCCCTTCTTGACAGGTATCCATGGATCGTCTCCGCATCAGATGATCAAACTGTGAGGATCTGGAACTGGCAGTCCAGATCGTGTATCGCGGTCTTGACGGGTGGGCTTCCTATACCAACACCGCCCTCCCATCATATTATCACCTATTTTCAGGACATAATCATTATGTTATGAGCGCTCAATTCCACCCAACTCAAGACCTTGTCGTCAGTGCTAGTCTGGACCAGACCATCAGAGTATGGGACACGACAGGTCTGAGGTAGTAGTAGTATCAACACCTCATCAGTGCTGAGACCTTTCACAACATGCTTCAGGGATAAGACCGTGTCGATTACCTCGATGGGCATGGGAGGTATGATGGGGCCTATGGGAGGTAGTGCTAATGTTAATGCCATATCGTGAGTGCGTCGTATCTTAGGTAGAATGGGGAACAGAGGGGTTGCTGGATCACTAGGGAGCGGTGCGGACATGTTTGGAACGACGGATGCTATCGTTAAGTAATATCACTGGCTCTTGGCAGGATAGCAATTGCCTCGATTTGGGCAGCGTCATGAGGTTCATATCCGCAATAGAAATCGAATTAATGGTTTTTGTTCGAAGAGGCCTCAGTATTCGGAATGATAGCCCCCCTATCGGTCGCTCCACTATGTGACTATTGGTCGCATCGTTGATAGGTACGTGCTTGAAGGCCACGAGCGTGGTGTCAACTGGGCGTCATTCCATCCCACCATGCCTCTTATCGTATCTGGTAATGATCAGCATCTAATAATGAAGTATTCAATATTCCCCTTAGGTTCTGATGATCGTCTGATCAAGATATGGCGGATGGGTGATGGGAAGGCGTGGGAAGTGGATACCCTCAGAGGCCACTTCAACAACGTCTCGGCTGTCTTTTTCACCCGTAATACTCCTCGGCTATCTCTGGGAACAGATACTCTCCTCGGTACATATCTCATTCCTGCTTCGATCATCATTCCTCTTACATAGTGTAGCAAAAGTCTTGAATATGATAGACGGGTGAAATAGTTAGCCTAGAAATAGTTAGTTAGCATAATAGTTGAGCCTCGCTTCAGCCTCAAACACCACTTAGTTGTTACCACTGTATCATAAATCTCGAGAACGTGGACAATAGTTGAGGCCTTCATCAGCATTTCTCTCGTTGTTCAGCTAAGAAGGATCTTATCATATCCGACTCGGAGGATCGTACAATCAGAGTCTGGGATGCCACCAAGAGGGTTGCTATACATACCTTTAAGTAATGTACCACTTGGTGTCCGCTCGGGCATGCTGAGATACTCCTTCAGGCGCGAGAATGATCGTTTTTGGATTCTGGCTGTACATCCGACCAACAGCCTCATCGCAGCCGGTCATGATTCTGGCATGGTCGTTTTTAAGCTCGATCGTGAGAGACCAGTGTTTGGCCTTGGTAGCAGTAGCAGTCACGGTGGACAGGTAGGGTGTTTATTATTATCTAATACGTGTTTTAAGTTGCCATCAGTCGCTGTATCTGGCAAATGGTGGCTACCTTACCGTACAGAACATCGACCAGGCCAGGCCTCAGCCAGGAACAACTGAAAGTACGTCTAGCAACATCTGTCGTGAGGGCGTTACTACTGCTGCTGGTTTAGTTACTCCTCAGTCGACTAGTCTGGCATCTCTGAGGCGTCCACCGAACGCTATGGTATCGTCGCTGAGGTCTTTGATGGTGAATCCTTTTTCGAGCACTGATATGAACGCTATTGTCATGTATGTTGACCAGCAAGGAGTCGGTAAGATGCGGGTGGTATGGCCACCCACGTGAAGGGAATGTCATTGGATGAGCGCGTTCTTCTTGGACTATTTCGAGTCTCTTCATCTACCCTATTGATTCTGATATCATGTAGGTTCGTATGATCTCTACTCCTGCACTAACGCCCAGCTCGCCCAAGGACTTCGAGATCCTCTAGCTCCGAAGGAAGGCGCTGCCTGTAACGGTGCATGCTTCGTGAGCAGGAACAGACTGGCGGTAATAGTAGCGTGGTAGTGGCGATTATTTGGTCGATTCTACTTGTTAGGTACTCCATCGAGACAATACGATCGGATTATACAATTTGAATAACGAGTTGGTGAAGAAGTTCGATCCACCGGTGCCCAAGAATCAGAGCAACGTTGAGGCCATCTACCAGGGCGGGAACAACAAGGTGGGTATAGACTTCCTCTTGTAGAGGTCATCGTTGGTGTTAGGTTCTCCTGCGGTCTGGGGAGGTAGTGCAGCTATTCGACTTCAACGCGAGGAGTGTGGTTGGCGAGATCACTGTGGCTGGTGGTGTCCGTTACGTCGTGTGGAGCAAGAACATGGAGTAAGCGCGGGAGTAGCTCCCTGTGGGCTTACTATTTGCCTTGTCCAGTTACGTGGCCTTTTTGGGCAAGCATAACATCACATTAGCTAACGGGCGTAACTTGGAGCTCCTACATTCTCTACATGAGAACGTCAGGGTGAAGTCGGGTGTAAGTATGGGCTACTCTGATGGGCATTAATGTGGAGCCGCAGGTATGGGATGAGACGCAGCCTGGGGTGTTCGTCTTCACTACCCTATCGCATATTAAATACACAATCGTGAACGGCGACTATGGTATTATCAACAGTAAGAGTGGAGGGAGTCTATTATGGTAGCATGATTGGCGTCGGTCGGCTCAGGTCTGGCTAATGTGTATTATCTGTGCCGAGTAGCCAAGCAGAGTGTCGTCTACCTCGACAGAGAGAACGTCATTCACAAGCGGCCGTTTAATAATGCTGAGTATGGCTGTCGTGCTGGGTGCATCGGTGATTGTGTTATTGGAATGTAGGTACTGTTTTAAGATCGCGTTGTGGCAGAAGAGGTATGATGACGTTAAGAAGTGGATTAAACAGGCTCGCATTTGCGGGAATGTTGGAATAGGGTAGTGATAGGGATGGTGCTCATCCTTAGCGCGGTCGTGATTGTGAATTGGTTAGAGAAATACATACAATGACGGAATATGTGGGTATTTCACCCATTGCGATATTATCGGTCGGTTACGGTGAATCACATTTTGGTAGGTCAGTTGCTGTTTGAGGTGTATGAGTGTAGGTATCTGAAGTCCAAGGGATATCCAGAAGTCGCCCTCCAGTTCGTGGACGATCCTCTCACACGCTTCAATTTGAGTTTGGAATTTGGTCATTTGGACGAGGCTTTGAGTTGCGCTAAGAAGATCGACCAGAAGGTATTTTTTTCTAATTTTCAAGGTCGAATATCTTGTGGTATTTTCAGGGCGTGTGGGATCGTCTGGGGAAGGAAGCACTACGACAAGGAAATGTGCAGGTATGATCGCGATGGTGATGAAGCAGTGGACGGAGGTGTCGATCAGATGGTGGAGATGGTGTACCAGAAGACCAGGAACCTTTCTGGTCTCTCCTTCCTGTACCTGTCCACTGGCAATCGGGACAAGCTAAAAAAGATGCTTGCTATCGCTAAGAAGAGGAACGATCCTATGGAAAGGTAAACTCAACACTCTGTTGAATTCGCAATTGTGTGGGAAATCGATCCGGATACCGATCATGTAACGCCTGCTGATGTCCAGGTTCAACACTTCGATGTTTTTGGGAGATGTGGAGGAGCGTGTGAGGGTCCTTGCCGAGGCTGGTCAGCTCCCATTGGCGACTATTATGGCCAGTATGTGATGGGTGTTCGTACTATGCAGGAGAATCGGCAATTTCTCTCCTTCAGAGACGTATGGTCTGAATGATCTTCACTCTGAGCTGTGTGCCGGCAACCAGGGAGCAGCTACTGGTACGTCACCGTCAGTTTGTCTCGTTGAGGTCTATATTTAGATGGGTATGGAATGACCCGCGATAAGGAGGCCTCGTCGTTGCTGCAGCCTCCAGTGCCGTTGACGAGGGCAGCTACTACCAACTGGCCACTCCTTATGAGCATGGAGCAAATCTTTGACAATAAGTGGGCTGGTGTGGAGGAGGCGGCGGTGGCAGTGGATGAGGAGGCACAACAGACGACCTTCCTGCCTGGCTTTGATGATGATGAGGAGGAAGGGGGGACTGCACCCAATGCGGGTGGTGGATTTGATGGTAGTAGAGTGTTTGACATCGATTTTGAACTCCCTATTTCAGCATGGGGTGATGATGCGCTCGCCTCTACTGAGGAGGAAGTGGACATTGGCAACGCCTGGGGCTCGGATGAGGACTTGGGTAGTCAGTGTTGGTCTCTCTATAGGGTTACTTCTATCTGTAATGAGCAGGCCTTGGTGATCTCGATTTGCCAGCTGGTCCTGAAGTGCAGGCTGTTGACGATAGTGTGGTGACACCTGGTGAGTCGCTTCTGATCTACGCCCTCGACTACTATTGTTGGTCAGGGGAAGGGTATTCGAGGCGGTGGTTGAGGAATCGCAAGATGGTTCCTGACCTCATCGCTGCTGGGGACTTTGATGAGGCCTTAGCGACCCTGCAGAGAAGGTAGTCTTTGAATATACTAAAGATGGCTAGTGGTATTTTGTGTTATTGTTCAGAATTGGCCTGATCAATGCCATACCGTTGAAGCCACTTTTCGAAGAGGTTTACAGTGCCACTCGCTGCAGGTAGAGTCCATATCCCGATTGTTACGGCTGGTGTGATGTTACCTCTCAGTCTGCCCTCATTACCTCTAGAGCCATCGATTGCTCTCCCGGTTGTCACGTCTACTAGTAGTAGGCTTGGAGTTCCTGGAGCGGAAATTGAACCTGCAGGGCTGTTTACGGTATCGCATTGTGATTTGAGGAAGTTACGGTACTAGATGTACATCAGGTCCAATTCCTTTTGGGGAAACTCAGGGAAGGGCACAAGCTAACGACGATGGGCAAGTTCAGAGACTCTCTGGATGTTTTCCGTTATGTAAGTTGTGTCGTCAACTGCTTTGAAAGATTAATGATAAACTTGCCGTGAATACTCGCAGGGCATGCTCACTTTCAGAGGGTACTACCCTCCCAGTCTGTTGATCCCCGGACGCTCGTCTATTTCGGGCAGTAATCATTGTCTTTTGTGCAGGTCCTTCAAGCCTGTACAATGGCGACGGCCGGTAACACTGAAGAGGAAGCTCAGCTCACGGAGTTCATCGAGGTCTGTTCCCAGTATGTATAATCCCGTCCTCATGGATATGGGGTAACTACTGTTGGGTAATCAGATACGTTCAAGGGATGCGATTGGAGACTTCTAGGAGAGAACTGCCGCATGATCAGGTGAGGGCTGTGGGTTCACTTGCATGTCGTGATAGGGAACCACTCTATTGCTGCTGGAATATATGGTCGCTTTTCTCAGTTGAGCTCGGGTGTTTCCTCACCAATTGTAGGGGTTTCGTCGGGAACATAAACTGAATGGTTTCCCTGAATTTGCTCGGATTTTCTACTTCGTCACTAACAAACGTAGATAAAAATATGCGTATTCTCTTACACTATAGCACAGGAATAGTCCAATTCGTGTGTGACGGTTGGTATGAGCTTCTTTTCAGGTGAACCGGTCTTTAGAGTTGTCGGCCTACTTCACATGTGTGAACCTGCAACCATCTCATCATCTACTTACATTGAGAGCGGCCATGACTCAAAACTTTAAGGCTCATAACTACTTGACGGCAGCTAATATGGCTCGTAAGTGTGATATGGGTCTTCGTCGTTGTAGTTACGTGGAATGTGCGTCTCAGGTCGGCTGATGTTGGGTAATTTTGGCGCCAGTAAGACGCCCGAAGTGGTGAACCAAGCTAGGAAGATTCTGGCTGTTTGTGAACAGAAGGGAACGGATGCTCACGAGATAAATTTTGATAGCAGTGACACAGACCCTAGGTTGATCATATGCTCCAGGACGATGACCATCATCGACTCTAGCAGAGGTGATAATACGTGCATGCGTGCAAGGCATTAGTTCGACGCTCACTCGGTCATAGTGATGTGGAGTCTGTAAAATTACCCGTTCCCTGGGCAACGTGTCGAAGGTTTTCGGGTTCGAATTGCCTGGGATATCCCGTGAAATTCGGTGTCGGTGTATATTTGGCATTCACCGCAATATACCTTGCTTGTTCGCTCAAGTTCTGTTAGAATGAGATTGTCAAGTGTGGGAGGTGAGGTGTCTAATTCTGGGTTTATCATATTTCTGCGTGTTAGGCGAGGCGGTTGTCCGTTGCCCTTACTGCAGTGCTAACTACAAGGCGGCATATGCAGGGAGTTTATGCGATGTTTGCCAGCTGTCTGAGATAGGCGCCCGTGAGTGTCACTGTTCTGACTGGCTAAATGTGCTCATCATTCGCGTGTTGCAGGTGTGCTCGGTGTCCAATTCCGTCCTATATGAAGAGGAGACAGCTTGAGCGAGGGACTAATGGATGAGTATGCGATCGGATGTTTCTAAGACGATAGAGACGTCGCACCAATTTTCATTCTCTTCTGTCTTGCGTAGTTCTACTTAGTGGGAGTGTTCGTTAAGATAATTGAACGTTATTCTCGTTAAGCAATGTCTGATTCCCCAGCTGATAATCATAACGGTGAGCAGGAGCACCAGGATCAGCAGGAGGAGAACAAGGAGCAGGAGCCACCCCAGTCACTGCAGTTAAAGGTAGCAAGGGATCTTTGGATGACTCGTGTCACGCTGGTTGCAGGTCAAGAACGCAGAAGGCAAGGAGGTGATGTTCAAGTTGAAGCGTGGAACTCCGTTGCGCAAGGTATTCAGTTGTGACTTCACTCTGCATCGTATGGTTGGTTGACCAGTTGATGGATGCCTACTGTACAAGGGAAGGATTACCTGCGGACGGCGTGAGGTTCCTCTATGATGGAGAGAGGATTAACCGCGACAACACCCCCCAGGAGCTGGATATGCAGGACCAGGATGAGATTGATGTACGATTCATGGCTTGAGTCAGGCTCTTGTCGGTTACGTCAAAGCTTGACAAGGTTCTTCTCAGGCTCTCGTCGAGCAGACAGGCGGCTGCAGTCTCTTCTAAATAGTAGTAAACGTTGAATGGGTTGCCGTCAGATCGAAGTGGTTATAGACACCAAGCATTCTCATTCGTTAATATGCGTCGCGTTGCTCAGTATTGATAGATCGTCGTGGAACGATAGGTTGTACTGGGAATCGTGGCAGCTCTCATCACAAATCTTCATGTTTATTGTAAATACATGGGGGACAACGTGAGTGGTATGAGTATATCATAAAGAAGTATGGAAATGTTGGTCGCCAATGGTCTGATTGCCGCTGGGAGCGGTAGGATGAGGCGACAAGGTACGAGCCCGCTTAGTTCGGGTTCTACTAGCAACTCCAGACACGGTTGGAAGGGAAGTACGTACTATGCCAACAGGAAACAGGGAGTGTAGTAAAGTAGGACAAGACAAATAGAGAGAGTAGTTATATTGCACGTACTCAAGACAAACGGATACGCAGGTACGCAAGCACAACTGGCGCCAGCCAGATGATGCGTGCGCGTGCCGCATAGAAGCAAGGAAGCGTCAGCATTTGTAAGGCCCTGAGAAGGTTATGGTAGGGTAAAAATGATTCTATCGGGAGGACTCTAAGAATGGCCGGCTTTGAGTGAAGACATTGAACAGGACAACGTTGCGTGCAGAATTCGGTTCAGTCCTAGGCTCGATAGATGTCGACACGTCAATGATGTGACATTATCTCTCAGATATACGACAGATATACTCAGGAACGACTGTAATAACATGCACCGCTAGTCTAATGGTTAGGATATCTGCCTTCCAAGCAGATGGTCCGGGTTCGATTCCCGGGCGGTGCAGTATTATAACAAACACATGACCATAACTATGAATAGGACCTACTCCACAGATGTTGGAATATTCGCTTGGCTCCCTTACCTATGGATCATTTGACCTGCAATCATTTTCCTCGAAGACATTCTTGAAAGAGCATCCTACATATTATATTTTACTCAAGTTCCGCAAAACATTCTCAACGTGAAGTCTTGACCATGGAGGTCACGGCTATTCAGTAATCAATCGAAGCATTATGATTGTGTCATTAACTAATAATGATGACCTGCTGATAGCTGGAGTGCTTATTCGGTAGCTCTAATAATACTACCATGGTGATGTCGGATCGCACTCTCAATAAAGCGAGTCGGGAAAGATATTGTGTACTCTTAACACCTCAGCATTTGGGGACCGTAGCGACTCCTTTCGAGCTTCTCAGCTCCTGCTCTTAGATTCTCCTCAGCTCTTAGATCCTCTCCACCCAATGAATCTTCTGTCGTCCAGGCTGACCTGCCGGGAGCTGGCAAAATGCAGTATGAAAGTTAAGTTGTGATATTTGGATGCTTTTTGAGAAGATTTTTCTTCACTCTGATGTGTGCTACTCCTGCTGATACGTGCCGTAACGTCACTATGTGGATATTTCTTATTGACATGAGCCTGTGGCAAAGCCACTCTACGTGTAGCATTAGAGCAAAACCTTCCTATCGCTTTCTCTTCCACATAACGACGCTTCCCGAGGGAAGTTTTATAGATCTTTTGCGCCGAGAACTTCCATCCCCTTGTCAACATGGCTGTTCGCGGTGCGGCACTGCGATCCTACTTGACCCCATAACGAGCGATTCTTCAAGGACTGTAATCCGCGAGAAACATCTGGGGAATGCGTAGTTGTTCAGCAGGAGTGTTGGGATTTAATAAATCCGATTTATCCAGCACGGGATTGCCTTCTTTATCCGTATTCCTCTCCATGTTGACCAACTACTCTGTGTATTATATAGGTCAAGTCATTCATGACTTGACCCTGAGTCAGTCCGATGTACTAGTGTCGTAACATTTCCCTGAGTCAGTCCGCCTATCTATGGCCTATGACGGGGGCATGCATTCTGGGAAGCCTTATATAACGCCGTCTCCATCAGGCGTGAGAATTGTTGCCGATCTTTTCGCCAAGAGGCCCGCAATATAGCGCAGCAGTCATGATGCACTAGTTTAGTTCTTATGTGAAGGACAATACAGGACTATCTCGTCCTATTGATTGGAGCTGATCTCCCGCATGTTGACTGAGCAGGGGCGGTGGCGCTCTGAGCTTGCGGCTAGCAGCATCATCATCATGGATCTCTGCATGGACTCGGCAATATTATCTAGATCACTGTGATCATGTTATTCCATGTTTCACCTCATTCAGATTGTCTCGCGGATCTTGTGTTGTTGTTCTGTAATCACTGACGCTTATCATCCGGCAGTTGTCCAGGCTCCTGAAATGTTAGCAACCAAGCTCTTTGTTTTGCCGATTATTCCTCTATTGGGTATCCTTTGTAACTCCATAACGGAAGCTCATGAATTCAGACAGGGCAGCAAGCTGAGAATACTGACTGATGAGACCTTCGAGCACGACACACAGGCGTCGACTGGCAGCACTACTGGTGCGCTCATACGCCCACTCGTAACGTAGTTGAGGTGAGTCGGATGTGCATCAGGTCCGTGGTTCGTTATGTTTTACGCTCCATGGTGTGGTCATTGCCAAAAGCTCTTACCAACATGGGAGGATCTTGCAGATGAAATGTGAGTAATTGAGGTGTTATGACGTTCGGATATGGAGCATATCGAGCTGATCTATCTCTACATATCTGGTAGGTATGGTCGAGTGAATGTAGCTGCAGTTGACGTTATGGCAAATACTGAAGTTGGATCTAGGTGAGAATATTTTACCTCCTATCGTTCTTGAAAATCGGTCGCACCAGTATGTAGAATAGGTGCTGGCAGTGATAAATTATGGTCTTTCACTTAGCACTGCTAAGTTAGCAGTGAACATTTCACATATTTTTCACATCAGTTAGCCCCGGTACTTCCTCGTCACTTTCGTTCTCTTACTGTGGGTATACTGTGATCCGCGTTATATAGTTTTGTAATAGCAAGACCCTCTCTGCATAGGTTTACGATAAAGAGGTTGCCTACTCTGTATATGATCAATCAGAGCAAGATATATCGGTATGGAGGGCAGAGAACCTTAGAGGCTCTCTCCAAGTTTGCCAGCTCTCCCGAGGTCTATGCCACTGAAGCCACCGAAGCCATGGTAACACGCTTCTGGTGCGGCCGAGAAGTGATAAGCTTGTCTGTTAGGATGTCCCCCCGCCCCCTAGTGGGTTGAAGCATGCCTGGGCGCAAGTGGAGAGACTTGTGAGGACAGTTTGATGAACATCAGTACTCCTAATAGCCTGCGTCATCTCAGATCCAGTCGAAGTTTGTCACAGATCACCCTATCATTGTTGCTCTGTGCTTCTCTGGTTCTATGTTTTTGCTTATGGCGATAAGTGCTTATGCGCTATTCTTGTGCACGTAAGGAAACGATTCGTTTCCTTACGTGGGACTTCGTTTCAAACGAAGTCCCTTCGTGGTCTACGGGTAGTTCTACTCGCAATGGAACACTTGTCGATGAAAGCCGCTCTCGAATAGATCGATGCTTATGTGTTAGGAACGTGTCGGATGCGGATGCCGAGGCCGAACTCCGTAGGCAGCTCAAAGTCGAGAAGAATAAGCAAAGCGGTGCCCCAGCAGAGGAGCGCACAGAGGGAAAGGCTAGCGATGATGTCAGTGAGAGCAAAAAGGAGAAGTAGATCTGAATTGTGCCCTAAGTCATTTCTCCAAACTATCTGCTGTCTTTCGTTGCACCATTTTGGCAAAGCACCTCATGATGCGCAGGCGCTGGATGAGCTCTGAGCGGTTCGTTTTTGTACGAAGCCTCGAGCTGACGTGTGAGGAAGTTTGGCTCTGTAGTATTCAACTTGAATACTATTCAAGTAGTGCCTCTCCGCCCTGCGAGATATTGTCGCCATCTCAGAGTCAGACGGTAACCGTCTGACTCTGAGATGGCGGTAACCGTTACCGCGTTCGCCCCTTGCCGAACCATTTGGCTACAGTCACACTTCAACATCAGTGGGATCAGTTGAAATTTGCGTTCGACTAGGTCTTAGGTCTGCTGGTTGAGCATATGTAGGCCTTGCCTCCGTACCAGGGTACGATAGTAGTACACAGGTACACAGGCCGTGCGTAGTACGCACGCGTTAGTACGCATACTATTGTAGCGAAGACTATCGTCTATGCTCTTCGAAACGGCGGTTTGATAAGCCGAGAGTGTGAGACCTATAATGGTTTGATGGTGGGAAATATTTCCCGACGGAGGGCGGTGCTTGAGCAGGTGCGTAACAAGTATAGATCTGGCACTCTACTGAATTTGGTGGCTGCCAAAGATGCTGAATACCAGCTCTTGCTTGAGCAGAACTCCGATATTTTAATACCTCTCCCAGAAGTACGTCTCACATATCATGTTGCTAAGCAGTTGATGGTTGTTGACTACCACAATAATGAGGAGTCTTTATGTAGAGAGATGGCTGCATATTGTGTGCAGAGCCTCGTCGCCCTCGACCATCACAGAGCCATTGGCTCTCGACTGTCAGGACAAGAAAGCACATACTTGGTCTGTATAACAGCCGATACTGGGTATATACTGAACATTATCTTCATCCCAGACACGAGTTTGGCGCATGTTGCAGAAGCACCAAAGGAGTTGAGAGGACGGGTGCCATCTGTTTTACCTGTATATGTAGACCGGGGACGTTGTCAAACGGAAGGTTTGAATAATGCAGAGCTCATAAGATCAGGTGACGTTGTCAAACGGAAGGTTTGAATAATGCAGAGCTCATAAGATCAGGTGTCCAATGTGATAAGGTCATCATCAAATTAGATGCTCTAAATGCGATGTTCAGACTGACCGGGTCGGTCAGTCAAAATCATCGGGAATTCGATAGATTCTGCCGTAAGATCTCCGATGCCATGTACATCTCTGATTCAGGGGACATTGAACGACTTCAAGCACGGAGATTGCAAACTGGCAAAGATGAGGAGAAAATAAGTAAGGAGGTCTTACGCAAGAATGTTCGGCGATACATACCATCGGGTGACGAATTGCGTCAGCGTCTCATGGAGGTGGCGAGGAGTTTCTGGGAGATGGATCTAGAGTGTTCGGCATGTGCTGATCCCGGTGATATAGATGCTAATAGTCTGTCAAGGGAAGGTACCATTGGCTGCCCACTAATTGGTCCCCCGTTTTGGGCCGCCCTTCGCGGCGTTCTAAGCCATGCTGACTGCCTGTCAGGCGTTCACGAGGAACAGGCAATTCTTGTACATCGCGATGCTGCTGGCCTCTATCGTATTGATAGAGACAGCAGCAAAAACGAAGGGCGCCACTCCGTCTGGGTCAAAGAAGCTGCGATGTTATCCAGAATCGGAGGTCGAATGATGAGCATCCGGCTGCATTGGAGAGCAACTTACGCCAACAGACCACTTACGATCCAGCTTAGGGTTGTCCCATACGCAATTGCGGCTGCAATTGCACGCTTGCAATTGCATGCAATTTCCGCAATTGCACACAATGCCAATTGCAGGGTGCAATTGCAACTTTTATTGTGGGCGCGCGAGTTCTCGGCATGCACATATAATATCTCGCTCGACAAGAAATACCCCAACTTGAACAGATCCGCCGCAGGCGGAGAGAAAATTTCAATTGAACCAACTCAACCCAACTCTGAAGGCTTTATACGATCTCATGCTTCACTAAGTTGGATACCTGAGAATATCATGATCGTTGATAATCACACTCTGTGATTCACAGACTGTGATTCACGGCATCAAAGATTAGTACGTGATGGGCGTTCACTGCATGTTAATGAATTGAGATTAGGTTGGATTCAAAAAAAGCTTCTTAGAAATACAGTCATATTTCCCATGAACTGCGTCGCTCTGCAATCCATCCAAATCAATCTGAAACTGATCCATTATGGATCATCCATAACTGGGAAACTCCGAATCAGCTGCATCATACAGCCTGTATAGTATCACTTGCGTATAGTAGGTTTTGCAGCTTTATAAAAATCTGATAATGAAACTGTAGTATAGTTGTATAAAGCTATATCACATAACATACTGGCAGTATGATACTGGGTGATAACGTATTGCTGATAAATATGTAACATCATTCAATTCTGATTCAGTAATAACTTCAGCATCTGAAGTCTTTCTCAATCCACTCCTCATTACCCCATCCAATTCCTCTCCTCAGACAAGTCCGCGAGAAAACCTTGAATTTGTTTCCATGAACTGTTGATGGATACTAGCTTCTGCAACGACTCAGTACCACTCTCCATAGCTTGTTCCCAATCCGGCAAGTCTCCTTTGAACAGCGTCCGGCCAAGTTGCGAGCTCAGCAATCGAAGGATCTGGTTCGCGATTTCGAACAGGTGACAAATCGGAGCGCCTTCAGCTGCAAGTTCCTGGAGAATATCTCCTATGACTTGTGTGAAACAGGTGAAAGCCCCTTCGACTCGAGAGTGTGGGATTGAAGAACCGAGGCGCCATTCAGCGAAGGCTGGATGTCCAAGTGTGCGCGATATTGCCAATCAAGCAACGTTCGACGTTGCCACTAATCTCAGACTAGTAGTCTTATTGTCTAATCTGTAGATCGGAGAATCCATGACCTGCGAATGCGCCGAAGGTTCTATGTGGCAGGGACCGCATGGTGCGAACTAGGTTTTACTTGTTACACACCGATACGGGCCCGGCACACATCCCCCGGGTCGCGTGGGTGTGGTCAAAGCGCATCAGGCCAGTGGTGCATCGCTGCTCCACATGAAAACAAGGAATTGTTAGGTTAAGTTCCGTGGGATGGCCCCACGTATCTTGCACGCATGTGTGCGTATGCACGTGCAGATTGTGTGCTCTTCGCGGTGCGTTCCAGGTTTGCATAGTCTCTCGTTACAGAGGTGATTTCACTGCTGCAACGCTCCGCTAAGCTCTCAAGTATAATGATAATATCAATCTCCTTTTGTTGCAACTCGGAGGCGGCAGGTATATGGTTGATAACTACACTTGTTAGGCTACTGCTACTCACAGAGTGAGTTTTGGTGCGCGCGCGTAGCGCGCGCCCGGAAAAATGCAATTGCGAGCAATTGCAACTTCGGCAATTGCAGTTGCATGCAATTGCACTGAGTGTGCCGTGCAATTGCATTTGGGACAACCCTAATCCAGCTTGCTGGGCTGTAATGTTCTACCGATACCATCGGCTGGAGCAGAGGTGGAAGGAAGGAGCGACTTATGCCACACCGTCGTCCTGTCTGAATCGGATAGAACCATTACTTTCGGCTTTTCCTACTTGGAGCTATTGGACCGTGAGCTCCATGAACGTACTCTCAACAGCTGGCTCGACGAGGAGAATGATGACTCGAGCTCTGCTAGCTCCGCATGCTCTTCCGGTGCTGAGATGATGTCGAGTACTCCCGGTCGTGAGGAATCAGAGGCCGATTCCCAACGGCAGCTCATATCAGGGACAAGCAAGGGTAAGAACAAGCGCTGGACAGGGCTGCACGCAGATCCATGCATCGTGAGGTTGAGTCGATGGACTTCCCTTGTGAAGTCGACCATCAGCGACATCTTCTGTGAGATGGGAGAGTCCGCGGAGACGATATGGTCAGCCTACAACAAAAAGATCCTCTCCGGGCTGCAAGCTGTATCATCATCCGGTCGACAACCCTTGCCGTTGCACGATGTCAGCTTATCGGATATTCGTGTCTTCATCAAGCAGCTCAACCGAGCCAAGGCTCGCAGACCTCCAACTGTGGGATGTATGCGTATAATGGCAGAACTCGACAAATATCTTGCTTCGCCGGTTGACGTCCACGAGCCGCCTGGTTCGGTCGCTCCTGCTGTCATGCTAAGGGCTGGTGAACATCCTGGCAACGGCCCTAATCCAGTCACGGCAGGAGATATAGTGAAGGAATGGCTCGTGAAATCTCCTAAGTGTGAGTCCGTAACATCTGCTCACACTTGCGACGAGTTTGATTTAGGTGCATCCACGAGCGACGAGATGGTGATCGATGAACTGGCGGTGATCCGAGCCAACTGTCCGAATGAGCCAGCGGGGATCACGGCCGAAGCTATAAGTCAGCCAACATTGATCCCAGCCTATTCTCCAAGTCAACCGGTGGCATCTCTGGATGAGGGACCAATACTGATTCCTGGCGACGATTTGGGTGCCACCGAAGGGAAGCTCGATGGTATCACCAGTCAGGAGAATGCTATTGATGGTGGACAACGCCAGCTTGGCCGGAACCCAACTGATATCGTTTGTCCTTACTGTAACCTCCCCAAGATATTCAGCGTCAATCAACATATACGGGACGGTCCCCGGTTTGGATTGTGCCCACTCATGCCGGAAACAGTCTCGGTTAAGACGGAGCTGAAGCAGGAGGCGACCAAAAGGCTATCGAACTTGATCGTTGTCAGTGTCCCATCGAGTAACAAGCAACGGTGCGGGTATTGTGGCCTCCTGGTTGGTACTGTGCTTCAAGATTCAGCGGATGGGACTATACTATCTCCCCAAGTTCTAGGACGACGAGCTTGGTGGAAGACTGTCGTGGTATTGTCCGGTTGCACCAAGTCATCCACCTGAGAAGTACCAGAGGCTCAAACAGGAGAAGGATGCGAGCTCGGCAAGATCGCAAGAACGCTTGGAAGCGCGAGCGATACCAAGAGAAGAGGCGATTACGGCACGCCGAGAGGAAAAAAAGAATGGAAGGTAAAGCCTCCGCATATACTTGAATCTAGTCGTCAACCAAATTCTGTTGTACTAGGCACTTATGCTCCAAGTCGCTCCTCGAACATGAATTCTTCCTCTGGGATATGACGTAATCCGAGCGTGGTTGGAGTCTAACCGTTAGGTCACCGCGGCTCTCGCTTGCTCTCGACCATCGACCACTAATGATGCAGCTACAGAGCAGTATGTTGAAATGAATGTCTGCCTACGGAGCAGATGGTCGTAGGTTCGAATCCTTCACATCCGACTCATCCACCATGTCTGTCCCTTCACGTGATATACCTGCCATTCTGATAGACACACCAATTCCAAGCACGCCATGCAGCGACGCGAGCCAAAGACTATACCTGAGCAACTCGGACCCTCCCTGCCACACTCAACTCACCCACTATATCTGTCCCTGCACGCGGTGTTTCACAAACTCATGAAGACGCTCTACGCAAGCACGTCACACAGAAGCGCGAACCAGCAGGCATACCTGAGATTTTTGGTCGCTCGCTCACAGAATCGAACGGCTTAGTCGCTCGCCGCCTTCCTAATCATCGGGCTATTAGATCTAAATTGAATATCAGTGGGATCCATCAAGCTTATCGCCCGATTAGTTCAGCTGGATAGAATGTCTGCCTACGGAGCAGATGGTCGTAGGTTCGAATCCTGCATCGGGTATATGCTGCTGCAGCTTCTCGTTACATTCGGCTTATCCACCATGTCTGTCCCTTCACGTGATATACCTGCCATTTTGATAGACACACCAATTCCAAGCACGCCATGCAGCGACGCGAGCCAAAGACTATACCTGAGCAATTCGGACCCTCCCTGCCACACTCAACTCACCCACTATATCTGTCCCTGCACGCGGTGTTTCACAAACTCATGAAGACGCTCTACGCAAGCACGTCACACAGAAGCGCGAACCATCAGACATACCTGAGATTTTTGGTCGCTCGCTCACAGAATCGAACGGCTTGGTCGCCCGCTGCCTTCAGTACTTCCCCGGAGGGTCCAACTGTGATATACGAACAATAACCCGTATCTCTGACTCAGAACGCAGGCACACAGAAATCCCGAGTCTACGGGGGCTCTCAGCATATTCTTCTATCGAACATTTTGGACAGTGACGAATCGTCACTGACGATGACCACGGCTTCTCCACTTCTGAGGCTAATGCTCTCACGGCATCCCACTGGAGTAGTCGCAAAACGGCTGCCGCGTCTTACTGACAAAGAAAACCTGCATCTCGAGCTGAATCTTCCAGACGGAGCTCGTCTGGCGAGTCGTTGATATGCCCTAATATCGGATAAAGCCTTTCCCATGAAGCTGTTTGCAAATCAACCTTCGGCGGAGGCCCTTCGCGCGCGGAGCTCAATCCAACTCGACCTCGTACCAATTGAGCAGAGAGTGATTGACTCCAGATGAGTCCAGAGAGCCGTAGAGCCGGGAGAACGTAGACGCCAGTCAAGTCATTCCTCGACCCCGCCAAATGACCGGACATTTTTAATTCCTCGATGAATCGTGAGCCTGAGAATAAAGTGAGTTGCTCATCGAATTGTCGTCTTGCTGCTGGCCATTCACTGAGCAACGCACTGGAAGTTCTTTCAGCTCATTACATGACTAAGTCATGATGAGTCATCATGACCTAGTCATGTAATGAACTCACAGAGAGCCGAGAAGGGACTTCCCCGCAGCACTCTAAATTCTAGAGTCTTGTCTTGGACGACTCGTCTGTCGCCGAATTTCACCTTCTAGAGTCTAGAAGGTGAAAATCGGCGAGAGGCAAGACGTGAGCCACGTCCCGAGACAACAACCCTTAGCCGTGGTACACTGTATGTGAATTTGATTACTGACCAAGAAATAGTGTATCGGAGATGCCCACGGCAGCAGCATACAAACTTATCTCTGTGAATGAATAGGCTATTAAAATTTTTTCTCTAAAAATGTAGAGGAAATTTTTTTCTCTGGACACCGGATATGCGAGAGATTCTACCTATCCTGGTCTTAGATCAGCGGTCCATGTAAAAATGTCTAATCTCAAGTATTTACCAAGCTGAATGATACTCGGGATGAGAATCTCATCATGAGATAGAAAGTTCCTATTAGAAACTTTCTACTAGAAATGACTTGGTGTCTGGAAAGGAAGTCTTCGTAGGAGCTGCTCCTAAGGAGCAATATCACTCGTTCTCCTTTGAATGCCTTGATATGCCAAACTTGTTCCTGCAAAACGCAGACTATCAGTGTATCAACGTTTGCAAGATTAGGGTACTCAGTTAACAAAGAACTTCAAGTGCGACAGACGAGTTAAGATTATGAAAATTTGAGCATGTAGATTTCATAGAATCAGATTCTAAGAATCTAACACGGATATACTAGGCAGGTGATATAAACTATCTGGTCTCATTTCTTATTATATATCGATATATACTACGGTATCGTTACGCTGCTGCTTCATATAAGGCTAGCACTATTCAATAGTGACTATTGTTAATTACTAAGGAGCGTGGACTGGGATACCTGTGGTCATCCTGATAACTATATTGCATATGGAACCTAGTCTATCCGTCACACCCGTAATTATATCCTATTCGTTGATGATCTAGAAGATACTCCGCGGGGAGCGCGGAGCCATCGACAGTGTCAAGTTAACGACGACTACAACGCTCCAAGTAGGTTTCTCATTGATGACAACGCTGTGTCTGTTGTAACGAAATAATTCCTACCCCATCGTTGTCGTACTCAGAGGCTGTATCTCAGACAGTTTTGTTAAAAGCTAGAGTACTTGGTAGAACAATCGTGATACCTGTATAACTTTTTCTCCGAGGTCTTGCGCTTTAGTGTTTTTTCAACGAACTCGACCTCCCTTCCTGAGAAAATCTACAAACAGGGCGACTTGGATGTTGAAAATCGTGGTTTTGAGCCCATCCCAGTACTGAGTGTGAATCCAAGTATAACGTGGAGCTAGACCTGGAGGAGTGAGCGCGTCGAGCCGCTCGACTCGAGCGGGGATTTCATGTGTCATCAATAGAACCCAGGTAGCCTAGCATTCTGGTAGTCAATCAGAGTGGTCAGAAGCCTAGCAGTGCTAGGCTTCTCTAATGGCGTCCAGTGGCGGCGGTTTGCCGCATGAGATACAATAGTAGTCATTGCGTCCGAGTGATGTGAACACGTTACACCGGCACCGACATGCCCAAGTCTGTGAGAGCCATATGGGTTCGCCCAAGTGAGGCACACAAGACGGGTGAAACGGGGCAGCTAATCGGCTATGGCTGGAAGTGCAACAGTCACTGTGCTACACAACCAGTTTGACCGGTTGACAGTGTTGAGTTGGTTTTTTTCAGGCACACTCTAACGAAATGATAAGAGAGTAAAAATCAACAATATGTTGCTGTTTCTACAACATCAACTTTAATCTAGCCTCATTGAGGCGCTCTTTAGCTAGTTGTCTCTCACCAATCTGGGTAGGAGTTTGCTGCAGAGTTTAGGAAGACAATAACTTTGTGACCAGCACTTCTAATAAAGTTAAACGTCGCAATGATCGGTTCTACCTTCATTAACGAGTTAACTCGAAGAAAATTGAAACGATGATTGATTGATCAGCTCGTAGTAATTGCTTGATTAGGTACATCCGCTCTAGTAATATTGTCTAGTTTCATGTTGGGCATTTCCGGCGAGCAATATACTGGACCCTATAATGACTGCCAGCCTAGTGCTGTCAGCAAAAGGCTACTACCTTGTCCACCTAAGAGAGTTCATATTCTTGTTTTCTCTGTTCCAATGATCCAATGAGCTGGCACGGGATGCTCTAATAGAGCAGCTCTATTACTGTAATGGTATTGAGGCACAACATGGCGCATGAAGACTGTTGTGGCATGACTATGGATGGAGCCCAGGATATGGCGGGGACGCACAAAGCTCTGACGACTCGTCTCAAGGGGATCACGCCAACTTGCACGTCTCCTGCGCAAGACATGCGCTGAACCTAGTAGTTCGGCAAGCTGTACAGAACATCCAACCTTGCGCGACCGCTGCTGTCGGACAGCACTAGAGTTCGTAGGGACGGTGGCTCGCTACATGAAAAGATCCCTGAGGGTTTAGGTGAACGAGACCACTCCATACTTCATTTTCCTGCGATTTGCACTAGCTGCTCATACAATTTTGGGAGACTACGGAGCTCTGCTCGCCCCTCCAGGAAGAGGAGCGCAGAAAATTTCCGCGCTCCTCTTCCCCTCGCTTCGCTCACCTCTTTTCGCTGAGCAATACGATAGTAGACCTACCGAGAATGATGTCATACTTCCTGGTGAGGTCATTGAGGCATCAGGACACTCGTACGCACCCTGGTAGAGAGATGCGAATAACTCCGATTTCGATACTGAAGCACACAGCATTTGCCGTAACAAGACAAGCATGATTAATGGCTGATAGGAAACTCAATCGTCCGCATCTAAGTCTACGATGGCAGTAATGTTCCCAGGAGCGTCATCATCGTCACTTTCACAAGATATCAAGTCTACTTCGGGAGTCAGCTCATCAAGCCTGAAGTAGCAGTTGAGATCTCCCATCATATAGGCCATCAACCAAGATCACATTATCGGGCGCATTACCACTGATGGAAGAGCTGTTAAACGGTAACTCAGCGAGCCCAATGTGTCGCTGCTCAGCGCGAATCACATAGTAGCAGCCATTCCCCACTCACTCGGCTTGCTTCCGCCGTTTGAGTTTGGGCTCTGCTAGTCCATCCGTGTTGGTAGTGAGGTCAATTTCGTCTTCACTGCTGCGGCTGCTAGAGCTATCCTTGCCGCCGGCGCCAAGAACGTACAGTCCTGCCGAGTCAGCCCAGGAGCCATTGAGATATAGCCGCACTGACGTATCGGTTGTCTGCAAAAATCCACACTAGGTTGAGGTGAATGTCGAGCCAGAGTGAGCCGATACCCAATATGAGGAAGAACCGAGGAAAGGTTAGCATTGGGTGGATCCATGAAGATCAAGCTACTCGTACAGAAGCCTCCCACCTGTTGCAAAATTTTCTGAAGCCATTCATCAACTTCCAGATTGGCACAGCAGTTGTACACTAGTCCACATCTCGGACACCTCCACGGAGGTGATAGCTCCAGTGTCTAGAATCGATGACGACGAGAGAAGCAGGGCTCGGCTGTAGCCCTTACCTCGGAGTCCACGAGCGTTTGAGCTGGTCTAACGCTGGTCATAAGGTCGACGATCTCTATGTGGTCACAGCGATTCCCCCGACCCGGATACGCGACGCGATCACCTGCGAGCAATTACAATTCTCGGGATGGTGAATCGAGCGATCGGAGAATTAGCTGCAGGACTTCCCTTACCAGTGATGATGTCCTTCAAGGAGACCTCTATCCCATGGCCTCTAGAAGGCTCCTCTAAAGCGACGTCGTCGGCGTACTCCTCGCCCATATAGAAGGGCAATCGGAGTATACTGTCCTCTACGTTTAGCACGTTGAATGGATGGTCATTGTAGTCTATTTTGCCAGAATCGCTCTCGACATCAGTCATCAGCCACGAAATTTCTAATGGAGAAACTGCAAAAATACCATGATATGGACACCTGCGCTGGATGATCGATAACTTGCATTTCCCCGAGTAATTCGCCATATACTCTAAAGTGTCGACCACATCTTCTAGATGTTCACTTTGATCATCGCGTATGGGGTCGAGCCAGCAAGTCGGCTAAGCTCTTAATCAGTGTGAATGTATAGGAGAATGCGTTGCGTGTCTAAGATCAGAAGTCCCAGATTCCACCCGCGAGGGAATATACTTCCATGGATCATCCATGATGGATGTGACTCGACCCGTATGCGCATACAAGCCAATAATGCTCAACAGATTGTCAGGTAGTTAGTAGACTCGGCAGTTCAGGGAAAGTCTTGGTGGCGGTAAGGCGAAAGCCCCCTTTCAGAACCGGTAGGAAAAAACATCCACAAGAAGTCTCAGCTAGCTAGGCCGCCACTTGTGGAGTATTCGAGAAGCCTAACCAGCTAGGCAAGTTCGTATCTCGACCACCTTGACTTCATAGCATCGCGGCTCGAGAGACACGTGATTGGTGACTATCACGAAAGCCCGCCAGTCCAGTTCTGGTCATAAGCTGCTCTCTCATAAGGTGAGTGCTGGTACGTGATGTACGTGCAATCGATCGGTACTGCGCAGGATGCTGTACGCACATGACTACGCACTACAAAAGGGTACTTAACAATCACTAACTGCAGCGCGCTATTCTACCGGAGCATTGCCTGGATAACTGTGCCGAAATGAAGCCACCAGTGATGTGTGCCCTAGTAACTTAGCTCAACCCGCGCGAGCATTCATCAGAAACAATGATTTCAAACATCCAAGAAGTGTTCAAGCCAGGCTTTTTCAATGCCAGCACAATGGCCCATGCCCACCACACCTACCATTTTCTGGTGACTTGAACGGCAGAGATAACCTTAAAAACCCCTGTAGAATGATCACAACCAGCTACTCTACCTGCCATAGTTCTATCCCTATCCTCGATCATCACCTCATAGACGTGAGGCGCACATTTACGCATGGCCGCGTTGATTTGAGCAGCTTTTTCCCTACTCTTCAATTGCTCCGCAGTATCCAAAAAACCTGATATGCTATGGCTCGTATACACGTTTGAAGCGACGCCTATAGCACATAGATCAATCACTTTCGACGATATACCCCATTTCCAGGGAACCGTTTTTCCAAGCTGTGGAACACAATGTATCCGTGTCCTGTTATATATTAGTTGCATCGCATGCTGATGCTAAGAAGTAAAAAGACTAAACTTAGTATCGTCCATCCACGCTGCGTTGCATATGCGTTCTACACAGTTACACGTATACACTAAGCCTCAGTGTAAGGCGCAGAGGACCTTAATAATCAAGGTTCTGTGCGCCTTTGATTCCTCCATATGACACAATACTTCACAACTCTCTAGTATTTCATCAACACTATCAAGTTGGGTAGAGTGAGGTTTAACAGCAGTTAGAATCGCGATACAGATCATTAAATGAATCTTAACATCAAGCTCGCTCTAAGACGACCCTGACGGTACGCTGACGACTTGATGGGAACCCACCTCTGGAATGGTCGATGTCCAAGTCGAGGAGTTCTCTGCATGCCATCATCTGTTGCCAGTCTTGCTGTAAAGCCCTAGTAAGGCCTTCCATCGTCAGTGTTATATCCACATCGCCAGCTATCACCTGATACCTTACATACCACACCGGACTGAAAGCGAGTGAACTACGAGTACAACTGTCCATCAACCAGTCCTCAAACAGCAATACGTGTAGCTCGGGTAAGACTTTTATGCGACTTGATACTATCACCAGATAGTATGTATAGAAATAGTATTTTACTGTATAAACTACATCCACATAAATTCCGCACAACTACCCTAGTCCCCATCGAGAATGCCGCTGAGCATACGTTAGACATACAGTGGCCTCACCTTGGCACCGATTTCTTCAGCAGCTTCGACTGCGTTCTTAAACTCAGCTCCTGGTTCTATCCCCATCGTCTTGAAATTGCCTAATCAGTCCCCTATGAATAACAATGCCGCTGTACGACACTGTCAATCAGTGTGGGAAAATATTCACTCAGTCAACTGTTGGTGATAATATGGGAATTCTGAGGGAATTTAGAGAAATTCTTGTTGGTTTCTGTAAACTTCCATCCGAATTCGTATGTAAACATCAATAATTAGTGAGGAAACTCCCAAGCTCAGGGGAGGAAAGCGACCGTATTATCCAACACTGTTGTCAACACCTATTGAAAGCTACATTAGGATTTTATCAGCCTCAGCGTCTATCCGCAAGCAACAACCATAAAAACTACCATAGAAGCCCCTAAGAGCTTGTTCCAACAATGCCTGCATCGGCAGCCCACCACCACCGCTCAGTCCTCGGAAGAGAACTTTAATCATTTCTCCCAGACCTCCTGAGCTATCACCAAACCCTCCTTCTTTCATCTGCCATCACAACAACAGTCACTGCATTCGTGTATTTTTGGACTACTTTCTGAATTCTCTTCGGGCACAACTCTACCATGACTCCTGACGGTTTTTCTTTTGTTATTATTTCTCGGACCTCCTCAGCACTCGATGATGATATATGAGCTGTTCCTGAAAATAAGCCGGATTAGTAACGTGTATTTCCAGAAAAAAAGTAGCCGTTCTTTTGAGCACCACAGTAAAAGCGAGCAAGGCAAGGCAGTTATGCATTGGAGTACCTCACCTAGGAGATCATCCAGGAACCTATAATGTTCCCGAGGGGAACTCATTTGAATTTTTCACATTCGTCAGTCAGTTGCCCAAGTGAATGTCATCACATTAGACACATTTTTCCCATTGTTATCAAACCCTGGGTCCCTGAGCTTACCTATCAAGATGACCTCTCGGCCAGGGGCCCTGAGATAGCTTATCGTCTCGTTAGCAGAGTTATACTCCACTGATACCCCTGTAGTGGTAGTAGTAGAAAATAACAACCTCTTCCCAGTCAACGTGGGCTGCAGTCGTGAACACAGTAAGCGAACGGTGAGCATCAAGTATGATATAAGTAGAATACTGTGGCACTCACCTCACGAGGCTCTGGGTCACTATCATACTACTGAGCATCCCTTTGAACTCAGTGGATGATCACCAAGCTGTACTACGAAATAACCATACCGTGTATGTGATGACAATACCATAACTCCCGATACCACCTTGCTGAACTTCTACTACAATACCAAGGCATAAGTTAGTAAGGCGCAACCGCTGAGACATACTTGGAGACTCTCGACCAAACTATGTGCCAGTGGGAACACCAATCAGACGATACTTCTATTTTATCCTTCATCATCACCAACCTGAGCTTATCGTGAAACAATACCCGAGCCACCCCGCCAACGACGTAACTCTCCATTTTCCCACATTAACGAACACAAGTAAACCAAAAGCGTCCTAAAACTAAGAGAATTATAATAAACTACAACTTGCTTGTGTACTACTGAGCAATGCTACACAGTAGAAGAATGCTATATAGACATGGCGCGCATCCGAAACGTCAAGAAATGCTCAACCTTGCTCTGCGATTCTCTCTGCCGTTGCTGAACCCCCAATGTTACAATGCTAACACACACGCAAGCCGAATCCTACCTGTGTCCACACCCATTTACGCATCCGGTTGAACTCTGGCACCGACATCGGGTCGCTAGGTGGTGAAAAGGACGACTCACAGGGGTGAGTACGCTTCTCGAGATCTGTGTCTGAGGTCGATACACATGCAATACGAGGAAATGATATATAAACGAGTATCATATAGTATTACAAGTGTTGTATTATATAGTCTATAGTGTTTATAAAAGAGCAAGAAAATCGATCGATTTTCTGTGCGTTTGTCAACTGTGTTTCATTCAAATTACTGCACATACCATTCGGGAGAGCTTAGTTCATATACTCTGCAGAAAAATACGAACAAGCTCTCATTACTGCCTTCTGTCGTGCATTGGCCAAAACTGTTGTGCGCTGTGACTATTAACAAGGGAAAAATGTCCGTGCCGAGGATCGAACCCGCGACCGATACAAACAAGAACTGCGGTACTTCGTCTTGAATGACTAGTTAATATAATATAGACAAAGTGTCTAAGAATATATAAACAATAGTAATGTTTTCAAACGTTGTTACCATTCAAAATATGACAGTGTATAATATAATCAATACTTCGATACTATAGTACTAATAGTAATACTATAGTACAGTCGAGAGGCGCCTACCAGCAAAATGATGATACTTTACCTTGGATCATCCGAGCAGATGAATGAAAGAAAATTAACAAACATACACGAAAATAGTTCAATCAGCTGTGGTGAAACGCCAGAAACAACCATAATTTCATACAGGGCATACGCCCACACAACCTTATATATGCAGGGCATATAACCTCCGCGATAGAACAACGAGGAAAAACCAGGAGTAGGTCTGGGAATAATATGTTCGCTTCCCTCAGCTGAGCTCAGGCGTTTCCTCACTAATTATACGAGTTTACATATGAATTCGGATAGGAGTACATAGAAACCCTTGAGAATTTCCCAAAATTTTCTCAGAAATTCCATATTGTCAACAACACATGCAATTAACCGTGTGCACATTCCCCAGATCCCAAGTTAGTACCATTGAACGACACATGATGATTGCCGTGCTCATTGATCTTCTGTCCATTCCTATCAAAACGTAGTGGCACGAGCATACTATGTACTCGATCTCGCGTGAATCTCGCACCTTCAGAACTTGTCTCATCTCGAGAACCTCCACAACAGCAATAACCAACGCCCCTCCCACCGCCTCCTTACCATACGTTTCCCCAGGAGGATCCCCACCGGTCCGCTTAAGAATGCTGTACACTGGCGTTCTGCACTCCTGCGCTACATTTGTTCGATCGTCAACACGCCCATTGTTCATCCGATGTTTCGGCGGATGTACTGCAAAGAAGCCTGTGTGGGGACATGTCGCATTAGAAGGCGCCCTGAAATAAGATACCCTTTTTTCAACCTACGTCTGAGTTCGAGTATCGGCTTAGTATTCGAAACCCAAGCACCGAACATAAATGCTCCCCCCCCCCCTCACTACCGTTTCGGGTTGGTTTCCCGAGTGCTACTACCGAGCCCACGATGGGTCCCTGTGTGCCGGTGAGCAGACGCTACTCCTTGCACTGCGGGAAGCTCCTGACACTCAATGATAGTAACATCCCTTTATCGCGCTTTCTACCTGCACTGCTTCCTCGTCTAGTGAGCGCGATATGCCCTTTACTGCCTCAGTAGCCGCGCCTATTAAATGAATACACAAGTAAGAGATTTGCAATTTCACATACTACCCCTCCGGATATTCTCCTTTTGAAAGAGTAGAGTAATGCCTTTCAAACACGTGTCGCAACACTCCCCAAACCCAGAGGTACTACCGGACGCCCTCGTATTCCTCGACGGAGGAGTCATCACATTATTCAACATTAAAAATACAAACCTCGAAAAGTAGAAATATCATCTAAAACGATCGATCGACGACGCTCATAGCTCCACGTGAAAACACCAAACTCATTTATCGTTGTACTACAGCATTTCCGGGCCGACAAATTTAATTTTTTACCCATTTAGTTAAGTTAACATTCTACCCACGGCTTCGGTAAAATTCCAAGAGAATTAATATTATACCCGGTTTATTTGAAAGTTCGGGAGGTTAGTTCAAGCAGGGCGCTCCCAATGATGAAGTAGCGTCACATACATAACCTCTTCCTGATGACGAGGCCAACTTCACATAGAAGCTGTAGTACTATACAGCTATCTCTTCCATTATAATACATGGTAAATAGCCACTTTTGCCACCTTCAGCCGTCCAACACCTACAGAAGTGTGCACATCTATCGTACCACTCCAACACCAACAATCACACAGAAAGTGCCAGAAACGAATGACCATCATGTCAAAAACGATATAATCAATATGCTAATCACAATCACGAATTGCACGCCGTGATCAAACCACTAGCAACCGTCTTCCCTCCCTCTCGTAGAGCAAAGCGCAATCCTGACATGTATCATCAACCCATGGCATGCACCGCATATTACCAACTTCGACCGCCTGAGGTCTGTCAAGTTTCAGCGTCGCTTTAATACTATCACCTATGCAGTTAAATACTCCACTATAAAGCGCCGACATAAACTACCAGGCATTGCCATATCCACATCATCAGGGAGTATGATCCTGCACGAGCAGTCTCCCGTTCTAATATAAGCCTGGGGGCGGTACTCGCTATGGAAAGGGTTCTTTCTGCCACCTGAGACGACATGAACCCCACCAAGCCTTGTGTGCTCGTCTACCCTCATCCTCCTTCAACACATACAAGTCGCTCTCAAACTCCGTGTAGGTCTTCGCGGCACCCGGCTTAGTGAGCACCATACCCCTCCGTATCTGGAGGCGTGATAACAGCAACTCGAAAAAGGCGCATTAGCATTACTTGATTTTTCTTGACGCCCTTCAACATCACCCCACACTGATCACCAGCCATGCCCTGGTCAAGCGTCTTGTGGAACATCTCAACACCCATACACTGCGATTTGAACTTCTCCTTACCCTGAGTAAATTGAGAATAAGCTCTCACTACCAGAAAGAAAACTAACAACCTCATAGCAGCACTTCGATATCACCACAACACCGTCACACACACGAAATTGAATTAGGAACAATGTCCACAAAATCATCTAGGGATTGTATAGAGCAACTGACCTGGCCAACGATCTCCAGGGCATCACCAACCTTTACCAAGCCTTGCTCGATGCGCCCAGTCACAACGTAACCTATGATAAAACCACCCACCAACTTCACATCAGTCACGAATTCCTCACCTTTTCCCTGAATATTAACTACCGTCTCAATCGGCAGCAAAAACGGCTTGTCTTGAAGTCGAGCTGAGACGCTCAATATCAGCCCACACCGTCGAATAACCCAACCCTACGAGGCTCGGGTATATACTCATCAACTGCATCCATCAACTTCAATATCGCCTCTTTGCCATACTCCCCCTCCTCCCCACGAAGAGCTTTCAATGCTGATCCCTTCACAAAAGGCGTCTCTTCTCCTGGCAAGGCTATGATATATGAGTATCATACTATAGCCCTCTACAGTGCTCCAAATTTATTCGGAATATAGTCTTGAAATTCGTCAACCACTGAGTGTTGAAACATGATTTATTAACACACTATTCGTCACAACGATATGAGTACACCCTCCAAAAACTGCGACCGTTTCAGGCCGCGAGAGAGATATGACTATGGTCACAAAATATATGGTTCGACGAAATTATATGGCAGCAGACACAATTTCGGCTCAGTCAGGCGGTTGTATTCCATATTCATTCAATTGTTCCGAAAAATGTGGTAAAGGACTTACCGGGATATTTATAAAACTCCAACAACTCCCTGACCTCGAGCTCGACTAGCTCCACTAACTCGGGGTCGTCAACTTGGTCCATCTTGTTGAGGAAAACCACCAACCTAACAATCCACATATATCAGCAAAAACAAATAAATGGAGTTTCATTCGTGATGTGAACGATACTAGTTTTTCACATTGTACTCCGCGAAAAATGCATGTAAGCAGCGAATATTACGTGAAACGCGTGATGTACTATACATGAAAATAGATCGATTATTCGACCGGTGCAATTCACTTCATATCGCCAATACCGCGCTTTTTTCACATGGAGTGTTACGTCACTTCACCTTTTACGTGAAGTGGTCTGTCAGCGGCTGAGTTGAGGAATTCCCTCATGGAAGTCTACACGAGAGTCCTCCTACCTTGGCACACCGATCTGCTTGGCGAGAAGGATGTGCTCTCTCGTTTGAGGCATCGGACCATCAAACGCCGACACAACGAGAATGGCTACAGGAAGAGTATAACAATAGTGACTTGCCATATATCCTACTACCCCCGTCAACCTGAGCAGCACCAGTAATCATATTTTTAACATAGTCGGCGTGGCCAGGACAGTCTACATGACCGTAATGTCGCTTCTCGGTAGAGTACTCAACATGAGTTTGATTGATGGTGATACCTAATGGCATTGTGAAGTGACGGAAGTGTGGTACTCCACATAACCGTCACTGTGTCAGACTACGACTCTGTCTTGAGAAGAAATGGAATCGGTCAATGAACTGATTCCGAAACTCTGCGCTGCTTCTCACATACATAGTCCAGAATAGATTCAATGAACATATGATATGGTTATCCGAGCACTCCGACCCACCTCTTCGCTTCTCCTCAGGGGCCCGATCAATCGCCTCATACGTTTGGAAGCTCGCCAGGCCCTTATCGCTGAGTATTTTAGTGATGGCAGCTGTAAGAGTAGTCTTGCCGTGATCGACGTGACCTGATACTTGCATAATAGTTAATAAAACACAATACGATGCTCACCGATAGTTCCTAAATTTAGGTGTGGTTTGGTCCTCACGAACTTCCCCGTAGCAAAGCCGCGACAAGCCACAATCACCGCGGGACTCCGCAGGATGAACGATAATCGACTCAGTGGGAGGGAGGTTAACATTGGGGAGCGACAGCGATAAGATATTGTCAAACAACCCCGTCACTTTGTCGGTATCGATTAGAATGGCGGGCGCTAACTACAACGCGCTGATCTTTTGGTGATGGCCAGATGGGAAAATAAGAGGCCATAACGATAATCAGCGTAGGTGCACTGAGTTAATCTTCCCGTGACGGAATCACATGGCCAGGTTACACTCATGGTTGAATATCCTTCCCTGTATCTGGTGCACTCGACACGCAGTTCGTCTCACTCTATGGAGACCAACACAAGGTGTGGCATCTGAGCTCTGCATGATGATAGAAAACTGGAGTGTACAGTAGCATGACTACCACTGAGCAATCTACTCTTTCCAATGATAAATAGTGTAAGTCTAACTTTGTTCATAGTTTTAAATTCGCCGATTGGATTCAAGGGGATTATCTTCCGCATAATATCCTTAGGCTGTCATCTTACTACCTTTACTACGATACGATGCAAGCATGTGCCCCATCGATTGAGTGTTGGGAAGTATACATATCGTCGAGGCAAGCTGCTGTGACTCGATCTGCAAATCACCCCTACTAGTGTCTCAAGATACACGAGACTATTGACATAATTTTCACACCCTTATCAGCGCGGAATTTACAGCTACAGAGGAGCTGCTGCTTGAGCAGCATGAGCAGTGACATCTGATTATCACTTTCACTGACCAGAGACTGTAACTAAATGTGTAATTAATTCAAACAGCTGTTGTCGAGGCACGAATTGTCTATTATAGCAATATCACTAAAGAGTGCTATTGTGGTAGATCAAGACTCTCCATCATCCATCTCAACATCAAGATAGAGACGTATCATTAATACAAGTGGGAGTTGATAGGCTGAAAACAGTATTATCACATACACTACATTGACCACCTTATCATCACTTGTATCATCATATTAGCATAGGGGCTAGACTTGTAGGATATTGTGCAATAGGGACGATTTTGGAGGATCATGAGTAGAGGAGGGTAAGGTCCTTAACATTAAGTAAGCCACTCGTCACAACCATCGGGCATTGCACGGTATGACCGCCTATACAGGCTGTTGCCAGAGACCATCGAGGTGACTTGCTTAATAATCATTCATCGTCATGTGTGCCTCCAGCACATCTTGAAGGGATATACTTCTCAGTATTGAGGACGGCGCTGATATGATTGATATCTCGTCAGTTATGAGGGCCTTGGAAGCGATCATTGCGAGACGTCAGGCAATTGAAGCGGCTTATTGGCAGCACCATCGAATGATATAAACATGCTTTTGTTGTTGCATGCACTATGTTTCCTACGTTACTCACAGTAGGGTAGTTCTCTGCAATGCTTGTGTCAGTGAATAACAGATGGTGTGCGCGTAACGTATTCGTGATTCTTGATACGAAACTCCGTAGGTCATCACGTCTTGTCAGCGGCCATGTTCAAATGCTTCACTCAGAGCTCTCGGAAACCACTTCTCACAACACAAGCCCGCAATAGTGCATTGACATTAGCTGATTCGGTATGGCCAGTTAACTTGACGGTGATTGAGTATAACGTTACAGGGGAACGCTCCTGGAGAGGATTCCAAGGGGGCAGAGACTACTGATGATGACAGGGAGGCTCTGGTCAATATAGGGGTGTTGGAAGTGAAGTAAAAGGCTACCTGGGGAGCAGAGGACTGCTCCCCACGTGGTCAACTACATATGTTGACGGCAACATGAAAATTCCGAGGGAATTTCGGAATTTCTTGGTTTCTGTACACTTCAGCCCGAATTTTATAGTCAGTAAGGAAACGCCAAGGCTCAGCTGAGAAAAGCGAACTTATATTCAAACACTGATGTCCATCTGCTTCCCAACTGGATCAGTCAATGATGCCACCGTCTTCAGATCGAAGTCGTGGCCACAGGATCCTAGAATGCTACTGCACGACCGTAGTGACTGCGTTTTCACCAGAGTGAGTTTCCACAGTTGTATATCGGCAAGTATCTCCTCCCAGCATTTCCGTATCCGACCCAGTCCAGGACGTACTTTCTACGTTACACGCTTGAATTGCGAGGTAAACATCATGTGCGATGTGGCCAAGGTAAGCGCAACCGTGTAATAGCCTCTTTACTGTGGGAATCAAAGCAGTGTATCTCCGATAGTGTTGTGAGCATGAACATATGTAGAGAATAGCATGATTCGTCCATGTCAACGGTTATCTTCATAACTGTTCGTGTGTAATTGTTGTTTCACCACACATATATGGGTATTCACCGGCAACTGTAAGAGACATTCTTCGTCCCGGAAGTATTTGATTCTTTTTGTTGCATACTGACATTTCTGTATTAATACTATATTTAGCTCATCCCTCTTGTGGCGACCACCTGTGTTGGCTTACTCACGAAGCCTTCAGATGCTATTGCCTTTTTTAGGAGTATCTGTTTGAGTTCTGGAAAGCCTTGGGTTCTCTGATGCATCCAGAAACCGTCTATATTGACCGGGTCCTACTGGCGAGGCACTTAGTGCTAGTATAACCATGTAATTCTGAAAAAAAATTAGACTGCATTGGCAGGTTCGCGATGCCCTCACCTACGGTGGCCGTGTTGAGCCTACGGATCAGCCTAGTAAGTACCATGAGGTTATCTCATTGATGGTATCCTCCTCGTAACCGAATAAGGTTGAACTGGCGTGCGTATTTTTGCAGCGTTTGATTTGCTCACCGCAGATAGTCCGCATGCAAATGTGTTAGCCTCCAGTCGGAGGACAAGCTTGAGGACAAAACATATCACACTATTTCCATGGAGAAATGATCACTGACTTTAGGAACATCTGCACAGATACATTAAATGATGTCATGAGCTCACCAGAAGGATTACCAGCCGAGGTCGGCAGCAACAGCGGTGCACTTTGTGGTAAACCTGCTCCCATCATTCTCAGCTACATGGTTCCAGTAGCGGACGTCAGGCATCGGTAGGTCACCAACCTCGAAGCGCTCTAGGATGCTGAAAGCCTAACTTTTCAGCTGCCTGATTCCCAGTCAGGGGCTCAGAGAGCATCCAACCATTCCTCGCCTTCCTCCGACAGTGAGAACCTCTATGCCCGACTAGAATATTCTCTCATGATCCCCCAAGAAGGGTTTATACAGCATAATATTACCATACCATTAGGTCGACATCACGGAAGGCGGCATCCCACACTACACCGACCCGAGGTCCTCATGGAGATATCTATCGAAAGGGGAAGGTAGGGACAGTAGGGATAGTATCGGCTCGGTAGTACCATAGGGGCGACTATGCCATGTGGGGCAACGATGCCATGTGGGGCAACGATGCCATGTGGGGCGACTATGCCACGTGGGGCAACGATGCTATGTGGGGCAGTTATGCCACGTGGGGTAGCTATGCCACGTGGGGTAGCTATGCCATGTGGGGCAGTTATGCCACGTGGGGTAGCTATGCCACATGGGGCGACCACGCCATATGGGGTGACTATGCCCCGTGGGGTAGCTATGCCACGAGAGCCCTCCCCGAGTCGGGGGATACTTCGCTCATGCATGCTGGCAGCACTCGCGAAATTTCGGCATTCAACCAGGATGTTTAATCTCATACACTCCTGATAGCCAAGTCCACTTGTCATAGATCATGTAGTATGGTTACTGAGCTTCCGTAGGTACATGCTTCGCTCTGGGCACAACGATAGATCTGCCACGTCATCGAGTGAAGTACTATGGCAGAAAGTGGCTGGTGAGGGAACCAACTGGGATCTCCGATCCTTGATTGCGGTGCCTTCAGTTGACAACGGAATCAAACCACCTCGCAAAGGGTTAATGTCCGTTACTATCGCCCGCGCCAAGTCGTCCTTGAATCGGTACGAATACACGAAAAGACATAATGTACTGTACAATCACAAGATGATTCATTTTTAGCCGTTTGAAGACCATGCGTCGCAAGCTGCCAGGAGGGTCCAGTTCTCACATGCCGACATATCTTGAGAAGGGTGACGTGCTCAGGTCATATATGGGTCACACTATCTGAGTAAAGTTACCACCCATAATAGATTCGGATCCCTTTGCCTCACCATAGCTGATTTGGTTATCGAGTCCAATAGTCAGCAGGCTGCACGCCACTCCGATAGAATGGAGGACCTCACACTGGGGATAGAGAAAGGTGATCGTATCTAAGGATTTCATACCCAAATGGAGGGTCTCTTCACGAGGCCCGCGGACGTTCGGGGAACGGATGACTCCCTCAGATGTTTGTTCTCCACCACTACTTGAGAGCTCAGGGTCAGATAGCCACGGCCTCCGAGTGAGATTACTCTCTATTGGGCGTCGTTCGCGCATTGGTGTAGATGTGCCGTATTTGTTTTGACCAAGAATCTGCCCAAGATCCGCTATTACGGCCATGCGGATGTAAAGGCAGTGTGGCGTTCGTTCACAAAGGTTGTCTACGGTGAGCAGAGCATGAGCATATGTTTAGAAATCGTCTTCCAGACGATGGGTCGAGGGCCAAATGAGAGCCCGCCAACTCCATCATGGCGGGGGAGAGTACATCTTGATACCTGTGATGTGTGAAATATGCCGGCAGCAATATCATGATTATACCTACTCATCCGAGCTCCTTCCTCGGTATGCGAGAGCCTCTTACGGGACAAGCGTTAGATATCTCTTACTGGAGGTTTCTCATGCGAAAAAGTGCTTCATAGGCTGCTAGCTCAAATTATTACGGCTACTGTCTCGGTACTTCTTCATTACAGCGAGACGCAGGACTATTACCAATGGCCACACGGTATCGGCGTTCCTCTACTTATATCAGACCTGTATGTTCCCATATAGTACTCGAGGAAGAGCCGTCTCATCATCGGCAGGTGATCGGTCGGAAAGTGATCCATAGTGATTCTGCATCTGCACATGATTGTGAGATCGTCAGATCCATATTGTGCCTTTTCCTAAACCCAACTATGTGGCAACTGTGGGCCGGTCTAAGGATTGCGACATTCTTCTTACTGACATTGGAGTCAGTCGTTGTCATGCCGCCATGAAGTCTGTTGCTTGTTCCTGATCGCGCCCAATGGCATTTCCAGACTCTCGCAAAACCGGATACTGCTAGTGGACCGGGGAAGCAAATTCGGAACACTAAAAAAGATCAAGGAGGACGCGGTGATCATTTCCATCGTCGATTCCAGATATCACATTTCTATCGGCGAGTTCATGTTCAGATCGAACTGAGCCCAAACCGCATCCTAGTGCTCCAACACAGCTCCAGCTTGCTTAAGTTCACGGTTTCCAAAGTACTCAGATACAGGCTCTTTCCAACGCGATATTTACCTCCCGTAAGTGCAGTCATTCGGAGACCACGCGACACTAATCACATTGCCAGGTGCTGCCGGCTAGAGAGACTGAGCGACCCCGCTTCGTGCCGGACTCCTCAGATGATGCGGGCACCCAAAATGAACTGGCTAGACTTTTCCCCGAAACAGGTGTTCGGTGAGTGTCATAGCTTCGGGAGACGTCGGATTCCACAATCAATAGGATGTATCGCTCGAGCCTGCCGTCGCATTCTGCGATGGAACATGCCTGGCAGCCGCGGTCCCGAGGCATCGGAAATTACGGCCTCTCATTAGTCCCAATTGTGAGTGAGCTCTCATTATTGGGGTTAAGTATTTTCGCATTCCCATGTGATAAATTATATATATTAGTGAATAATAAAAAATGACTAGAAGCGGATCTTCTCACACATCCATTCTAGTTGCCTGCCACAAGACAGCAATCGGAAGCAGCCATGCCCAATGCGACTCCGACAGTGGCTGATGCTGGTGCTATGGCTGGCGTTAGATGAAATCATTTTCTGTTCGGTTTTCTCAGGTTCTCGGACCGCCATAGAACGCGCCTCGTGGCTCCAGCTATCAGGAGGCTGGCTTTCTCCAAGTTGCACTCAACTTCGTGAGGGTCTGTAGGTCATCTTCAGATTCTACCTGTGTTGGATGGATCTAGAGCTTCCCGTCGAGATCGCAGCTCGGCACACTGATGAATCGGCTCTTCCCTCAACCAACTGGCCTCTTATTGCCATTTCAGGTCTGACGACGCGATCGTGGCGAAACACGCTGTGATTTCAGGTAGTTGGATTAGACTCAGAAGTGTCCCATGAAGCTCGAGAGAGAACTACCGCAGCTGCCACCCGTTATAGCGTAGGTTATGGTCCGAGGGCGCTCGGAAACGTTCGACAGGCGAGGCGACTTGAAGAGAGCGCATCACCGATATCGGATGGGATAAGTTCTTTACAAGACGAGATTAACTCAGAGAGTTCGAATTGAATACATGTGACCTCATGCTTATTCCGTTGTGTGATTTTTGACTTTGGTTCGAATGAGGGAATCTTTCCCGTGGTAGACAGTAATGCTAAGCACGACTAGGGAATCCAAGTTGCAGCAACGTTAATGAACTTTCATCTCATATATCAAGAATTGAGCCTTAAAGCTGCTAGAGACACTCTGAATGAAAACAGACAGTAGTTTTTCGATGGTTCTTGTCATTTAATGAGGAGGATCATCGAATTAGTCTCCCATACCCAGCCAGGCTCACAAGAATGTGAAGAAAGGAATAAATCACTCGCCGTCCAGAAAAGATAAAATATCCTCTGTGAACACATCGATACCGGAATCGCCGAATGTGTTGCTAGGCTTTTGAGTTTAAGTTTATAACGATTCCAAACACAACAGCTCACCATCGTAATTGAATGCCTCTAATGAGGCTCACGATATTGTAACGATAAATGCGTGAATAATCAACTGTTACTATACAATAACTATTCTAAACATTTAGTTGAGGATATCACCAGGGGCAGGACCAGTAGGGATGGGGATGCTGGAGCCCTGAAGGACAGTCACAGCAGCAGCGTCAACGACATCCTCAGCGTGGCAGCCTCGGGAAAGATCGTTAGTGGGATAGGCAAGCCCCTGGAAGATAGGACCGACGGCTTGATAACCTCCGAAACGCTCAGCGACCTTGTAGGCGATGTTGCCAGCGTTGAGATCGGGGAAGATGAGGACATTGGCATGGCCGGCAACCTTGGAGCCAGGAGCCTTCTTGGCGGCTACCTCGGGAACCTGAGGGGGGATATGCGATACCAAAAGGCACTCCTGAGTGGAAGGCTTACGATGGCAGCGTCGACCTGCATCTCACCGTCGATGGCGAGGTCAGGCTTCTCCTTGCGAGCAAGAGCGAGAGCCTCCTCAACTCTGGTCACATACTCGTGCTTGGCACTGCCAAACGTGGAGAAGCTGAGCATGGCGACACGGGGAGTGGTGGCTAAGACATCCTCGCAGGTCTGGGCGGTCGTAATGGCGATCTCGGCGAGCTGCGAGATGGAAGGGGCGATGCAGAAACCGCAGTCAGAGAAGAGGAAAGTCTTGTCATCCTTGGCGATGATGAAGAACGAAGAAGCAGTTTTCAAACCCTTTTTAACCTGACAGAACGAGTCTTCCAAAATGCACGTCATCCGGCACCCTTGCATGCTTACACCAACAGTCTGCAAGGCGGCTCTGGCCACATCAGCAGAGGTATGAGAGGCTCCGGCGACACACTAAAATGACAAATAATAATAACTCCTTCCAGTAGGTGGGTGTTGAATTACTCCTTGAACGTGACCAGTGGTCAACATCAAGTCGGCCATCATGAGAGGGGAGTTCTTCACAGTATCAAGAGCAGCATCGAGAGTCATACCCTTCTTCTGACGCTTCTGGAACCTGAGCATTCATACCGTAACTTCCCCACTTCCTAGATCCAGTAGACCCACAAGACAGTTGCTGTCTGCTCGACGACTTCAGGGTGAAGGGAAGGGTCAATGATCCTCACACCTTCAAGAGACACGTTGTTAGCCTTCGCGCACTTGTAAGCCGCCTCGCGATCACCAACCAGCACCTATATCGAAGATACCACAGCTGAGATGCGAAACAGGTTCCCTACGGGTTGGGCGATCTTCTCCTTGAGGACCTTAGCAACAGCGGGGATAACACGCTCATCAGTGACCTCAGGGAACGCTATGAACTCTGAGGGGAAGGAAAAACTTCCCAATGAAAGTTACCACCGACTACGTACTTTCAAGGCCAGTCTGCATAGCACGCTGACGAATGCCAGCAAGGGCGGCGGGGGCACAGCGAGCAGTAGAACGAGAAAGCATCCGGATGAAGGTACAACTTAACCAAACTGGAATTCAACTATCATCTACCGAACAGACCTCATCAAGACCACTACGAAAAGACGACGCTATGAGCAGCAATAAGAGATAGAAGTATCTTCGTAGTGGCTAATTCTGGTAACGCTAAAATCGCATTCTGTCCCCTTCGACACAATACCACCACACAGCGTATTCAGTAGATACTAGATTAGTTTTCACATGTCAAACTTGAGCCTGGGAGCGCTGTTGTAACTCTATAGGACACTACGATAGCCTTAGCAACTTTCAACCACACCGAGTTCAATGCATGGTGTCTTATCCTCACATGCATCACTGTACCTCCCCCCTTTGAAAGTCCGGGCGTTCAAAGTCTTGTCGCTGGTAAGTTAACTGCTAGTAACCCGTACGACCACGACAAAGGTTAGTTTCGGTCCTCTATATAGCGTATGAAAGGTATCCTCTCGCGAACTTGTTAGACTCGTATTTCCTCAACTATCGTTACGTGAGATCGCAGGTTCGATCCTCGCCAACTCTATTTTAACTCAACACTGTACACCATCCGCCGAGAAAGACATCAGCTGTAAAAACGAGACTCCACTTCTCTCAATCTGTCTTCACTCTGTCGGCTCTACTTTGACACAATACCTACACAAAAAGTTACCAAAAGTTGGAATTGATCATTTGCACGCATGCACACGCACCTTATTCCCCGAGATGATCGCAATTGGCAGCAGAAGCGAACACAAGATCATCGTCTGGATGAGATTGAGAGAAAGAAAAAACATTCCGAGTACCGCCAAGTAGGCCGCGAGCGTGCCGAAAAACACCATCTGAACGCGCACATAAACGTCAAAATCTGCGTATCGTCCTACCCCATGCACGTCGATTTTCCACAATTCCATGTTGACCTTGAGTAACCCCAACCCCCTCAAGAAAGCCAGCAGAGGGATGACAGTAGTCAGAGCCTACAAAGCAGACCGTGTAACACATCTAGCCATACGCCGTCTACAACAAACACCGCAGTGATGACGAACGGTGGGGTCTTCTGCGCTGGCTTGAACGTGTGGGCGATCAACGGTAGAGGAAGATAGCGAGCTGAACATGCGGGAATACATCAAGTCGAGCAATTCATCAATACCAGCTAATTTCGTAGTGGTTCTGAGGTCGCCACTCCCTGGGATGCTGCTCTTGCTCAACGCGTCCTTGGTCATCTGAACTTGACCATGTATTCATACCGTAACTCGCGTAAATCATCTACCTGGTGGAACTCGAAAGGGACAGCCCCTAGCGACTGCTGCACGCCTGTTGGCATCATGTTATCTCCGATCAAGATCGTCAAGTCATATCTAAGATCGTCAGTGTGGCAAGACTGCATGTCTTGGTGACAATATGAAAATTATGAGGAAATTTTTGGAATTTTCTCTCGGTTTCCGTACACTTCTACCCGATTCTATAATTAGTAAGGAAACTCCCGAGCTTAGGTGAGGGAAGCGAACATTTATTTCTCCAACACGATAGACTTGCCCCTACTTCCCGTCCCTAGGGGTGATCGCTCCTGTGCCAGCCATAGGAATATCAGCAGTGTACGTTCCAGAAGAGTCGCGTGCGCCTGCGTGCAGCATACCAAAACTCCCCCAGCTCGTCCCAAAATCCCCTACGTGTCATCTCAATCACTTGCACGTCCGGAGCACCAACAACGTGATCACCTATACAATCGCTAATTACAAACCAGTGTAACCACAACAAGACTACCTTCCTTGAATGTCACCATCAGCGCCACTTGCGCCGGGTAGGACTCAGCCGTGGTGAAGTCGCACTTTACCGAGGGGTGGCCGCTGTCAGAAAGGACCGCGTTTTTGTTAACAGTGCCTGTTGAACGGTGCTATCAGATCAACAACAAATGAACATTCTACGAATCGCAAAGTGAGATTTCGGATCTTCTCGCAAGAGGGTCTAATAACATGAACACCCGTGTGGGGAGAAAATGAACACTTCGATGACAATATGGACATTTTAGGGTAAATTTCTTAATCCTGTCAAGTCCCCCGCGGATCCTATAATTAGTGAGGAACCTCCTGAAAGCTCAGCTGAAGAAAGCAAACATATATCGCAACACTGAGAGCAGCAATTCTCGACCCAGATGGTTGTCACTATAATAGTCGTGCATCACCTGTCGAGCTTCCACTTTGCCATCCCACCGCAATCACGTCGGTATTGCTTTTAACAACGCATTTCTCGAGGACGGCGACATCCCCGGCAACGGCAACAACAGAGGGAAAGGCGAGGACGGCTATGATGAGAGGAATAATCATAGTCGAGGAAAACCTGCAAGGATTTGAGCCCGATGCCTCCAGGATGACAAGTCAACTCTTTACCCTACTCAACTAATATTGAAATGAATAACTCCGACGAAACTCAGTGCGTTCAACCACCTCTAACACACAGTGCTGGAATATGTGTTCGATTTCCTTCAGCGGAGCTCAGCGGTTTCCTCACTAACCATGGAATTTCACATAGAAGTTTGCAGAAAGCAACAATTGTTTCCAAGAATTTCCTCAATATTTTCATATTTTCACCGACACACAGTTCACCATATGCATGTTCTCCCACAGGGATCTCATGAAAGATGATATCGGAACCAAATAACATCACCAATAATCGACGCTAGTCATACCAATCTTTTGTCTTCTCATCGCAGCAGAAGGAAGTACAGTATATCGCAAAACCCGACGGTAGCCTTGGCACAGGAGATTCCTCAGCTGAGGTGATGAACCTTAGTTCTGAAGCTTTCGAGATTGACGGGGGAGTTTAGTAAAGCTCGACGAGATCAGCCCTGAGATGGATCCTAAGCAGTTTAGTGAACTCCCCGTGAATTAATATCCGCCGTAGAAAGCGCACGCCCAAATAATCGATATCGCTACCGATTTAGGGGTCGTTCATTATACCGATTTCGAAACTCAGGATAGATTCCAGAATCGCTTATTACACGTATAACGCGATGCTAGGATCGATTCGGAAGTCCAGAATAGATTCAATGAAATTGAGGTTAGTCTATATTGTAATACATGTAACCCTGCAACGATTGTCAACGTGCGTCAAATTTCACGGTTTTCTTTGGTCGTAGCGTATGTTTCTCTGAGTTCTCACATGTGTATGCAACTGTGTGTCTTGCGTAAACTCACATCGTAAACGCATTCCCCCATCCGTTTTCTGCGTTGAAGGCTCCTCAATGGCCTCGGACGGAATAGACACATGATTCATGTCTCATTTCATGTGACATGAAAGCGTTACATCCACAATGCATAGTACCGTCGAGGACCTGTAGATACGTGTGACGAAGGAGTATTAGGGTGAGGTTCAAAACTCAGCACAATCGTCCCTCCAGACACGAGACAGGAACACATCAGTCATCTCATGCTACTGACAGCGGAAACGGCGCTTCGGGTTCGAGAGCCTCTCCACAACGCTGAAACAGTGCTCGGTGCTAGCTGTGTGATGGCTACGACGCAGTCCGTTCAGAACAGACCTGAGCGCTAAGCCCTGTGTGCTAAGTCTTGTGTTGCGCATGAGACTGTGCAAGTTGACGCGTAACGAATTCCAAAACCTACTCGACTTGAACGCTGAGTTGCATGCTCAGGACCCACTGGGTGATCCAAGGATGTGCCTTCAGGTGTCCCTGACGAGATTGTGTCGACAAGAGAAGTTGATGAAGCCTTTACCCGTAACCAGGCGGAAATGAGTGCAACCTTTAATATTCATACGCCTCATGATGTTTCATGAGCTTCATGGAGACCTACAGGTGAACAAGTTCTCAATGAAGCAGGGAGCATCGCTTCTTGGGAGTAAGCCTCTGGCTTCAACGGTTGAAGTTCAACCAACAGTGAGACCGACTGAGGATCGGGAAGTTCCTGATTACTCCGCTGGTACGGTATGAGCGCCTCCACTATCTAATGAACTCATCAGGGCGTATGGTGTAGTGGTATCACGTCTGCTTCGCATGCAGAAGGCCCCGGGTTCAAATCCCGGTACGTCCAGATTTTCGTAACGCGCCTCGCAGACTTTGAATTGATGTGAACCTATAAGTCATACATTTCGCCGTCGCTCCACCGATGATGCATTCGGGTTTACAAGTTCAACTATACGGCTGGAGTTCGCCTCATAAGAATAGTATTTCTCCTACACCGGATTTCTCAAAACAATGAATTAGCAAAACAGGTGCGAACCCATTCCCAGGCTACCAGTTTGGAACCAAAGAAGATAAGTAACCATATTCAGCATTTTGCTTTGACAATCTACGACTAATACTATAGAGGTATGGAACATGGATCGGAACTTCCACGATTGCTTATTCAGGAATGCAATTTCCGGATAATTACCACTGGCTTGGAGATACACGACCAAGGCGCATCCTACTTTTAGCATCCTGTATAGACTCAAGTATTTCCCCCTCCTGCGATTTACACAATGGTTATCCTCTCATCCTATCACTCGTCAAGTAAATCGAACGAGGAATTCACGCTGGCCACACCGATTCGCCCACAGTGCAGATGGGAAGAACCAACTGATCACGCAACACCACCGGTGTTGCACCAGTACGTAAAAGAGTAACGTTGAAGGAAATTACGCGCAGCGAAGATTATGTTATGAATAGGATACGCACACCCAGATACCCAAGAATGGAGGAAGTCGTTCATGCATGCACTAAACAGTGAAGTCTTCCGCAAACAGTTATCGTCGCCTTACCACCACCCGTCGTGATGGGTCAAGTGCGCCCCTGGGCACACTACGAGGATCTACAAGCAATAGAAAATCTCAGAGATGAAAATAAACTTACTTGTGAATTTCTGGCGGACGTATCGTTGCTTGAGAGTCTCAGAAGATTCTTCTCCCAAAACGGATGAGGAATGCCGAGAAACCGGCGTGCTCATGAAGCCAGAGCCCTCGCTCAGTGGACCTGTGCGAAATCGACGTACTAGAAATCTACCACGTTGTTGGATGTCCAACCAATTAAGCTTATATGTAATCTCATACCACACCCTTGCGAACTTACTCTCATTAGCATCAAAGCTTCGACAACTATCATTGCCGTGCACCCTAGCCTTAGCAGCTGCCACGACTTTCGCTACCTTCTCCGCTGGCATGTCGAAATGCATGTCAGGATTCGATTGCCTGATACCAACTAGATCCAGACGAGGACACTCTGTGCTGGGTTCAGCGGATTTTGATAATGAAAAGAGAAAATGCTATGGTCTCAGGATGACACAAAATATTGCCCCCCACAATTTACTTATTGTTGTGTATGTAGTATGGAGTGTGCTAGTTTTCTACTACTAAACTGCTCTCAATCTCACATTCTGCGTGAAATCAGACGGTGTTTCGTTAACTCAAAGGATATTGGAAAACCGTCATAACGCCCTACCTCTGAGTTTCCCTTCGTAGTCGAGCTTGACTGACAGAATCAGTGCTGGAACCTCCAGACAGTGTCACCACACCTGATCACAAAAACCATAAGCGTTACTATTTTTGCCACTCAGAGACCACCTCCCGAGGACTTGGCATCTAATACAGCGCCAGCTGAAGTGAGACCGTCTCGGGAACACACTGCTCGGATGAGCAAAGACGCAGCTACGATCGCCACCACCTATATGGATAGTTCACATAACAATAGATGTGCTTACTCACTATGATGACAACAACGTAGGCCACCCAGGTGAAGTCAGTGCGTGGTGTTGGCTTTACTTCAATTGTGCAAGCGCCCGGTGCTACACATACCCAACCTGAAGCCAGCTGAATATGCACATCGTGTTGGTGACAATATGGAAATTCTCGGGAAATTTTCATATTTACATTTCTGGTAGAGAACTGTTCGTGGTTTGTAATACTTCTACTCGAATCCCTAAATAAACTCCTGAGCTCAGGTAAGTACGCACACGAGCTTACTTCCTTCTCTCGAATTGCAATCCTGTTGCACTTGTTGAAATATGCTCCCATCCCAGTCCGTATTAGAGTTACAGTCACCAGCAGAAGGATATGTACCATACAGATACCAAGCCACGTTAGGAACTCCTCGCAACACCATATACGCCGCCTGGCCCTGCCCTTTGAGACTGACACCACTTGTGCATGCGTGCAAACAACACAGTGACTTACTCGGTGTTCCGACATTCCAACGGCAGCATTGACATCGACCAAACGAGCCGTCCGTCTTCGAACTCCTTCAAACAGTAGTCATCATAATATCCCGAACCTACGTCATTAGCGCTCGCCCGAATGATCGATATCATCTCAACTTACTAGCCTCTGAAATTTCAGGGTAGCCCATACTGAGATCCTCAGAGTGTTCCATATGCGACCACACATTGTTCCCGATCATATCAGAACAAGCACTTCGAGAGAACTGCGCCACTCTGCTCAGCGGCTCCGAATCGGCTAAAATAGTGAACACTGACGACGCTGGTGTAATGCGGAAGATGAGAACTATTTTCGCTGTGGAAATGCCAGAATGCAGAATCGTCGCATTAACTTTTAGATCACTACCACGATTACTCCAGTGGGAAAATATGCAAATGGTAAACTACGTGTATTGATGACAACATGAGAACTCTCTGAATATTTAGGGTTTTTGTACACTTCTACCCTAAATCGTGTGTAAACATAATCAGCTGAGTAAACCAAACATATATTCCAACACTGTTCTAGTATGCTGTAAAACCACAGCATGCGTCCTTCTCACTCGTATAGCTGAAGCTGCAGTCGAGCAAGGAGGAAACCGCGCTCTCATACTGGCCTGAACAACGACATAACATCATCATAACAATGCGAGTATCGACTCACATCGTAGTGTGGCAAACGTCGAGACCGCAGCCACATTGCCAGGCATAGCTGAGGGAGAGGGAAAGCCTCCGAAGTCCACTATAGTGGAAGCTCCAGCGACGTTGTTACCGGCACCTCCTACGGACTCCGCCGAGACACTGAAAGAGAATAAAGCATGGGTGTTCGACTTATCAATTACAGTGTTGGAATATATTATGGCTTACTCCACTAGGAAAAGCTTCCGAGTTAGTAGTGCATAAAAACAGTAGTAATTTCCTCAGAATTCCCTCATTATAATCAACAAGCGCAGTTGACGACAATCAACATACAAGAGCAGCAAATGTGAACAATAGTATCGATGCCTGAGACATCACACTGCATCCGTGGATTACACTGTCCCAAGGCACAAATCACATCGAAGATGATCACGAAATTGAAGTAGTGGTGGTATGACTCAAATTGGCATTCAAAGACGCTGAACACGGCAAAAGATCCAATCCAAAGAGTATAGTAATATTCATGGGCTGCTTCCTTAACGATATACGAGTGAAAAACAATAATTTTCATGAAAAATACCGAGCCGGGGACTCGAACCAGAGACCTATTCCGCGTTATAGAGGCGTCCGAGCAAAGTTAACACGTAGGGAGCTCCGCGAGAAGGCCCAGTGGAACCTACTTGTTGAGCGGTAAGTCGACACGTTTCAAGGCGGTCAACGAGTTGGTCGATTCAGAATTCAGCTGAACAACCAGTCCCCCTTGGGTGGTCATATTCAACCTCACAGGAGGCACCATCGGGCCTGTGAGATCCCAAGGGTTATACGCAGACGCATATGCTGGAGACCGACAGTGATCAACGGTTGTGCTATCCGAAGTGACTCACCAAAGGGGACATCGACAAGCATGAGATATTCACTCTGAGAACAGTAGATGCCATGGGTTGTGGAGTGCTCTGGGCTGCTATACCTGACCACGAAAATACACTAATCTTGTGGCGCGTGAAGGCCCACTCACCACTGCGAGCTCCGCTCCCACGGCGCGCCTGCCTGCATGCTATTCACGAAAAACTGCAAATTCGCATCATAACCGTCTTTAGAAAATGTCGGCAGAAACGCCAGAACCTCCTTGCCTTCTTGGAATTGAGTGAGAACCTATATGAAAAGTCCTAATTCGATACTAGACCTTCGTAAGGCTTGCGGGTTCAATTCCCGGCACGAGCTTTATTTCAGCATTTCCCGACTGCAAGAAAGTCACAACCGGAACACTCAATAAAGGGTACGGATGCGCGTATTTTAATATTTACCAGGAAAATTTTTCCCTGGGAAACATGGACTTGGATTCTTTGCAAGTATGTGTTTCGAGAGCTCAACTGATGCAATTCGAACGCATAGAAAATGCGCGTTTTGACCTACCCCTAGCCCAAAAGGAGGGTTCTTCTCCCTCGCCACCACAGACTTCAAAAGCTGCGTAGCTCCGTAGTGACAGTCACTAGGACTCACGAACTGTATCAAGCCATGTAGGTATCTGCAAAAGGCGGCGAACGATACCGGATACTATGATGAACTACGTGGTAGATCGACACGAACTCAACTTCTCAAGAAGGACATCCGTCAGGAACGTCTTCTACTGCTGATAGCAATATTCCTATCCCAGTAAAAAGCTGGATAGCTCTATAGATCATTCGATGGGTTGGAAAGTATAGATAAGTCACGAACAAGTAGTTGATAACATTCTATATTGATATTGAATAATACGGCTTGTAATCCCACACTTACTCAACCAAACCATTGGGCCTGCCAGCGGCTGTGCCGCAGTTATACACAATCCTGCCCTCAGGTTGTGATGCGTTTTGTACATAGTCAAAATAGAGGCCAACGTATGACCTATTAGCTGTACCGTACACGTAGGCATACCTACAGAGAAAGTCGTGTCGGACGACTAGGTTGGACAAGTTGGGATTTACACTGCGAAAATGATCTCCGCAGATTTCTAGTAAATTTTCTGTAGATTACCGATATAATAGGAGATAACGCAACGATCCCAGAGGGAGTATTGAACGACTAGTCGAAATGGACAAAATGGAGAAGAATGTGCCGCCTTGATTCTTGAAAGGACCACCCTCTCTCTCGCCAATGCCACTGGAGCGTGGCATGCGAGTCGACAGTCGATCTCCATACTCCTTCCCAGATTACAGAGACCTCAATCAGACTGATCTGTAACGGTTGCAAGTTGTATACATGTTAATACTGTGATATGTGTGTATACATGTGAATAGTACTGTAAAATTCGCCTGTTACAATAATACCACTGATCTCCTCTCAACCACTGGGCCTTGACATAAGTTCTGAACTTGCGATATATCCCAACATAGTAGAGCTTGATGATAACTGGGAGCACTGGCCCACTAGGCCGGACCCGGTGATATACAACTACACTACCAACCGCGACTAAAGTAGCTCTAGCGAGATCCATCAACGCGGCTTCCCAATCGTAAACGACGATTAATAGTCGTCGGAAAGACCCAGAAAATATCCAGTATTTATCCATCGCCGTCTATGAAGCCGATCAGGTCTGTGGTGCTGCTTTATCGCATGTGGGGAAGTTACCTCACAAAACTGCGATACAAACCGGAAGTCACTCCGTAAACTTGACTTGATTTACAACAAGCAAGTGAAAAAAGAGTTTCGCTGACCTATGTCTGGTCTTGGCCCGACAAAAATTAAACCTCACAAGAAATTGTCGCCGCCAGGGTTGATGATGTTGCCCATGATCCTCAACATACTCCCCGATCGCCACGCTTCCATTGGTGTCTTCGGCGATTTCGCAGGAGGCAATGAATCTGGGGAAAAAAGTTCAATTTCGAACTAGTGACCCATCACAAATTTCGATGCTCTTACCGACGGGAGTTGCCTTTGTCACTTCAGAGTGCACAGTTTGAACCAGCAACAGTAGCAGTGCAGGAAGGAATCTATATAACAACATTACCGCGGCGGGCACGCTGCTACTGAAGCCGCCTAGGGAGAAAGATAGTGAGAAAATGAATAGCAACTATCCATGGCATACGATTGGTACATCCCCCCTGAAATTACACTCTTTCAGTACAGGGATCGTCACACATTCGATGCTCAATGACCGCTCTTCACATCAACGCGTACATTTCCTCAACTCAACACCAAGGAAATCGCACAGGCTGTGCACCACAGCGCTTTCTCACTGGACAGAACGACCACAACAGTTCGGTTCGTAACAAATATATTTCCAGGAATAGCCTTGACAGGCAAAAGAACACATACATAGATACTGGAGAAACTTAATATAGAATACTAGTCTTGCAATACTTGCATTTTCCCAACGTACGGTCTGATATCACTCGAATGTGCTGCTCCAACTGGACCCACTGTATTGCTGTTGAAGCAGGGCTGCCAACTATCGCACGTCTCGAGGACTTTTCGATCACTAAAAACTACGATGTTGATTCTTAGAGCACCTTTTCACCACGATTCGCTTGGAAATGTCGAGGGCTCCTCTGGGTAAATACGAAGGATCTGAGAGTACACTAATGGATATATCGCCGCCGCGATTCGAACCGAAGACCTCACCTGTCAAGTGGATCTGGCTACTCTGTGAGCTCTCGCTTCTAGCAAAATGCCACCTCGGCATATGATACTGATGGCCATCACAAGACGAATCGGAATCTGTCAACAAGAGCGAGTAATTTCTCTGATCAGTGCATCATCTGGTCATACCACTTCCCGACTTCTCACTATCAACTGATTCATCGCCGCTGCTGTGAGCGCTGTCGGACGAACTCAGTTCTTCTGGATGCATCCTAGCCTTTGCCGCTGCAAGGACTTTCACAACTTTCTGCGTCGGCATACCAAAGTGGGATTCTTCCGTAGGCATCCTAAAGAGCCTCCACTTAAGCCTCAAACTCAACTTGAGACTGTCAGACTAAAGATTGCCCACCTGCGGAGCTCGCTATTCCCCGCGCGCGCCCGAATCTTCGCTGTGCGAGGGGAGAGCCTCTGCGTATCTCCGACAGATGGCGATTCGATGTCTTGGGAGCCAGAGGGGAGTATGAGCACGCCTAAGTCATTCATCATATGAAAATTATGCACGCATGCACAAACCTACCGTCCACGCCCATTGGTTCAGCCTTGGCTGCAGCCCCTGCTGCAGTAGACCCGTGACGAACAATATATGCACGCGTGCCCAGGAATATTGCTAGCGTTAAAGCAACCTAAAAAATTCGGCAGATATGAGTTGAATCTTCCCGACCTCTTCGCAGCCTACAAGAGTGATAACCAAATACGCAATCCAATGATACCCTGATGAACCCGTGGCCTCCACTTCGACAGTGCATGCGCCCAAAGTCATACACGCCCAACCTGAAACAAGAGTGTACCATTTTGGAAATTCTCCATACAAGAAAGTGAGCACTCTGATACTCCCACCGACTTCGCGCTTTCGCATTCACTCCCGACGCGAAGCCAACTAGATACGGCACGGAAATTCATCAACCATCAACGATGCCTTTCAAGTGTACCAATAGGTGACTCTGATGCTGAAATTCATATTTCAAGTTGAGACACTTCCTAGATGGAATTATAAACAGGCATTCTAAAGGCATCTGACCTCCCGGATTGGAGAATTCTGTTTGTGAAAGCTTACTTCCCTGTCTCGAATTGCAGTCCGACTGAACTTGGAAATAAAGATCTCCATCAAAATTGGTATCAGTTTGACAGTCTTCCAAAGTGTCGTACGTGCCATAGAGATACCAAGCAACGTGTGGTACACCTCGTAGCACCACGTATGAGTCAGACGATTTTCCACCGAAACTGACAAAAAACCCGACTCCCACGACCACCCTTTCGGTGGTGTCGTGGCGGCGCCTACTTAGAATTCCTGCATTCGAGCGGCCTCATAGTCAACTGCCACTGTAGCTTCCCTTCTTCGAACTCCTTGACGCAGTAGTCATAATAGTAAGCAGGATCTGAAAAAATGAAACGTCCGCGGATCGAACGGCATACCTCCTGTATGAAAACGAAGTGGTTTACCATTGCAGTAATTCGACACTGCACTCACCAGCTTTAAGGATCTTGGGGTATCCCATGCTAGGATCCGAACTTTGGTCAGCATGCGACCATACGTTATTTCCAACCATATCTTCACAAGTTGTCCTCGAAAACTGCGTCATCCTACTGAACGCTTGCGAGTCGGCTAAGAAGACACGCATATTGTTGGATTCAGCAGCGCTCTCCCGTCGTACTTGTGAAGCTATAACTGCAGTCGATCAGTGATGACCATGCACTCTCGTAAGAACCTAATACCGTATCTTTCATCATGATACAACCTAGGATACTCACATCGGAAAGAATCGAATCTGCCATATTCTCCACTGGTCGCTTCCGCCTGTGGAAAACCGCTAAAGTCAACGATCGTCCTCGGGACGGAGTAATCATCATACGTACCACTACTCGTGCTGGCCGAGGAGCTGCCAAGAAGTCGCAGGTTCGATCCCCACACCTTGCATATTCTCACTTCAATTTCGACGGAAGCTCCACCCTCTTCACAGCGTCGAGATTGCTCATCGCCTCCGACCTCAACTCTGCGATCAACCCTCCTTTAGACGACATGTTCAGCTCTACCGGAGGTATCCGCGGCCCAGTAACCGCCATCGGGTCATACGTCCGATAATACTCTAACAACAGCTCATCCAATCAGTTAGTCACCGAGCCTCTTACCAAACGGCATGTCAATGATGATATTAGACTCTGCTGTATTCGAACAGTAAATGCCATGAACTGTAGAATGCTGCGGAGAGGAGTACCTGAAAAACCACATCCAAGAGCTCCTCAGTACGCGAGTAACTCACTGTGACCTACCAAATGTCGTCTCTCGACCAAGGCACCAAATTCGCTCCGCTCCGCCTCGCGAGCATTTGCAGGTCCGCATCGCCGTAGCGACCAAACGTCGGTATAAAGGCAATCACTTCTCGACCGTCAAGCTTCGTCGTCACCAACTACAAACAGCACAGAGTTATATCCTGAGCGCATTCAACCACCAAAAGGAAGCGCTTTGATACAGGATCAAATTAAGTGCAGTAGAACAGTTCCTTCGAAAAAAATCGAAAAACGCCCCTCCTCTGCCGCTGCACCGACAGTACCCTATAATATCTCTCGGTTTCAAACTCGCGACAACAAGTTTTGACGAGTACCCCGTGAGCAGTGAATACTGTGACATAATAGTGATTGTATAATCAAAGGATCACAGTCTCCCTGATTCATCATCAGATGGAAATAGAAAATCCGCATCGGCTGGACATCCAATTTCAGCTTACTTCGAGATCTTCCGGTGCATCGTCATCACTGTTGAGAATCGTCTTAAGCATCTTGGTTGCATTGAAATGACAGTCATTCGGGTTCGCGAACTGCAGCAATCCATCACGAAATCTAAAATGAAACACCCTTAGATGGATCTCACGACCTTCCGATACGAAACTCAACCCGATACCACTACACCAACCACCCACAATTTTCTTACACGACCAGTCCTTCAGGCTCTCCCGCCTCCGCTCCACAGTTATACACTATCCTCCCCTCAGGTTCCGAGGCCATCGAAATGTAGTCCAAATACAACCCCACATACGAGCGATTGCTCGTTCCGTGGACATCGATGTAACTACACAACGACGACTTCTATCTCAATACCACTCCTTCCGGAAATCTCAAGTGTCTCCATATAAACTAGACCAGTATCAGCCAAGACTAGACCCATATAATTCGACGAATATACTCGGGTTGCACTTCATGCGGGCAGCAAGGACTCTCTATTTTGATTCCCACGTAGATGTAGACTACCACATCGGTAGTGCGTGCCAATTCGTTATGCGAATGTGAGAGAAAAACTTGTTATTTCCCGTTGCTGATGAGATTCGATCTGAAACTATATCGCATAAACAATGTGAACATTGCTTATGAACCTGTGATGTGATGAAAGCAACAACTTCACATTTGCACTTCAAACTCAAACACACCCACCCAATGACCAGATATTACAGGAAATTATCCTCTCCAGGATTGATTATATTACTCATGATACGCAGCACGCTCCCACCATACCACGCCTCGATCGGCGTGCTCGGCACCGGAGAAGACGACGGCGTGCCTGAGCAAACACCCGTTTAGCCGTTTTACGCGAAGTGACGTAAAACTCGGTGAAAAACGCGATATTTGCGGTGATATACAGTAGTCGTGAAATATATTTTTCACTAGTGTTTTTCATATCACTAGGGTGAAACTCCATTATTTTCCACAACGACTTAACAAACTGAGAAAATGATACAAATCGCAATAATCACCAGATATGCAGGGGTCGTGGAAAAAAGTACAATATTTTCAAGTTGCTTCTCTCTTCAAAAAACTGCACATAAACCCCCCGAAATCTTCCCCCAGTATTACTCTCAGCAGCGTTTCTCGAAATCAATTGCCACAGGAAAAGTAGCAGAAACAATCCTCCTTTAGAATACTGCAACAACATCACTCAGTCGAAGATGCCACTAGATGGATCGGCCGACCGCCCCAGCACGCTGTGAAGCGCCGAAAAAAGTAATGTACACTGAAAATATCTTATGTTCGACCGCCAAAGATACAAATTAGGTCCAAATGAGGCACTTTAACTCAACATCGAAGCATCAGAAACTACATGTTTCCTCCTGACCAGCCGCTCTTGCTTCCAACACCATCCACGTGTCGGAACTGTCCGGAGCATGCTTTCGATAAATCCTTCGCAATCGGTTCGCAAACCTATGAAAACAGCTCAGAAGATATGATCTTTTTCCGAAAAAAGTTGAAAAATTTTCCCGAAAATGAGGATATCCAGTTGATTAGATATACTCGGGGGTTGGAGTCAATTAAAGACTCAAGTCAGGAAGGGGTAATGTGAGGTTAGTCTACATCACAGTTTCCATGATATTACAAGCTTTATCAATTGAAAGGTAAATCGCAAGGCTACAGGGTTCGATCTAAGGACGAAATCTCGCTCGTTGTTGAGCCCAAATTCTTTCGCTGCTCTCAACCTCCTGATGACTGCATCCACCGAGGGGCCAAAGCCTTGACGAAACTGTTGCCGCCGTTTTCTATCTTCAATACCAGCACACCATTTGTTGTAATCCTTTGGGTTGGGAACACCTCGATCCCTCGAGTGGGCTGTTACCACAAACAGGTCTGTAGGTACCACCCACTCATCAGGCTGGGTAGGGGTTAACACCTCATACCGGAACAGGTCTTCTACTGCTTCCTTCAGGGCCGCTTGAGTGGTATCCACTCGATAACGCCGGGACTTGGGGTCAGCCATCAGGCCCCCCACCTTGCGAGCGTGGCCCCTTAACACCGATTGGACTTCTTGTTCCACGGTGTAACGGCCTTGGCCAAATCGCTCGTTAAAATGGAGGTAAGTATACTTATCGATAGCAATCGTTCCAGAACTGGGGTCAGAAGGAATGTTTTTTTCCGAAAAAAACTGAAGAATTTTACCGAAAATTCCCGAAAATTACCCCCAATCCCCCACTACACATTGTCAGGTTCCGTCATAACCCCATAGAGCATACTACTGCCTTGAACTGCTCTGATAAAATGGTAAGTACAGAAGTACGCTGCGAACGCTGGTAGTGCGCGGTAATCTGAAACGCTCGCCTCATTGTAGTTTCACACGTTTTACGTAAAGTGGCAAAACACCCTCCTATAATATGCATTACGTTAACATGTTTTGATGTCCATACGGTTTCATCTACAGCATTTTCAGTTCAAATTGATACAAACTAACTCGGTAATCATTAATCATTATGATATTGTATCATCCAGGCTGTATAACGCACGCTATCAACATTCCAAACTTGTCAGTAGCTCTCGTATGCTAGTTCAAATGGTTAAGCCATCTATCCACCAACCCAGAGGTCTCCGGTTCGATTCCACCACTCTCCATTTTTATTACATCTCTCCTTTCCAAAACTCCATATACCTCCCCACTCACAAAGTCGTATTCCCACTACCGCGCCGATCACACCAACAACTTTGGCCAGCGTTTCACTAACACCAACAGAAAATACACGATGCCGGGATCGAACCTCCGCGGGCCGTACTACCGCGATTACTCCTCATGAATCGCGATCCGTTCCAACTGCCCTTCACTGAGTTCCTTCCCTCCGTGAACAGTCAGCTGATCGTTAATCGCCTGATGAGTTTTCAAAAAGGAGTGGTATGATAATAAACGCCTACTACTACCTTAAACACTTTATCAACGCTCTCAGTTTCAAACCATAGAAACTTCATCATTCTTCGGAAAAAACTTTCCGACGGCCCTTCAGCATCACACATTCGAAAAAAAAAGGACAAAAACGGACCTATTCCACATCTTCCTCGCTCAACCTCAAGATACCACCTCATTCTTGGAAACAATACTATCACATAAACAACCAGCTGGTAAAATACAAACGGTCGAACTTCCTCTCAAAACTCTGTGCCTGAAATACTGAAAAAATCGTCCCATGTAAACTCTGACATGACAAACATGACAAACTCAGTTACTTTTGTACACTTCATAACTCATCGGTACGAGTACAATTCGAAAGTGGGGGAGAATATGCACATCTTTATTAACACTTTACGCAATTTTTCAATGTTCTACCCATTTTGTCAACATTTCACTATTACCGTATTTACCCCACTTCCATGAAATTTTACCCATTTTCGATATTTTACTCAAATTTTGCTAATATTTTACCCATAATTTTGATGAAATATCAAACAAATCAATGCAATATCTAGCTTAGACCCCTACGATATACTACCCGTGATCACAGCAAGGTGAACCTAGTGTTCATCCATTTCCTCAGTTCAGAGGCCGTCAACTCCCCCTTAGAATTCCTATACCCTACACCAGTACACAGAGCCGAATATATGTATTTAACTTCGTCATCACGAAGCGTTATACTCGTAAGTTGAGCTGAGAAACATGATCATCATGCACCGTCACGCGCCACGAAATTACACCAACCGAATGAGTGACCCTGTGAGTCACGCGCCACGAAATTACACCGACCGAATGAGTGACCCTATCTTGTGAGTCACGTGCCACGAAATTACACCGATCGAATGGAATAAGCCCTGCGGTGTATACAAAGAAACGTCACGCGCAACGAAATTACACCGACTGAATGGAAAAAGCCCTGCGGTGTATACAGAGAAACGTCACGCGCCACGAAATTACAGCACTCAAGTGGATAAGCCTTGCGGGGTGGACGGCAAGGAATCGTCACGCGCCACGAAATTACAGCAATCAAGTGGATAAGCCTTGCGGGGTGGAGGACCAGGAATCGTTACGCGCCACGATTTCCGAGTGGGGAATCGAATAGGAATTCCCCAAAATTCCCTCAAAAATTTACATATTTTCCCATTCATAAATCAAAACTGATGCACTTAAAAATCCTACACCATTCAGATTTTGTCGCGCGCCACGAAATTACATGTCATAGCAGCAAATTCCTCTCTAGTCATTCCTCTCGAGGGATCGTCCACTGCAAAAGCCTCATAAATTCGCTCCGCATCGTTATCAAACTGGAGACCAATTTCACGCCGAATCTGAACAACCATATCTCATCACCAGGAATTGGGAAAGTTACGGTACTCTATTTAATTTCCGAGATTTCGAAAATCCGAGAGCACCGGTGATCATCCCAACTAGGAATGTATAACCACCCAACAACCACGCACCAGCACTCCTGAATAGAAAAAAAATGTCTACACCGAGAATCGAACTCGGGTGGGTGGCAACTAAATACACAGAGCATGTAGTTAAATACAAAAGGATATGTGTTGGAAATTTACAATAATCAAAACGCCTACAGTAACTATACTTTTGCAATAACAATTGCACAGTAGATGGCGTCTAATCTTCAAAGGTGTACAGTTTACAAAACATTCTTGCTTATTAATAACATTACTCAAAAACCTCACTTAATGAAAATTGCATAAAGTGAGATTTTTATGAAGAATCGATCTGAAACTATATCGTTAACATTGCTATGAACATGTGATGTGATAATGGTAACCTTTCGAGACTATGATAGCGACAACTTGTTCACTATCATTAATCCCAGAATAGAGAACGCACATTCTTCACATCTGTGTTGGAGGAAATTTCAATGAAAATCGATCTGAAACTATATGGTGAACATTGCTATGAACATGTGATGTGATTAAAATAACCTTTCGAGACTATGATAGCGACAAGTTGTTCACTAAAATAACGGACGTGTAACACAGTTTCACGCCTCATAAGAAACATTCTTTCGCCAGCAAACAGTGTTGCAATATATTTTCGTAATATCATATACAAAATCAAGTAGAAGTGTTCAGAAACCAAAAATAATTTCCCAAAAATTTGCATATTATCACCATCGCAAATAAATGTCAAAAAAAAACAAATATCCCCACGCCGCCGCCAAGAATCGAACCGGCGACCTTTCGCATATTACCAGCATTTATTAGCCCTCATACTTGAGAAGACTGCTGATCCCAAATACACATACCATACCCCCTTTCCCGTTATTCTCATCAATATCTTCAAAAATCCTTCCGCAAACTCCTGAGAAAAAAATCTCAATTTTCCGTGTAAAAAAACAACTGCTAAAATCATCCCACACAAAAACCCCAAAAATTTCCTTTTTTACGGATTTTTTTTCATTCATTCTATGGAAATTCTGATAGATTGTTTTTGTTTTCTGTGCATTCCCATCGCAAGCCGTGTGTAAACTTCGACATAGCGTGAGACTTCAATTTAAATAAATTTTCACCCATTTTACGTCAAGTGGCGTGATTCTTCATGAAAAACCGCGATATTCGTGAAATATATTTTTCACTAGTGTTTTCATATCACTATGGTGAAACTCCAATATACCTTTATAGACTTACATATAATGTACGTAATTAAAGAAATTTAAATACAATTTTTTTCCCAAAATTTTCTCAGAATTTTCATATTTTTCCCACTTCCCTCTACTACTCTCAACTCTACTGCCACCCGAGTCCTCGTTGGTAAATCGATAGCCACCATCATAACAGAAAACATTAGCAGGAAAAACGCTTCCAAAATACTCAACAAAATCAGCGGATGATAATATAAAACCTGACCAGAAACGAATGTTCATCAAAATTATATCGAAAAATTCGCTAAAAATTTTTTCCTGATTTTTCAGGACGCTATGATAAATTTTTTAAGATATAGGCGCACGAAAATTTCCTAATTATTTCGGAAATTATTTTTCACCCGATTTGTCGACACGCTATGATGGGAATGTTCCCGTTCAAAGTATACATACTCATAGGCGGGCTAAAATTCTTAGATAAATCGGAAAATTTGCAAATATTTTTTTACCGATTGTTCTACACGCTATGATGAAACCTGTCCGTTTTTATACTCATTTATTGGAGTTTCACCCGTTTTACGTAAAGTGGCGTAAAACTCCGTGAAAAACGCGATATTTGCGCCTTGCAATAGTCGTGAAATATAATTTTTTCACTAGTGTTTTTCATATCACTAGGGTGAAACTCCATTCATAGGCGAATGAAAATTTCACCGGCGTAAAATTCCGTACATAACATGAAAATTCAATTCCAATAAAAAAATTTTTCTATATTCGTTTTTTACTCTAATGATGAATTCGAGCAGAGGTGTTGGAATGTATGTTCGCTTTCCACAGCTGAGCTCGGGAATTTCCTCGCAAATTCGTCCAGAAAAGTACAGAAACCAATGAAAATTTCCTAAATTTTCCACAAAAGGCACCAACACATATAGTTGACCATATGCATATTTTCCCACACTTCTCACATGCAGTAGATTCACGACTGCCGCCACGAATACACTCCCCGCTCCCGAAGACAGCAGTAAACTCAGTGTCATCGGATTTTCACCATAATTCACCGCTAAAGTAGTCACTGCTTCAACAGCCGCCGCGGTCCCTTGCCCTACTAAAATAGTTCAGTTTTGAGCTTTGCTCTCCAGTGTTGTGAAAATTACTATAATACACATTAACACAAAGGAACGAAAAAAAGTGAATTTTTCGTAACAGAGGTCAAATTCTGCGGAAACTTTTATCGTTTCGATTTACTCATATTCTAGGTGAAAAAATCCAGAAAATCTATGAAAAACTTCGTGTATTGTGGTACAGATGAAAAACAAAGAAAAACTTTCATCGTATTAAAAGTGAATTTTTTTGAAAGCCAACCACCACGAGTGTCTAAAGGAATCCTTGAAAAATTAGGTAGGACATTCACGAAAAAAACACTGCTTCGAAAACACGATATAGAGCGAATTGAATAATTTCGCGAATTTTATCGGACAAATCACCACATTTCACGTAAAACACGCGAAATTTAAAATATGTTTTTTCATACCATGAGTAACACTGCTGATCAAGATGAACGAAAATAAATCCAAAAATCGAAGTTTCACCCGTTTTACGTGAAGTGACGTAGAAAAACTCGGCGAAAAACGCGATATTCGCGGTGATATGCAGTAGTCGTGATATGTGTTTTTCATATCACTAGGGTGGTGAAACTCCATTATACTACCACGCTCAGTTGACATCTCCTCGTTGCCAAGGCCCTCCTCAGTGTCCACTTTTATGAAGCCCTCAGCCGCTGGGTTGGACGGATGACGATCGACTGATGCTTCAGATGAACTTCGGAGTAGCATAGGAGAAACTCTGCAACTAAATAGCACATGGGCAACTACATGCGGAAATTTTGGTGAATTCTTTTGTTGGTTTTCGTTTATTATGACGCTAAGTTCTATAGATCAGATCTCGAGAGGAACATTCTCCTTACCAGACTGATACAGCAGTACGGACCTCCGCAGCTTTAGCCGCTAGTAGACGCTTCAAGCCATTCACCGGACCCTCGAAGTCGAATTTTGCATCAGATTCACCATCACTGACATCTACATTGCACACAATCCTGATACTTAGCCTGTCCTTTAGCTAGCTACTTAGTCTTGCTAAATACTGATGTATTAACCTACTGGAAAACTATATTGTTGCGTTTATCATGTCTCCTACGACCAAGGTCCTCAGGAGCTGGAGAATTAGGCACACTCTTATCAACAGATGGACGATGAACATACTCGAATACCTTGTGATTGTTACTCTGGTAGGTTACGCATACTGACGCCACTTTAGCCAGCGGTATCAAAGTGACTTGAAAGATCTTCTACCGTCATCGGAAATGTTATACACAATTGTCTCCTGTAATTTTAGATTCTTGTGATGCTTGTCTCCCTTGCTAGTCTAGCGTATACTTCATGATTACTGTAGAGAATCACTTGTTAATAACTCTTGTTGAGTTATCTAATCTTAGCACTTACTACTGCTGCTATGATCAAAGGAAGACGAGGAAGAGAAGTATTAAGTTCAGTACGAACAACTTCAAGTCTATCAAACCGATATCACTTTCATCACTACAAGCACTGCTATTTCAATATTTGAATAATATTATAATGAAGAACCGACCTTGGGCTTCATACCTTCGGACGTCATAGACTCCCGAAGGAAGCGACAGTAGCTATGCGAGTCATGGCAGACCCACTCCCACTAGCAGTTACACATATCAGTAAGACTGAAAGCTCCCCAAGTGAGATGAAGAGTCTGGTCGAGCGACTCTATCTTAAACAAGACAGAAACAGTGTTTATTAGAATATAAAACTCTGACTACGAACTCGCCAACTCGCGCTCGAAACAGTGGGGAAGCGACGCCAGCAAACTGAGGTGTGGAAACTCACCGAAAAGACCAACCCTCAAGCCCGTTGAGGAAATGCAAGTGATCAAGATTCTTCAAGATGAGAGCAGCACCGCACTACGAAGATTCTCAGTCTCCGTTTTCCAACTCCCAAAGATTTCCCTAGTCGCAGTGCATCCCGCAGAGAGCAAAGCTTTTGACGACTTGGACGACTGCATTGATAGAGTTTTGGCTGAGGGAGATGAGGAAGCGCCGCAGGTAGGAATAGTGTCGTTTTTGCTGAGCTTTCCAGGGTCCGGAAGTAGTTCATAGGGTGATGTACAAAATCCAAGGATGAAGACAAGTTGAAGGGTAAACCCAAAACCCCACCCGAAACTCGACAAGGCAACCAGAAACCCGAACTGCTGAGAGCGAGCGACGAACCTCCTTGGATTTTGTCGTTCTTCCTTGGATTTTGTAATTTACCCGTAGTTCATATCTTGAATGGTTTTCGTATTTCTCCGTGATTGGAATCTCATTTCATTTTGAAAGTACTTGAAGCTTTCAAGAACTAATTTTGGAAATGCACGTGACACTTATGGTCCCTACGAAACGGCAGCCCGAGAGGCGGCAAATACAACAAGTCCTTTACTCCGCTCCGCCGTGCCATAGCTCAAGAGCTCTCATCATGCTTTGTTGAACCCTTTCTTGTTCACTCTGCTGTGACCCCGTCATCAGTCCTCACCAATTTCACTACTATATCGTTTTTCTAGCTGTTATTATCCACCAACTAAGTTAGTTTCCTAGCAGTCGCATTCAGGGTCTCAAGGAATCGGTTGAAGAGGCACTGATAGCCGAGATCGAGCCTAGCGCGATATGGGCGATGACGATGGCATTGACACTCCCCAGCGTGATAGTCTGCCTTCTATTCTCTGATATAGGTGAGTTGGTTATCCTCCTTGACTCTCTATCGTACAACCCGGGTTCGATTCCTTGTCATCATTTTAGGTTTTGGAGTCGATGTATACAACGTTCTCTACGACTTCGAGACTCTCTCTATCGCGCTTTATTCCATTCTCATCGCCTTGTGCATCTCGCTCTTCCTCTGCGATGTTCAACGGTGGCAACTTTGGCCGAAGCTCGGCGCGTGCGTGATAGGTAGTGTAAGGTCTACTACCACTTCAGTTTTATTTGAATTTCCGTAGGTTGGGCACTTTTCGTCTCAGCGACTCTGCTGAACGGCACGTCGTACCCCCAAGGGCCGCTCATCGTGGGACTCCTCCACGGTCCTGTCCTGCTGGGCGTCATAAGGTGAGTATTTCTCGATATGAGCGGCAATAGTTTCCCGTTTGTCTGAATATAAGCTCGCTCTCCTCAACTGAACTCAGAAATTCCCTCATCACATACGAATTGGGTAGAAATGTACAGATATTTTTTCCGAATTTTCATCTTGTTACATGCACATCTTTCACAGTGATAATTTCCAAATAGCGTAGCAATTGACGAGTTAGTAAACAGAAGGACCTGACTGAGAGTTGAAGTGAGAGTAACACCGTATATACCTCTTAGTAGTCATCATAGTTTTTATATATTTTTCAGCATCGAATGTCATCAGGTATCTATTGTGTATCCGAGTCTATTCTGGAGTGTTCTACCGAGCAGTGTACATCCTCGCAGTGGTGCTCGGTCTGCTGGTGCTTGGTTTGTGGTTATGTTGGATTGTGGTCGAGAACTGGGATGGCCAGCACTACTGGAACGAAGATGAACGGACGAGACTCAGCCTGGAGCTCGACGATCTCCACAAGGCGCTCAAAGTGGACTACATTTTGCACTGTGTGAAGGTAGCTGGAGGGCAGGGTGCGTTGTCCGTGGACCCTGAGGAGAATAATCGCCTTTATGAAAGTAAGTGTGAGAGATGCTCTTCGGAATTGAGGTTGTGCTGCTTGGTTTTAGAGTGTTCGACGACTTTAACGACGGCGTATATTGTATATGTTACTCCGATGATAGTGTCCTTCACGCTGTTGGTGCTGGCCGTATTCTGCAAGCTGCGGGCGAAGAATGCCTTGGTGGAAAATGGAGATGTAATAATGGTCATTGTTGTTGCCATGTGTTTTCCGCGCAAGAAATTTCCGGGAGGTTGCGGAGCGAGCGGAGCATATACCGCAACAACAGACACTTTCGCGTTGTGCGTGCGTGCAGAATTAATCTGGCTTGACTACGGAGCGTAGGCGGCCACCAGGGAGATGAAGTGACTCCTCTGAATGCCGAGGTGTAGGTAAAAGTGTAAAACATTTTGCGAGCGTCTCGCAGAGATATGCACGAAAACTTTTTTTGACGGAAAAATGTCCAACCCGGGGATCGAACCGGGGACATATGTCGAGGCTATTGATTGAGTCAACGAACGCGGACCGAGTGAGCTCCGCCCATTCGTCACCAAGGCCTAGTATAATTATTACCATCTTGGTGGGTTTCACACGAGCAATTCAATTTTCCGGCAAATTTCTTTTTTTACAAGAAATTTCCGGAAAATATAGTTATTGCCATCTTGCTGAATTTTACACGAGCAATTCAATTTCCCCGGAAATTTTTTCCGCCAGGAATTTCCGGAAAATATAGTTATTGCCATCTTGGTGAGTTTTACATAACTAACCTAATTTCTCCACACTGGATGGTTTTACTTCAGGCGTTGTCGAACTCGCAGGAAACCGAGGCTTCGCTGAAGACATTTGTGGTCTTCACCAGTCTGTTGATCATGTGCTTCTGGATAGCATCGTCGATCGCGGGCTCGTCGAGTAGCATGTCGGGCGCGGTGATGGGATTTGCTGCCGCTGGATCGCTGGTAGTTTGGACAGTTTATCTGCATTATATCTGCTATTATCAGGTTTTGTTCGTCTGGGCGTTTCTGTCGTTTGGAAAGGCCCGTCTTGTCGAAGCTGCCCATAAGTCACCTTTGGTGGCTTCCTTACTTGATATGGCCTCGAGCGACTGGGCTCGTGCTTTGTTCATATGCATGGTTAATGTTGGATTGCTGATTGTCGTTCTTCTCGACTTCTTACGACAGTGTATTCGGTCACTGTGGTGGAAGGACCGACCGGAGAAAGAACGCGGGAAGCTATCTGGTGGTATGAGTGAGTTCGTGGAGCGCCTGAAGGGCTGGCACTGGGGAAACGTACTGAAGAAAATATGTCTATTGTGTCTGTTGTACTACTGCCTCTGGGTGGGCGTGGCCAAGGTTACGTACGTGTTTTTGTCATGGCTGAATGAGCAACTAGAGTCGATGAGTTTGATAGCGGTGGTTGGCGTTATTTACGTCATTGGGATCATCATGTTTCTTCTGCCACCGATACCAGGGGTAAGTGATAGTGGAATTTTTATGAATTTTGGACACATTAGAGTTTCACTCGTTTTACGTGAAGTGGCGTGAAACTCGGTGAAAAACGCGATATTCGCGCCTTGCAATAGTCGTGAAATATATTTTTCACTAGTGTTTTTCATATCACTATGGTGGTGAAACTCCATTGCAGATCGAACGAAACATTCGTCCGTTGGTCGAGATTGTGGCTGTTAGCAAGCGGAAATTGCTCGAAAAATGTCGGTGCTGGGAATCGATCCCAAAATCTTCGCGATATCATCTACTGTTTGTCGGTGGTGACACTATCGTTTTGCACTCTGCATGCCCTGGTAGAAATATGCTCTGAAATATTTCGGAACTTTTTCAACGCCGAATTTGCTTAGGTGCCAGTTTACGTGACTGCTGGTATCGTCATCTCGGCGAGGTCCTATTGCAGTGATGAAAGCGATAGCAGTTGTATAGGCTTCTGGCAAGGTAATGGAGAAATGTTTGCCGTGGGTATAGAACCGGGGATCTCCAGAGAGGGAGAATTATGCTTATGTTAACTAATACGTCTGACTCGAGGCTCTTTCTGAGTGGTTGAACGATTCGTAGAACTAAGCCTTCGAGACGAAGAAAAGGGGCTCGAGTTGTTTGTAACGGTCACGGGTTCGACTCCCGGGACGGGCTTTTTTCGCGCAATTTCTGTTCGCTCACCGTGATGACGTGCAACAATTTCTCCCAATACATGGCTGAGTGAAATTTCATATGAATGTGTCTCGAGAGTTTAGCAGCTGTAGTTGTACAGAAATAACTGAACGATCGAACGTACAGAAAATGCGCGAAGTGAGGATATATGTTCTGCATTTTTGTTTTGTCGAAATGTTAATCACTCAGGTACTGTAGTTGCCACGATTCTCGGTTTTGTATTGAAGTTGAATGCCGTGGTTATGCAGCAGAAACTAATAGGGGAGGAACTCGGGAAGAGCGTTCGAATACAAAAGTTTGTTGGCATTGACAAGGTAGTAAATGGAGATGAATTTTCGTGAAATGGAGTGCGCGGAAATTTTTTAATGGTGTTAGTCTCTGTATTCGTGGGCCGGTTTTGAGAGTGCTTGAACTTTTCACCAAAATAAAAACAAATGAATTTCGTTGTGCTCTTATTATGAATTTGAAAGTAAATTTTCAAAAAAAAAATTTGAAAGTAATAAAAAGTATTAAAAAATTGCAGAAAATTCGACGCGTAAAATGAGGAGACGAGTGTCTGGTCAAAATGTGGTTTTTCAGCCTGGCATTTGATCGAGTGTATTTCTGTATTCGGTGTAGGGTAGTATTGGCAATCCGATTCTGGTAGTGATTGAAATTGCCATATATGTAGCGAATGAATTGAGTTTTTTTGTCGTAATATTTCGTTTTTGAAGTTGGGAGTAGCTTTCCTAGTCTTGAAGAGTGAATGAACGTGTGGTCAAAACTCGATACTTCAGCCTGGCATCAGAGCGATAGAGAAGATATTGAAACAACCCGGTTACAGCATGGCGAAAGTGGCGATTCTCTGCGGCGGTCCGGACTGGCCGACCAGCGTCCTCACAGGAATTATGAGGCTCAGTGTGGTGCAGGTAAGGACGCACTATGAAGATTCTGGATATTCTCGAGTGATGGTCTTAGATGCTTCTAGGAACGATGCCGTGTATTTTTCTGATTATTCCCTGTGTTTTGAGCGGAGCGTTGCTGAATAGAACCGGAGAGGGCGCGATTTGGAGCGCTCTTGCGTCGACGGTGCTGGCGGTGGCTGGGTTGATACAAGCAGTTGCGATGGTGTTTGCGGCGTATATTTTGCAGAACACGGCTCAGAAGTATCACGATGAACTGACGGCATATCGGTTGGACCTATTTTGTATCTTGCGCGGTCAACCTCAAGATATTTCAGGCCGGAACACGAGGCGGTGGCAGAATTGACGCGTCAAGAGGCGATGAGAAATGAGACCACTTCGAGGCTCACAGAGTGGACAGCCTTGCCAACGTATACTAAAATCCTCCTAGTGCTTGGTAGTGCTGATTTTCATACCACTCCTCTGCTATATCGTATTGTTTCTTCAGCGGCATCTATGCTACTCATATCATGCGTATTAGCGGGCTCCTTCTCGACGTTGTGCTTTCGCCCGTTCGAGCTGACGGATCGAATCTCTGAGGAGTTCAGTGAAGGCGGCCTCGACGGGTCCGTGGTGAATCTCTTGAAGCCGTTGGGATGGCTCAGTTTGAGTAAGAATAGTAGCTGTGTGCTCTTCACAGTGAACAGTGGAGTTTCACCCGTGATATGACAAACACTAGTAAAAAGTATATTTCACAGTTCACTCTGCGTAAAACGCATGTGAGCAGTGAATAACGCGTAAAACGCGTGATGTGTTTCACGTGAAATGAAGGTGTATTCCCCTGAGTATTTTCGATTCACTTCATATCGCGTTTTTCACATGGAGTATTACGCCACTTCACGTAAAACGGGTGGAACTCAAATATTATAGTGTAGGACGGGTCGTGACTTGGAAATAAAAAATAGATTAACATTCAGTCTGGTAAACTCAGGTGTAGCGCCTGAGCGCCTCAACGCTTGTGTTTATTCATAGCAATTTATGCAAAAAGTCCGCATCGAAAAGTCATTTTTAGGTCTGTTCGTCGTTGGTTGGATTCTTCTGGAGATTTATAATTATTGGGTGTCAGCTAGCGTGGATGCTGAAATCGATCGGCTGATCGATATTGGACACAATCCACGAGATTACACGGTCGCTGGCGAGAGGCGCAGAAGTAGGAGTGGTCTCGGCTGCATAGTAGAGGTATAAGATGTGTTTCGAACGATATTAGTATTAATACTATAATTTTGCCGGGAGACTTCATTTTGAATTTTACACATTCTTCAATCAGTCTTCCATGTAGTTGTGATCACATTAGAAACATTTTCCCCATTTTTATCAAACCCTAGGGGACGCTATATCTCAAAGCTAGATGGGTCCCCGTAACAGAGTGCGAAACTAAAATGTAGAAGCATTTGCATTCGGTGTGGCCGCTCACGAGTGAAGGAATTATATTTTCAAGGCGGAAGTCAATCTGATCAGATTGATTTCCGAGGAGTTCATTAGATAGTCTGTATCGGAAATGAGTTTCCTCAGGGGAGTCTGACGTTTCTATAGAGCGCAAGTTGGAACGCTCGTCGTCAGTGAAATTCCGCAGGGAGGTTTATGAGGAGGCGTCTAAAATGGCAGAGGTGGGTGCCGGGATCGAACCGAGGGCCTTCTGGTTAGCAGCCTCTCCCAGATCCGTCAGGCTGTTACGACACAGGAAGATTCGGCTATGGGCGTTGAGTATTCATGAACGACCCCCATGTGTTGTTGAGCTCAGTTGTGCATAATAGTGTTGTGTTGTCGTTGTCAATTTGAGATGCGCTGCTCTTTAGTGTGTTCTATTAGTTTCTCCAAGGCTCAGATGTGTGAATCTTGCAATCTTGAGATCACTTACATTTCCTCAACGGTTGAAGGATGTGGATATAGGAACACTACTTGGCGGGCTGGATGGGTGGGCATGAATTTTCTGCGAGTAGTGTTTTGTGAGGTGTGGTAGGACGTACTATGGAGTAGAGTTTGGGTGATAACCCAAGGTTCGCTTGTGAAAGATTCGCCCGGTGATGTTCTCAACAGTGTTGGAACATATGGTCGGTTTCCTCACTGATTATAGGAGTTTACATATGAATTCGGGCATGAATGAGAATTTCCCAAAATTTCTCCACAATTTTCATAATACTGTTCATCGTGTGCATATTTTCCCCCCACATTATTTTTCACTGTTGCGTTAGTCGGCCGCTGAAGGGAATGGTTTTGTATCTTCGTAAGGCTCGTTATGAATGGCCGACCGCCCATCGATTTCCTCGCAGTTCTCATCGGCTTAGTCATATTTTGCTGCGTGGCGGGGCTTTGTTTTTTCGAGGTGAGGGTTGAGCTTGGCATCGACTGAGGAGGATAACTTTCAGATCGTATATATACCCCGATTAAAACAGCTAGAACGACACGATCGGTCTATAACTCTGCTGAGTGAAATTTTCGAACAAATTTCTAGCGGAGCGAAGCTCAATCGAGATGCTCGACTGTTTGATTCGTCAGTGCTAGTACGCCGTCGTGAGGATATACGAAAGCTCGTGGGGGAGATTTTGGAAGAGGACGACCGAGTGAGTTACGACTAAGTGAAGGAGCTTGTATGGTTTTCGCTGAGCAGAGTGTCAAGCTGGAGAAAAGAGTGGGTGAGTTAATGGAGGAACTAGAGAGATTAAGGCGACTTGTGGATGAGTTGCCGAGGAGTGGTGTAGCTGTTATAACCACCAGATGTAAGAAGTACTCAGGCTGAGAATCGAACTCGCGGCCTATGGTGTGTAAAACGATGTTAATGACCCACTAGACTGTAGTATTATCTTTGACGAGCGTTTATATAGGATGGTCGGAATTTTCACGTAGTTAAGCCTCGGCTACTGGGGGCTAGCTCTAGCAGACGTTTCGTCTTGTGGGAGTATGGGTTTGCGAGTTTGAGAGCCACATGTTTCAAGGTTCCCCATAAATGGAGTGTTTCCCAGCAGGCTGGTAAATGCGTCAGAAAAAAAAAGCTGTGTCGCGGGATATCACTCTGTATTGTCTTCAGCTCGGGAAGGAACTGACGACTCAATAGTAAAGACCACCACTGCGGTAATTAAGAAGGAAGAAAAGCAGACACCGTGGCGGAGCGATTTCAAGTAGCATTAATATTATCCAATCGGAGGGAAGCTCACTTAGATGTGGATCGGGCTGGCCGTCGGACGACGGCAAACGAGAGAAATCTGAGTGCAACCCTGATGGAGAGTTTCCATGTTGCAGCACGAGCGGGTGAGGCGTTGAATCTTCAGGAGAGGGAAAACGTTGTGCAGATGGTGTGGTATCTCGAGACTGCATTGTGAATGCCCGGGATGTATCGATTATCGTCAAGTCCACGCTGCAGAGGTTGAAGTACCGGAGACTCGGGACAAGCGGATTGCAATTATCATACCGTGAGTACGGATAAATCCCCACGGACAGTGAATACGAGGAATACGAAGACGCCTTTTCGTTGTAACATTTTTGAAGACCCACTCGTCGAGAAGAAAGACAACGGGGAACTCTTTCGTAAAAAATGATCGGAATACATAGACTGGGGGCGAGGGCGCTTCGTGTCGCGCAAATCCTCGTGAGGCAAAGTATCTGATGCACTCATACACCAACCAGTTTAGCTTTCGTCCCGTAAAGAGAGGGGTAGCGCTGATGCGGGAGCATTGGGAAGCCGGGCAACTACGTAGTTGAGTTTCCCGTATCGCTGAATCGATTGGCAGTGGTTTATGTGGGTGAGGATGCCAGTGTTATGGCGAAATGGGGTGACTCACCCCGGAAAACCATTATTGATATACCTTTCCATCCACAAGGAAGTGATTATTGCAATTAAAGATAACGCAGACGAGGTGAGTCGATCTGAAGGTATCGAGATCGTGAGAGTCACTACAAGAAGTTCGAGCGCCACTTCGCTGATTTTGTCCGAGAACTGAATGCCGAGAATCGGCGAAATCAAGAGTTTCATATATTCCTCATCGAGCAGTTCGACAACCAGTTGTTCAACAGGGGATGGTTGTTCAATGTTGGGTAGGAATTGGGAGAGGCGGAATTGAAGTAAAATACTGGAACCGAGAATCGAACTCGGGACCTATCGCGTGTGAGGCGATCGTCATAACCAACTAGACCATTCCAGCTGTGAAGGTTGTCTTCTAAATTTCACGGTATTTTCTGCTGTAAGGTTCACCGAGGCATTGCGGAGTCTCAATGAAAAGCAACCAGACTGCATAGTGATGCAAGATGTTGACAACTTACCTATGTCGGGTAGGCGGCGGAGCGATGCATCCTCCCTTCATATTCATATTCAACTTACAGTATGAGCCATACGCCTTCTCCAAGGTGAATTTCACTCGGAAACTGATATCACAGTCGGCTTGCGTAATATCCTATGAGGTTCCGCCCATTGCCACGTCGCAGAGATGATGAATTGTGAATTTGTCATGAATAGCTCCCAGGTGTTGATTTTGGTTCGTGTTCGTCGCCCGTCCAGCTGAGCAGCGAGATTGAGTGTTGGGGTTGGAGTGTTCCCTATCCGGGAAATGTCGGTGGAACGGTGGCGATGAGTCCCGACCACTGGCGGAGGATCAATGGCTTCTCTAATGAATACTGGGGATGGGGAGGAGAGGACGATGACTTGTATGAAAATGACGGATGCAGGGATCGAACTCGGGTATCATCAGAGATGTTCTGAAGGTATTGGCGACTACGCCACAACCAACTACTGCGGGGAGGATGTAATCCCTTTTGCCAATCACAACCCGGAAGCGTCGAAGTAATTTGAGCAACGCGCTTGAGAGAGAATCTTCGCTGTGCGCATTTTCAAGATATCTCGACCACGCAAAGGCCATGGCAAATTCCTTTGCCTGCATGACAGTGACCACACGCCTCGGAGGAGACCGGCTGATGATAAACCACTATGGGATCGTCTTCAACGGGTAATCGATCACAATGGCGTGCGCTTTTTACAACAAGCTCGATCAGGTGAGGTCAGGGGATGTGGTATGGCGTGGAGATGGTATTAATAATGTCGAGTACCGACTGATGAATGAGTTCGTGAAGGCAGACGATTCTGATGTTTTCGCTGGTAAGAGGCCCTCCGGGTGTTTGAGAAATTATTCGCTGTCCGCGCGCGTATCTTTGCAGATCCTCGGCAGAATGCGTCAATTCGAGGGTTCACACTGCATTGGAAATCAGTTGCATCAAAACTGGAGCCGAAGTCGTCGCTAGAACGGACGTTTCTCATCGCTAATCGAGGTTGGATCGAGGGAGATACAAAATAGGTCGAAGTGTGGTATGTAGGATTATGCGGCATTGGTATTCGTATACCTCTCAAGAAGATCCCGAGTGAATTGGATGAGCTCCGGGAACTCCTTCCTGATCGTTGTCGCCAAGACAATTACCTTCGGTCAGTGGATTCATTGGCGTTGAGGAAATGCAAGATAGAGCAAGATTAGCAAGTGAGTGCATTTTCCCAGATTCCTCGCAGTGGATTTTAATCGTCAACTTGGTACGGTAATCGATCATCAGTGGAGACTGCAAAGATTCATTCGAACGCTTCCCTCAACCCACCGTGGTGCTATCCATGTTATGCATAAGGAAATGCTCGAACAGGCATTGGAGAGGGGTCGGTGTGCGATTAGCGCGCGCCCTGATGATCGATATCGGTATCAGGGAAGGATCGAAGGTACATTAGAGACTTTCCGGCTTGCATTGGGCAGGCGAATGATGGGTCGGGAGCTGGGCTGAAGCATCGGATCAATGTTGGCACGGATTGGTGCGGCGATCAGGTATCTTAGGTTCATGATTGCAAGATATGGATGAGGTCTGCGTGTCAGGGTTGGACACATCTTATAGGGCTCAAAGTTCTCCATCCTGATGATGTTAAATACGTACCTGTGGATGATCTCCTCACGATATGCATCTCTGTGTCACCGCAAGGATGGGTCTATCGCTTCATTCAGTTGCCTGAGGTCGGTCAGGTCGCGGGTTCGATCCCCGGTCACTGCATTTCAGTCCACATCCAGCTGTCCCAGTGGTTACGATGAACGCAGCCGCAAGACATGGAATCACGAGAAGACTATGTACCTGCGCAAGTCATCTCGAGGCGAGGCGATCTGTGTCGGCTTCTTAGCTGGCGGGGGGCATGCTAGGTGGGCCATTTAATACCGCCAGTGTTGGAATATATTATCGCTTCCCTCAGAAGTTTTCTCACTAATCATATATACGAATTCGATTAGACGTGGGCAGAAACCAGGAAGAATTTCCCGAAATTTCCCCAGAATTTTCACATCACTAACATATGCGGTTCATGATGTGCAAATTCCACCACGCTGGATACCACACCAACGATACATCGTCACGAAGCATACAGTCATCATCCCTGAATCATCGCATCATTGGATTGCCATAACTATGAGGAGTTTCGCGCATAATAATCGCGCAGATATGACCGGTCGTTTGTATATCGGAGATTATAGGATATATAATTAGTTGAGGAAATGAGGAAAGAGTTCACGCAATGCGACAGGGATCGAAAACAGTGGGGTTCTACCCGTGATATGAAAAACACTAGTGAAAAATATATTTCACGACTACTGCATAGCGCGTTTTTCTCAGAGTATTACGTCAGGGTGAAACTCTAGTGTTAGACGCTCTCATTCAGATGGATGACCGCAGTAATCGGTCGATCAGCGGGATGCGATACCAATGGCTACACTCATGAATTCACCTTCCATTCCATGACCAACAACTACCGACCAATAATCAAACGACTTTGTGTGACGGCTATTGGGGACAGGTAACGTTGAGGAAACGAAAGATTGCAAGATTTCAAATTTAGTCCTTCTGTGACTAGTGGTGATGAGAACTGCCCAGAGGACGATACTCTTCGGGTTTTTCGTGTTCAACCTCATCTCAAGATGGCTGAATTTACCATACCCCTCTGCTGGGTCAATTCCACGCTGAGAGTCGCGAAAGAGGACTGCCCTGGGGAGAATGTGGTGATGGTAAGTGGTAGGGGTTGTGTTGGTGATAGTTAGTATTTTGAGGCACGATTTTAACACGTGTATGCTAAGAATGTGGAGAAAATGTTTCACCACTTATCGACTTCTCTAACCACGAAGAGTTAGGCCCTGAAACTTGGAGGTTATATCATGTGGAGCATAAGAGCATACCTTCCTGAGTCGCAAGATAGTACTCGTTGAGGTGACTGTGTACGACTCGGAAAGCCGGCTATGCTAAGAATATGTGAAGGGATGTAGTTGTATCGGTGTAGGCGTTGAGGAATAGCAAGTCGGAGCAAGATTCGAAGATTTGGTGTTTGGATGGCACTACACTAGCTCGAGGGAGCTGTGCCTCTGGTGAGTCCTTCTCTTCAATCGAGATGGAAGATGTTGGTTCGGATGTGGTGACGTTCCTCGATGATGCCATACTGTGATGAGGCGCATGCTATTTGGCCTGTCCTTTTTCTACTCGTTTCTGTGTCGTAGTTCAGTTCATGTCTAGCAAGAATTGAGCCTGACTTTGCTGGAAACTGCAAGTCAGTTAGTGATCCTCCAAGGCATCACAGGAGTTACTTTCATTGTACAAAATCTGAGCTAACAGAGTGCCGTTAATTGGCATTTATTCGTGGTCTCCACTGAACTCGACGCTAAGACTCTTCGCGTCGAGTTCAGTGGAACTGATGAACTGGGATGAACGCCGAGTACTGGGAAGAAGCGAAAAGTGGCAACTGATGATCGGCAATAGGACAAGCGACGGAAAGGGACAAAGCTAGGAGTCTTACTCCGATTACACAGATCATTTAGCCGAACCGGGACAGCAATAAATATAATAAAACACTGATTATTAGTGTGCTCAGAGATATTCTCATACTGAGATCAAGGCGCTGTCGATTTGCGGATAAGAACGGGGAAGTACTCGCTCAGGTGAAATAGATTATTCGTTTTATCATTCCATCTCCCCAATCTAGACTTATATCCAAAGTTAGTTCAAATTCGTCTTGGCGTTTCCTCTGAGGTCCCTCACACTTTGTGTTGGTGCAGCGTATTGGTGATTCAAGACTCCTTTTCTCGATTCGAGTGACATCTGTCCGTCATCGGACAGTTGGTTGGGAGTGTGGGAGAGGACCAAACACTGTGAACCCGAAGCCCGAACCCTCTCTGGGTCTTACCTTGGGCCCTAGGTTCACAGATCATGTTTGGTCTGACCAAATTGGTCACACTAACTATATCACGGAATATGGCCCATGTTTCGTGACATATGTTAGTGTCCCCCAACCAACTTGGGACAAGACTTGAAAAAAAGAAAGGAGCGAGACTGGCTCATGGGTGGAACCATCTCGGTCTCAACCTACGGTCGATCGCCAACATCTGAATACACCAACTTTTTTTCCTTTCTTTTTTTGTACCCTTCACGTTCGTCTTCCCGAAGGAGGGCTCTACAGTACGTCTCAAACTCTCTCAGCCGGTTGGAACAGGTCGTCACTTGGCCTAGAGATCCTTCTACTCTCACCCAAAGCGGCCTAGATGTAGCTCTCCCCACCCGTGTGCAGGATAGCATTGCATGCTCATCCGAGTCTTCCACATTACATTTCGGCCACAGCGTCGAGGTCGGCGCGTCACTTCGATACCTGTAGCTTGCCAAGCATGGTGCGTGGCCGCTCAGTAGCTTCACGAAGGCTGATCCTTTCTGCCTGCATGCGAAATTGGTGACATTCTTCCTTGTCTACGCGTTGATAGTGCTCTCTGAACGGGTGGTGACAGGCCTGTTAAGAGGCTCTCCAGGCTTCGATCGACTCAAGATCTGTTTGGTAGCAGTCTCGGGCAGCGGGATGTCTTCCGGCACACCCCTTGACCGTCCCTCGTTGGCAAGCTCGTCCATTCGCTCATTGTAGTGCACCCCAAAGTGAGCACCTACCCAAGCGAAAGTAACGTAGATGCCAGACGCCTCACAGTGTTGGTATCGTCGGCGTATTGCTATGGACAGGGCCGTCTGCTTCGCCGGTGTTAATGATTTCAGGACCACTTGACTATCGGATAGTATGATAACTTCCGTAGAGGGTCCATACTCTTCCGCCGTTGCCATGGCGAAGGCTATTGCCTTGTCTACAGCCGAAAGCTCCGCTTGGAAGATAGAACAGTCCGGGTGTAATTTATAAGAACAGGCCGTTTGTCGACCAGTTGGTGATACCGATATGAAGGCTGCTCCTGTGCTACCCATGATATTGTATGTGTCATTTCTTGTGTCGCTACTCGCGATCCACACGCGCACGTCGAATACGGTAGCGCACGCCCGTGACGTGAGACGTGACGTGACGTGAGACGTGACGCGGAGACGCGACGCCTCTCAATCCAACCCCGTCTCCCATTGCTCTTTATATACCTTACATTGGCTAACTTACGCTACGACTTGGGTTAGTCATATGGCGACACCTGATGAACTACAAACTCTCCGTCAAGCCCGAACCCGAGCCCGCCAGAGCCGTACACGAGCATTCACACGACTATCTGATGTCCGAGAAAGGATCAAGAATCTCCGTACCAACGACGAAGACGACGAGAATGTCCTGGCGGTCTTGGAAGCTCAAGAAGAGGAACTCGCTCGAGCATACGTCGAAGCCGATCAACAAGCAACAGCGGCAGAACGAGCCTATGAAGAAGCGACATCGACGAGCCCACCAACGACACCACTGCTTACGCCAGCAGGGTCAACCGGATTCAACGTCCAGGGAGACTCCAGTAATCTCTTGAGACGGAACGACGGATCGGCGGCAAACACCTCCTCTTTTCGCCAGCCTGATTTCCCAGAAGCTCCAACCCGCAGGGCAGCTACGAGATGTACCGCCGCTGAAGTGACCAAGCTCGTCCTGCCAAACCTCATCGACTCAGCTTACCTCAAGGTACACTATGACGACGTGGAGGACACCCTCGTAGAAGCTGGTGCGGCAACGAGGAGCACTTCGGGCCCCATCCAAGTGAACCCCGAGGTCCGCCGGTCGGTAATGACGAAGTTTATCGGTACCCTCACGAACTCTGAAGTGAAGCCAGTGCACCAAGCAGCTCAATCGGCTGCTCGAACAGGACGTTCCGACTGGAACCACGTTCGCCAACTTCTGTTAGGACGGTTCTGTCGAAGATCCCAATTGAAGTCGAAGTATCTCGAGAAGTTGAGCTCCCTCAAGTTCCAATCGGCCCGTCAGATCGACCAGTATCTCCTCGCCGCGTCCGAAGCGTACTTTATCTTCTGCGACATATACCACAACGACTCAGCTGAGAGAAGAAACCTTACCAGGCAAATCATTGGCCGATTGCCCCCAGCTATCGTGGAAAAAGTCATCCACCGTATACGACGATATGCCGACCACGACGACGACAGTGAGGACTGGGAGACTCTCCTCGACTTCGAGAACGCAACCGGTGACAAACCTTCCGTCTGCGACGTCATAAGATCCATATGTCGTACGTCGGACGAAGCCACAATCATATGCCAGCCGACGACTCATAAGGCCGACAACATCCGATCTGTCGTGGAACCGGCCCAAGCATCCTCTTCTCGGACTCTCGCCCAACGGCCTAACTCGGGCTCTGCACCAATCTCACGACCTACACTGAGCGAATGGGCCAAAACATTTCCCGCCGTCTACTACATCACCGGCCGAGCGGTGCGTAACCAAGAAGAAGCTCTCAAGATCCTGCGAGCGGACGAGACCAAGGTCCTTCGAAATCGTCGCGGATTCCGCTACATCCTCGCTGCCTACAACGATGCAACTACGGCCAAATCCATTATGTCCGAGCTCGACAAGGAGAACTACCGCTGGCGCGAGTTTGCTGCAACACCACCGTCAACGTCATCATCAGAGCGAACTCCCGCTCCGCTGGTGGATGCGTCAGCGGGTTTTTAGGTCGAGCTGATGAAGGATCGGCGGCCAGCCGCTGCCATCGATCCGGAAGCTCCTTCAATAGCGGCACTGAGGTTGATTCACTACGGTCGATATCTACAGATGATACAGCTCCTGCCGAGATTCGGTTATCGGGTCTACTCACTTCAAAAGACGACGTGTCAATACCGGCAAACATCATCATCGACTCAGGAGCCGGTTTTAGCTACTACATCGTCCCTCGAGGATATCATCAACCGTTTACTACCGACGAATTACCTCAGGCCAAGCAAGTCATCCTGGCGGATGGCTCATTTTGCACTATTCGAAGAACTATGTCTTGCTCTATTCGCGTCTATACTTTTCCATCGGTCCGAGGCGTCGTCTCTCTTACACGCCCAGTAAGCACCGATCTTCGGATTCTTCCTTTACAGTCGAACTCTCATGCCCCCACTGTCTTGGTTGGCAGAGATGTGATGGATCTATGGAACATCCTCATAAACGGCTCCCACATAGCTGTCATCGACGGTCACACTGTTTTTAGCCGTCCTACTTTTCCGTCCAACGCCCAACCGCTTGGACCCCCTCATCTACGTCAACCCCAACTTGTCCCCGATGCCGCCTTTCTCGAAGATAATACGCTGACAGCTGGAGACCCGAGCGAAGGATCTACTCAACCTCTCGTCAGCCGTAGCGCAGAAGTCTCCCTAGTCCCGCGTCTAAAAACCTCCGAGGACATATGGTTGGAGCGGGCTCTTAATGATCTCATAGACCTACACTGGAAGCCCGTACCGAGAGCGCCCGGGTTCTACTATAGGTTCCGACGTCTATATCCGGTGGAAGTCATCGACGACGCCCATCAGTACCTAGCGGCCGAGATTCTACCACCCCCTATATCGCCCAACGCACAACGAGGTCCACAATATGCACGTCCCGCTTACAAGAAGCTCACACTGCGACAGAAAAAGGCATATCAAGAGCTCTGCCTCTCCTACGTCGACGCTCACCTATGGACACCAATAGCTCCCCAGTCCCCATCAGCGACGGTCGCCTCCCCTGCCACGGTATTCCTAGCCCCCGAGGAGAAAACCGGTCGCCGAGACCGCCTAGTGGTAGACTTCCGCCATACAAACCTCAGCTGGCCTGCCGTGAGCTCTGCCAATCCGTGCGTCTGGGAGATCATATGCCTACTTAGAATTCGCAGCTCCCCCTCACTACTTCTGATGGACATCATGTCCGCGTTCTACGCGGTGCGGTTATGTAACTGCGTTTTGCAGTTGGCTACCTCCCATTCCAATTTCATCAGCACACGGTCAGTCTTCGGGGTATGCTTCGGCCCAGAAGCACTTTCTACTACGCTAGGCAACCTAGTGGACCGAGTTCGCGTCTGTCCAGACCTCATCGCGTGTCTCATCGCACTGTTTGTCGACGACATCACGATTCAGTCCGATCTCGCCACCGTCTTCACCGCGGCACGTTTATTGCTGGGCCTTCTACTCCCCTTCAGCTTTCGAGTCCAGCCACGCAAGTTCAAGTGCTTGGTAGCCCACCATTTGAGGGAGGCCTTCGCTGAAGAAACTCGAAGATCCCACATCCAAGTCCCCCTTGCTGACTCCGCATCTCTCCTGGGGTACCAGTTCCACTTCAGCGACGACGGCCAACTCATCATGGACTGCGCCCGGAGCGGCAGAATCAAGTCCGCCAAGGCACTCATCTCCACGGTGGCAACCGGAGACTGGTTATCTCTCAATCTGACAAAACGACAATATTTCCAACTCTGTGGTGACGTAGGCTACGACAACGCCAAAATGCATCCGGAAGAACGTGCATGTGCCGATTCACTGCGTTCGATCATCGGCTCGGCCTACGTCCAAACGTCTTGGTCCTCCTATTGCGATCTATCCCTGCTGTCTACCGAACAGCAGAAGGCCTTCGTAGTGGTGATGAAGTGGATGTCGACCCTCCTCGACGCCGGGCCATGTGAGCACCCTTCTCTAGTCAGGAACTCCCCGACACATGACATTACTCTCAAGCTCACATCTGATGCCAGCCTTAGCGGAGGAGCATTCAGCATCTCGCGTTCGTCCGCAACAGGTGAGTCCTCCATCATCTGGGAAGACTGCTGGAGGTTCCGACCGGCACAGAGACGATGGCACTCGAATTGCCGTGAACTACTCAGTCTACTCCGTGGTCTACGCGCCCTCACCGATCTCCTCACCGCCCGCAGTAAGCACGTGTCCCCAGGAGATCAGTCGAAGTGGAAAATCTGCGTCGAGTGCGATAATAAGCCCTCAGTGCTATGGGCCAATGGCTCTACACGTTCGATTAAGCGAGCGCTGGAAAGGCGTACTATAGAGAGAATGGTCACCGCCGTTTCCGAGGAGATCGCATTTGCCCGGTCGCAGCCAAATACTCACTTCTCGCTCAGTCATCTACCAGGTCGCGAGAACGCGAGGAGCGACTACCTCTCCCGGCTGCATGATCGAGCGTGTGGTAGCTCCACTCTTGGTGAAATCCTCTCACGCCCGTCGCCCAAGACATCCTCTACAACCGCTGATGTTGATCAAGAAGACCCAAATCTACAAGAAGACCAAGACACCGTCGAGCTACTCAGTGAGCTGACCGAATACGGTTCCAGACATCGACAATGTGATCAAACCCGAGCAGCCCGCTACATCGTGGACAGCGTTGAAGCCGGAGGCTCTCTATTTATAGCAGCTTCATCTATCGAGAGCATTCTGCGCATACGAGAAGTCCCTAGCGTCTCACCTCCACTAAGTCTAGCAGAACACCTAGCGACTGACGCCTTCTATGCGAGTGACGTATACAGAAGAGTCCGCCTCCTTAGAGCCATACTCGTTGCACTCAAAGCTAACATTGACCACACGCAAGTCCCTATTAGACTTCGAGAAGATCTGCACTACAGGTGGGATGACGACGACATTCGTTCGACCTTCAGATCCCTGCAACTTCGAGACCCAAAGATGAACGCCTACTTGGCTGGTGATAGGCCATCCAAAGGCCCTTACGTTATCAACGACGGAGTTGTCTACTTTACGGTCGGCACCATCCACGGTCAATGCTACTCTCGATTATATCTACCCCGACATACTCCAAGATTCAGGTCACTAGTCATCAAAGACGCGCATCGAAGATGTGTACATAGCGGCAGCGTCGGTACTGCCGCAGAGTGCGATGACTTCTATATTCCGGGATTGCTCCGTGCCTGCCGAGACCTCGTGGCCGACTGCGTGACCTGCAATGCCGCCCGAGCAACCCACCAGTGGGCCCGTGGACCGACAGAAACTAGCAAGTGGACCACGGCAGAACTCTCAGGCCTACCACCGTATCATACCTGTGGCGTGGATTTCCTGACCCTCGGCCCAATGAACTCTGCCTCTTCCTCCCCGGCCAAGTCCTGGAAGGTCATCACAGTGACCTGCCTATATAGTAAACATACTACATGGGTGGTATGCGAGAAGGAAGACGGTAAGTCAGCCCTCAAAGCGCTCTCGAGAGTTCAACTACTTCGTGGAGGACTGGCGCGGCTATTATTTGATTGCGCTTCCTACTTCAAGGCCGCAGACTTCCGCCGCCAATTACGAACTCGCCTCGGAGCAGAAGCCTTCTATCTTTCGCCAAGAGCGCCATGGGAGGGCGCATTGTTCGAACGCACCCATGGTCTCGGTCTGAACAAGCTTCGAGTGCTGCTCAGAGGCCAGAAAATGAAGAACCTCACCCTGGAGCAAACACAGGAGTTCGTCGATCAGGCCTGTTTTTGTATAAACACGCGCCCCCTGGGCACCACTGGATCGGCCCTACTGCCAAGCCCGATCACTCCAGACGCCCTAGCGTTTGGGTTCACAAGGAATAGAGGTTTATGCAGTAGCCCATCACTGACTTCTACGCCCACTCCAACGCAACAACCAGTCGTGACGACGTGCCGCTCATTCAGGCGAGCTTATATGTCTGCGGTCTGGCAAGAGCTAAAAGCTAAGAGTGCCTCATCGTACCTATTCAAGAAGGTCAGTAAGCCCGAAGATCAACATTGGTATGTCTACGGTAACCCGGTCCTGGTGTATCATCCTAAGCAGAAGCTCGGCGATTCCTTCCGACTAGCACACGTCATTCTACTACGTCCATCTACTCGCAATTCTACGCATGGTATTCAGGTAGTGTATCCTAATGGACAGGTCAGGGTCGAGAGCCCTCACAACGTCGTCCCCCTTCGCCATTCAAGCTTCACGGGTGAGGACCACTCCGATTGCCTTAATTGTCGCTTCCCTACGAGGATAGGAATGCCTATTATAGTCGACGACGTAAACAACGGTCAAGGTCCAATGAAAGGAGTCATAGTGGACGACATCGACTCGCTCATTCGCATCCGTTGGGAAGATGGTACCGCGACGGATTTTATCGATCCGTCTAATATGACCTTTCGATTCGATGATGCGAACAGTACCAATACCAACTATTGATTTTTTTGGGGGGGAGGCATGTCGCTACTCGCGATCCACACGCGCACGTCGAATACGGTAGCGCACGCCCGTGACGTGAGACGTGACGTGACGTGAGACGTGACGCGGAGACGCGACGCCTCTCAATCCAACCCCGTCTCCCATTGCTCTTTATATACCTTACATTGGCTAACTTACGCTACGACTTGGGTTAGTCATATTGGGACTCTACTGCCGCCTGTGTAGATACGCCATTTATTCTCACACCCGCGCTCGAAATTCGCCGCTTCCACCTTGTTCTCGAAAATTTTCACTCTGGGCCCGATGCAGCCATATGTTCTCGACTTAGCTGTAGTTTCCCCGCGGAATTCCTCAGGGAGTCCTCGCCTCTCAAGTTCCTCATACTACTTCTTCTTCTTCACCACGGTAGACCTCTTGAGGAGACTTGTGGCTGATACCGTATGGTAGCGGTGGACTATGCTCTCATCGAGAAGGGTTCTGCTCAGGGGTTGGCGATTACTTATTACATAGAGGAACGGCCTTGGGGTAGATCCTCTCAGTCTACGAAACATCGGTGACGGAGTAGTAGTAGTCGGCAACACCAAACAATGCCTTTAAGGCATTGCCTTATGACTTACCAGATAGGCGTCCCTTTTCAGAGGGGGAAACGGTTTCGGACAGCAGATGTGTCCGACCCGTTTCCTGCTCACTACCTCGGTTGCCCCCCGCAGACTCTAATAAGATCCTATTATACCTGGTAAAGGATAAAAAGAGCCCATCCCAGTCTGGGGGTGAGTAGTAGGGGAGGTTGTGGTGGTAGTATTAGGAGAGGTTGTGGTAGGAGTAGCAGCTTGTTGTTGAATGAAAGTCGTCAATGCTGCCGTGAGGGCATCTATCTTCTTCTCCAACGTCGCTGTAATACCAGTAACAGTTGAGTCTGCTTGGTCTCTATTTGAAGTGGTAGTAGTAGTGTCGGCTACAGGCGTGTTATGAGGGCTTGTTGGCGGTGATGTGGTATTAGTCTCCACAGGTGACGGAGTAGTAGTAGTCGGCAACACAGGGAAGCCTGAAAGAAATAATGAGTATACCAAACAAATTGTTTGAAACAATGCCTTATGACTTACCAGATTGACGTCCCTTTTCAGAGGGGGGACCGGGTTCGGACAGCAGACGTGTCCGACCCGTTTCCTGCTCACTACCTCGGTTGACCCACGCAGACTCTAATAAGCTCCTATTGTACCTTGTGAAGGAGATCAGGAGCCTCTCCCAGTCTGGTGGTGAGGTAGAAGCAGGGGCAGGAGTAGGGGCCTCGCGGCGCGGCCAATAAGGCCGCCCGCCTTGCCCCCATTGTAATGATCTTTTGTTTTAAACCATTCTAACATTAGTGATAGATGTGATAGACGGCTATAGAGGGAGACAAAAATCTGAGGAAAATTTGGGAATTCTTGCTGCTTTCTGTGTCAAGCCCTACAGTAAGGTTGCTGCTGGCAGGAGAACACTAAAAACCACTGCCAGGTATATGATCACAACTTCTTATTGTTGTATATCCGTGCACGACAGCAAGATGCCTATATTTGACGGCAAATGCAGCATCAGTTAACTTCGAAGCATCGGATCTCCAAGAAGGTCCCACTTCTATGCGGGCCATCATTGATGATGTTGTTGTACGGTACAACTTGTACCATACGAAGAGTCCTCTACAGTGTCGAGATATGAGGGTTCAGTCTCAACTACTGATAAATGTAATTTTTCTACACGGGCCGCGGATAAGAGGATATGGGAGCACATTGTGTCCAAACCTACTTGCACCAAGATACTGTCTGCATACGAAGTAGGACATGAAGTGAAGATGTTTCGAATACAGAGATGATTCTGCCCAACTACGCCTACAGTAGCTATACTAGAACTCAACTCATAAGCTGTCTGTGAGAACTTAGCCCTGCACGCAATGAGCGTCTTCACTTTTCATTGGTACAGTTGCTTGCTCTATGAGAAGTCGGTCCACATAGGGAGCATAATTTATTCTTCCATCGACGCTCTGACTCCTCCGGGGTAATTCCAAGAGCCATCCTTGAGCTTCCCAGCTTTATTGATGGAGGTGAGAGCTTCATGGGTTTCGAGACACTTGTAGTTAGAGGCTTTATAGGCCGGGCAGGATCTTGGGCAACTGGTATAGTGAAGAAACTTTGGCCTGGCGGAGGATTGCTTCGCATCCTTTTGTAGGAATACTGCTGAGAATTCCTCCTCTCCTGTCGGGCTCGGCGTTTATCACGTCGCCGACGGACCGGAATCTTGAGGAATTCGTCTATCGAATGATGGCCTAGATCCTGGGCAGTCTTGATTAGCTTTTGTTGGAACTGCTCTTCATTCTCACAAGACTTGAGTTCCAGTAAGAAAAGGCGACCAGTGAGATCAAGAGCCGTTCCTTGATATGTGGTAGAGAATCGTGGGGTCGCTTTGACCATGTCTGCCAATAAATTTTATTGAATAAAACTCGTCGACATTTCCAGTTAATAATTAAGTTGCGCTCAGTGGTGAGGGAGGTGAAGAGCTTTCTCTCTATCTGGGAAGATTCTTCCCATGGACGTGAAGCTGTATAGCGATCACTACTACTCCAGCGTCGGAGTACGACTGTGAACTTCTCGGGATTGGTGAAGAAAGTATGAGCAGGGCTCAGTATTTTCTACAATAGACGTGAACATTGCTTATACCACTCGATGGGCTTTGTACCAAGTTCTTCAACACGAGTTACCTGAACTTTTTTGTCCAATATGGACTCAGCGAGGACCATCTGGTCGTGCACATATAACCATGTACCAAATCTACTCTTCATTGATGGCAGGATAGAGTCCGCCACCAATTCGTCACGGATAACTTCGCGAGGGTAAGGCAGCGGTAACAGCAAGAAGTTTCAAAGGACTTGGATCAGCTGTACATGCTTGTGTTGATCGCTGCAAGTTACGCATGAAGTCTCTGTAGTCCAATACAGGAGTATGAACATAAGGTCGTCGGAGAGTCCTCAGGATTGCAATCCTTATTGTAGCGTTGGCGTGCATTATCAACTGCGCACTCCAATGGGGTATCATATACGCAGAAATCGCTCAATGCTAACCCATAGCTCGCAATGAAACGAGGAAAGTGTAGACCAAGATCACGTCCACTACGGTCGTGGAGAGAGATACCCTTCCAACCAAGTCCTTCAAGGTGTCTAGCACCAAGAACATGCTAGGCACGCAATCTAGCGGAGCGACGCAATTCAAGTCCATTCAGTTGAGAACGCCCACTACTATTTAAGACAACACAAAAGTGAGCATCTCGAGAGAAACGTAGTAATCATTTTTCGCAATCCACAGCTTTAGCAGTAATCTCTGAAACGGGCATATCCCGGCCTTCTTTACATCGTTCCCAATCATACATATCTTCGATATTAATACCAGCCTTACACAAGCACCGTCGGCACCACCCTGGAGGGCAAATTGAGGATTCTCGCGGGTACATTTCTGCCAGGAAGTCCCGGACGAACTCAGCGAATCTTTTTTCGAGTATAGCAGCTCTGCATTCTCTTAAAAGTGTCAACATATAATGAATGTTGTGAATCGTGATAAGCTTCGCACACACCGGTTCCTTAGCAGCGATGGAGTGTAAATACGCACGAGTATACCCCTTCTTGCAGGTCGGGCATGAACATCTCGGATCGATCGGTTGAAAATCAAAACGGTAGTCTGCGCGGTTTAAACGCATTTGACCGGAACGTACGAGAGCAGTTCCGAATCTCGCCGTACCTGTGGAAAAATTCTGGGAAATTCTCATACACTTCGAATTTTATGATTTCAAGCGAACATATATTTCATATACAACAACACGAAGAGAGAACTTACGTGTGGGGTAAACGCAGTCGAACATGTCGACGCCTAGTGCGACACAGCATATGATATCAAGAGTGTAACCGACTCCCATGAGGTAACGCGGACGGTCCGTGGGCAGTCCTGAATGACAAAGTGGGGGAAAATACTGAAAAATTTCTTGTTGGGTTTTATACATCGTGTATGACCGAGAACCGAGTAAAACCGAGATACATTCTAACAGTGGAAAATGTATAAGTGAGAACAAGAAAATTCCGAGGAAAATTCCTGTTGGTCTTCGTACATTTTTACCCGAATTCGAATATAGACTTTCGTGTTCAGTGAGGAAAACCAAAATATATTCCAACACTGAAAAGTGTGGGGAAATATATAATAGTGACGGTATGGAAATTCTGAGGAAATTCGGGGATTTTTTTTACTTTTGTACACTTCTACCCGAGTTCGAATATAAACTTGTATCACTCCACATATTCCAAAATTAGAAATGCCATTAAAATAATCAAATTCCATATGATTCCAGTTCCCAAATTCCAACAACAGCAAAATATTACCCTCGGGTTGGGCAGTGCACTGTTCGACGACTTGCCAGAAGGACTCCTTAGCCTCGCCACCGCTGAGCCCTCCAATAGCATATCCCGGCAGTTTGCGTTTCTGAGGGCAGCCAGAATGTATGTTTGGTTTCCTCAACTGAGTTCGTGAGTTTCCTCATTACTTTATGAAAATTCACAAACGATTTTGGGTGGAAATGTACAAAAACGCTGGAAAATTTTTAGATTTTTTTTTCATAATTTCTATATTTTTACTAACAAGTGTAGCTGACTATGTGCATAATATGCACGTCAGCTACACTTGTGGAAGTATATGCACTGCATATACTTCCACATTTTTCGCATTACCTTGATTTCTGCGAGGCACCAACTTCTGAGCTCACGGTCGAGGCCGCCCTGGACGATACCAAAAAGATTCTGTTCGTGTGGTCGTTTATGGGCAGCAATACATCGATCGAGCCAACGAATAGTTCTTTCAACGGCATCCTGAAGTGGTACAAAATCGGACCTATTTTGTATCTTGCATGGTTGAACCTAAGATTCTCACCTTCATCCTAGCACGATCCTCATAAGTGCTGCTGACGACATCGTCTAAGGCCATCATAATATCCGCCCCGATTGAGTTTTGAATCCCCATAGATTCTTCGGGGGTTAACATCATCATTTCTGAAAAAGATGCATATCTTAGGTTCATGCATGGAAGATACGAAATAGGTCCGCTCACGGACCTTTAGTCCGGGGGTTCTGGAAATGGACTCCTTCCTCACTAATAGACAGAAGCTTTAACAAGCTGACCATCTGAAAGCCGCCCGAGTCTGTCAGTAAATTCCTTGGCCAATGCATGTACCTGATGACATGTAGAATTATACCAGCAATAAAGTCTCGACAAGGATTAGATCCCCAAGCCTTTGCCATACTAGCAGAGCGCTCTACCACTACGCTACAACGCTGATTACTCATGTAGTCCGCCGACTTTTTGCAATAATTCAGCACCAGGACTCGTCCCGAGATGATATGTATTGGCCAGTATGATCTCCGGACCGAGCTCATCTACCTCTTCCGAGAGTAGTCCCTTGATAGTACCTACAGAGGGAAAACTAGAAACAGGTTAATGCAATGAGCGGCTTCACCGTAGGTGCCGACTGGCATGAAAACGGGAGTCTTCACTGGCCCGTGGGGTAAATGAACAACACCAGCGCGAGCTCGGCCGTCCGTGCCTGAAGACGTGAAGTTTTCGATGTTGTTCAAGTCTACAGCTGTTGTGGTAGATTTATTCATTTTGTGGTGGTGAATGTAAAACTTCGATCGCATACTACCTTGCAGCTCGAATTGAAGAGCTTCTCCTGGTTTCAATGGGCTTTGGTAGTCGCCCTTGAACCGCTTCGGCTCGGGACTTTTGGACCTGTTCGGGCCGGGCGTCTCGGAGTGCTTCATTGACTGGGCAGACTAAGCTGAGGAAAGCAGGAGAGAGTGTACTTGAAAACACTAAGTAGATTTTGTGAACGATGATAGTTGACGAGATTGACTCCATGTCGCGGGGTTAATCGTAGCGACTTCGAGGATGCTCAAGCTGACAACCGCTGGGTTATTAAGAGTATTAAAATGCATGTCCATACCTTTCAAGGGAAGCCAGGGCTTTCCGAACAGAGGCTCTTAGACAAACCACTAATATTTGTATAAGGTCCTGTAGCTCAGTGGTTAGAGCGACGGTCTTATGAGCCGTAGGCCGCGGGTTCGACCCCCGCCGGGACTATTTTTCCACATATTTCGTTGTTCGGTGCATCTTATGTTGAAGCACTTTATGTCGGGTATCTTCTGCTCCAACTGGAGTTTACACTCGAGGATAGACATTGTTATAATAGTATTTGTCGCTGCTCAGGTGAAAATCGACAATTTCATTTTTTCTTGACCACACGGCGTCGTCTACCCTTACTGACGCTCGAGCCTTCTCTACTACTATTGCAATTGTGTGTATTCGTTTACGTCATTTTGGCATCGAACTATGATGGGTCTCGGCCCGAGACGGATCTAAGATGTTTTTAAGTTTTATATTTTTTCCATTTCGTATGCCACCGAACACTTCTGCGATACCACTCCGCCGCCTATTCAGCACCTCAGCCGCCGCACATGCCACTTTGAAGCCTCCTAGAGCGTCTACCATAAATCCCCCTGATGTGAGGAGCACGGCAGCCTTGGGAGTATTACAACCACTGACATCTTCAGAGTCGCTGCATCGTGCTGAGGTGAGCTTCGCACGGTTACTGTGGACTTATTATCACTCAGGTTCTAAGTGCCCTCCCGGGAGTTACTCTTAAATCAACCGAAGTGGCAGAGGAAGGTAGAATTTTTATAAAAAATCTAATTTTTATCGAGTTTTTAATACCAAAATTTTAACGAATCAATGTGTGAATTATCTACATCATGTTCATTAGATGAGCTAGAAGCAGTAGTCGAGAATTTGCTGGTCCAGGTTGATCGCGATGGAGATTCATTAACTACTTTACAGTGTATTGCAGGTAAACGCTGATTACATTCGGAATTTTTGAGAGTGATTTTTCATCAGTTCTCAAGGAGTTGACCAAGACCGTGGAAAGTGCGGAAACAGCAACTAGAAATATGTTATCTGATGGGAGGCTACAGCACTTAGTCAACAGAACAGTCTCGATAGCTACTGCGGAAAGCGCATCGTTGAAATGGTCGGACGTGATTGCTCTGATGGAAAGTTTCGTGAAGGTAGTGCGGAAGGTCCCGGGTTCGGTCCCCGCATATGACATCTTTTTTCAGTTGCGTTTGAGAGCCCCACTGCGAGATGTAACTCCAATATGTTTTCGCTTTATGAAAAATGTGGAGCCAGCAGAGATGAAAGAAAAATTACGACAGGTATGATTATCGGAATTCTGAGGGAATTTTGGGAAATTCTTTTTAGTTTCTATACCCGACCTCGTACGAATAGAAAGACTCAGCAGAATTTTTCCAAAAATTTCCTGAAAATTTTTCATATTGTCACAATCATACGTCGTCGATTATGTGCAAATTTTTCCCACACTAGGTAAAAATGAGTATTTTTCGGAATTTTTCTCTGCAAATTTCTATATGTTGGTTTTTATCGGGCCTGTGAAATCGCAGTGATGGAATATACGTTTGCTTTCCTTAGCTCAGTAGACGAAATTTTTTTGGAAAAAAATTCTCAGAACTTTCACATGTGCATGTGTTGGAATATATATGTTTGCTTTCCTTAGCTCACTTGAGGATAAAATATAAATTTTTCTCAGAATTTTTTTTCGTTTTTTTTCAGGCTGGTCGCACTCTGCAACTACTCGGCCAAGGCATGGTCTACCACCCCGAAGTTTTCGATTTCACATGCCACAGCGCTGAGCGTGCTAAACTGATGGACCCTCACACGATGGCTCTGGTAGGGTAGCGTCTACTTTCACAAGGGTAAATTCTGACGAACACTTGTTCGCTTTTCTCAGCTGAGTAAAAGTGTATAGAAACCAGTGAAAATTTCCCAGAAATTCCTGAAAATTTTTTATGTTGTCACCATCACATGTGGTTGACCATATGCATATTTTTTCGTACTGCTGATCAGTGTTGGAGGAATATATGTTCGCTTTCCTCGGCTGAGCTCAGGAGTTTCCTCATTAATTATAGAAGTTTATATACGAATTTGGGTAGAAGTGTACAGAAACCAATAAGAATTTTTAGAAAATTTTCATATTTTCCGGGAAAATATGCGGAAAATGAATATTTTCGTGGGAAAAATTTTTTCCAGGTTCTTTATGAGGCCGGTCGTCATGGATTGCGAACTAAACATTACACTGATGTTATTGTTCCTGCAGCAGCGGAATTAGCACCGAGTAAGTGCGTGAAAAATTCCGAAGTTGTTGATTTTTCACGCACAGATATGTCGTTGGAAGATCTGCGTTTGTCTATGCGTGGGCTGATGAGATTTGTAAAGGACTGGAGGGCATTTTTCGATGTAGGAAATTCACTAAAACGACTTTTCGATGCGGACTTTTTGCGAAAATTCCCCTGAATAAACGCAAGTGTTGAGGTGCTCAATCGCTACACCTGAGTTTACTAGACTGAATGTTAATCTATTTTCCATTCCCAAGTCACGACCCGTCCTACTCGATAATATTTGAGTTCCACCCGTTTTACGTGAAGTGGCGTAATACTCCATGTGAAAAACGCGATATGAAGTGAATTGAAAATACACATCACATGTTTTACGCGAAGTGAAATGTGAAATATTTATTACTAGTTTTTTTTTCATATCACTAGGGTGAAAGTCCATTGTTTTTGAAGTAGGTGATCTGCATCAAGAGTAGTAGAGTACACGATGAGCTCTCTAATATGACGAATGAATCATTGATAATGCTGATGAGAGTTTGTAAAGAACTGAAAGCCTCCAGAAAATACAACGGTAATATATGTATGCTTTTCTTTATTATAGGAGTTGGCATATCAATTTGGAGAAAAAATGTGAAATTTTCCGAAAAATTTCCTCAGAATTTTCATTTTTTCTTCGATTTTGCGCTATAAATGATTTCCATATCTATATTTTGCAATATATTGGAGTTTCACCATAGTGATATGAAAAATACATTTCACGACTATTGCATATCACCGCGAATATCGCGTTTTACACCGAGTTTTACGCCACCTCACGTGAAGCGGGTGAAACTCCATTAATATAAATATGTTTATAATATTTCCTATATATTGATATTAATATATGACCACTGTATAGTTATACACTGTAATCAAGTTTCACCACCCTAGTGATATGAAAAACACTAGTGAAAAACACATTATCGCGATTTTCACATCGCGTAAAACGGGTGAAACTCCAATGCAGGTTTTGTGATTTTTTTTCAGATACTCACAAGGACATTGCCGATGAGATATCACAGCGCTTGAGTCGAAGAGAGTTCAGCAGCGAGGAGCAAGGCATGGTGTCAATGTATATGGACAAGGACACTAGGTAGGTGTATATTGGAGTTTCAGAGTGGCGTAAAACTCGGTGTAAAACGCGATATTCGCGGTGATATGCAGTAGTCGTGAAATGTGTTTTTCCTATCACTAGGGTGGAACTCCATTGAAAATTTTGAGAAAATTAGTATTGGTTTTTGTATTTTTTGGTAGATTTGTATTTCCCTGCATTTTCGTGTAGGAGAAAATAATGATATTGGTGATAATATGAAAATTCTGAAGAAATTTTGGGAATTTTTTTGTAGATTTTTACCTGGATTCGTATGTAGTAAAATGGCGATTTCTCGATTTGCATAGACGAAGACACGCGGAGAGCGTGTTGAAGATAATAAGAAAATTTCGGGAAAATTTTTGTATTTTTTTCCAGATGAATTCGTATTTTCCTACGTTTTTATGTAGGGAGAAATAATAATGTTGGTGATAATATGAGAATTCTGGAGAAATTTTTGTATATTTTTCTTCGGAGTCGGTATTAGTAAGGAAACTACTGAGCTCAGCTGAGGGAAGCAAACATATATTCTTCCAAACAACTGTTTTTTTGTTTTTTTGTGTGTTGTTCGAAAGATCGAAATGCAAGTTTTGGAAAAAAAGATGCTATTTTCACTCACGACGAGTATTTATGTATTTAGATCGCAACAGTTTTGGAATATATATTTACTTTCCTCCGACGAGCTCATGAGTTTCCAAAGCTAATACAATTTTGTATACGCATTCTGGCAGAAATGAGAATTTTTTCTCCTCAGAATTTTCACACATGTAGTTGACCATGTGCATATTTGTGTAGTAGAAAATTTTGATTATTATGATTGTCAAATTTTAAAGGGAACTTATCAATGGAGTTTCACTCGTGAATTTCGTATTTCACGACAGGGTTTTCACAGAGTACTACGCCACTCCGCGAGTGAAACTCCAATATTACATCTGCACTGTGAATATTACGTCGTGATGAAATCTGAAATATTTTTCAATGTAGGTACCCGCCAGCGGTGTATGATCTCGCATATGCAATTCAAAAAGATCTAGCCCGACAGGTACCTCTACGTGTAGTAAAATTTGGAAGCGTGTTCAGGTTGCTGAATCGTGTGTGGACGTGTCGGTAGGAGTGCGAGAGCTACTCTCTGTTACTGACATCGTGGATCTGCTGGACTGCTGGGCGTCGTGGAATCTACCGGTTGAGCACAGACTGTGGGAGGCACTGTTGAATGACTTAGCATTGTGTCGGCTATCGGAGATCAAGTAAGATTTGGAAATATGTTTGATTTCGTATGTTTTCTTATTGCATTATGAGGGTAGAAGTATACATAAATCCAACGATGATTTCCTCGGAATTTTCACATACACATGTAGTTGAGCATGTGCGTATAATCTCGGTAGACCTACGGTTGAGGCATGCAAGTTGTTTTAGGTATAGTCCGAATATTAGTCTGTGGTCGGGAGTGACATTATCGTGCAGCAAGGTATGTTCGTGGGGGTTTGTATTGTACGGTCTCCCAGTCCAACAGGATAAGTTCAGGGATGCTAATCTAAAGGTCCCTGGATCGAATCCTAGTTGCTTCTGGTCTTTGTGAAGATTATATTAGCAATCGAGTGAATCGAGATATCCCTTATTGTTCTTGAACTGAAATCGCTGGAGTCATGCAAACACCGAGTTTATATATGAATGCTAGTCGTAAATCAAGACCACGTGTTGTATGGACGATTCACTCCATACAGGGGGGGGATGCTCTTATTTTTATCAGTGGAGTTTCACCGCCCTAGTGATATGAAAAACACATTTCACGACTACTGCATATCACCGCGAATATCGCGGTGAGTGAAACTCCAAGGTATTTCACGACACTAATGATATAATATTTTTTTTCGCGTAAGTGTTGAACGTGAGCTCCCAACAGTGTTGTCCTTCGAAATTCGATTTGCAGTCGGCGTCGTTATCTCCCCAGCTGTTGCAGGTTAATTATTATCACAGCACGTGGATGTCTATGGTCTGCGATATCGGCCGAGACCCGTTTATGTTGGATAAAATCAGCTTTTGGCAAACTGGACAGTTTCTCGCGGCGATTTCTCGGTTGGGACTATTCGATGAGAAATTGTGAGTTTTTTTCGGAGTTTTTTTTTATTTTATTGGAAATTTTCAGATACTCTAATGTGGCTGATGTCATCACGAAGGACATGAGTTTGTATAAGGATCCGGAAACGCTGGCATCAACTCTATGGGCGATGGCGAAAGTGGGTGATTTTTTCCGTCAGTGAAAAACGGGCGTTTTTAGTCTGGATTCGTCCAAGGGAACTTCGTGGAAGCGTCGTTGGCGTCGGCGAATTCGATGATTAATGCAACTAACAACAACATGAATGCGTGGAGTCAAATTTTGTGGAGTCTTATTCAGCAAGGTAGTTCTCACTGATGCTCCACCACCCTAGTGATATGGAAAACAGTAGTATGAAACATATTTCACGACTACTGCATGTCACCGCGAATAACGCGTTCTTTACCGGTAAAGCGAGTAGAACTCCATTGTTGAAGTGGGAGTATATGTTCGCTTTCCTCAGAGAATTCGAGTAGAAATGTACGGAAACCTACAGAAAATTCCCGAAATTTCCTCAGAATTTTCATATTGCAACAGACCACGTGATATGCATGTCGTCAGGTTGCGACCCAAGCAGTGATACACGAATGGCGAATATTGTGGAATTCGTAGCGCAGTTGCCAGTCCCAGTTCATAGGGGACATTTTAGAAGACTTCATCAAGCGGCTGACGTCCTTGGGGAGGAGTCTCCCATGCGAAAGTATTGTATTGGATGATTGGAGTTTCACCCTAGTGATATGAAAAACATATTCCACGACTACTGCATATCACCGCGAATATCGCGCTTTTCACGGAGTTTCACGCCAATAACGGGTGAAACTTCATCATAGTTTAAAAAAATTTGTAATTTTCATGAGAATCGATTTAAAACTATATCGTTAACATTGCTATGAAAATGTGATGTGATAATGGTAACTTTTCGAGACTATGATAGCGACAAGTTATTCACTATCATTAATCCCAGAATAAAAAACGCACAATCTTTACATTTGTGTTGGAGGAAATTTCGGGAAATTCTAATTTTTTTTCTGTACACATTTTTTGTATGTATGAGCTGATCTCGGGAGTTTCATCACTAATTATAGAATTTCACAGAATCTTCATATTCTCACCATCACATGTTGACCATGTGTATATTTTCTCACATTTCTTTGTGTAGGTATTTAACACATCCACTGAGCAGCGCCACCGCTCTTCCTCCTAGAGATAGTAGACGTGAGTTTGACGGTAATCGATTATGTGAATTTTCCCGTGGATTTTAGGTATTCAAATTACTAATCAAATTGCCAAGGTTTTGACAGAAAGCGGCCTTCTACCGACTCGTGCGATTGGTGAGTGAAAATAAAATTTGAGGAAATTCTCATGGACTTTGGTGAATTTCTATATTCAGCTGAGGAAAGCAAAGATATATTTTTACTGCAGATACTCGTGTGATGGTATCGCCGAGTTGCAGCTCGATATTGGATATCGCTATTAGTGCGGAAGGAAGCGGCTCGGCTGCTACTCCCGTCAGTGGTTTTATTATTGCGGCTGGTGACACTGACCATAGACAGATGCGTGAGTGTTCGATTGTAGTTGGTGAGAAACGCCATATTCGCGGTGATATGCAGTAGTCGTTAAATATGCTTTTCACTAGGGTTTTTCATATCACTAGGGTGAGACTCCAATATTAAAATTCCAATTTTTTTTATTTCTGTGCACATCTACCTGAGTTTTGTAGATAGTGAGGAAACTCCTTATTTTTAATATTCATTGTGGTTGGTGACAGTGGACAAATGCGCGAGTGTTCGGTTGTAGTTTGTGATAATATGAAAATCCGAGGAAACTCTTTGCATAGTTAGTGAGGAAATACCCGAGCTCTGCTGAGGAAAGCGAACATATGTGAATTCATTCAGGAGTGGTTCCCGCAAGCACCGAAGGTTCGAATAGTTATTATGGTGGATTTGGCATGAAAGTTCAGCCCCATGCTGAGCATGAATTTGAACATATACGTACCGGGCAGAATTTGATGTACCAGAGGATTTTGACTCGACGAGGGTTGACGGTTTCGATCATCGGTGAAAATGAGTGGAAACGAGCGCACGAGAGGTAAGTATCCTTGAATTGATCGAGGTTCAAGTTGGTGTTTTAGCGGTGAGGAGAAAGCGTTTTTGAGGAAGAAATTGGAGGAAGTTGGAATGGCATGCTGATTTGTGGTAGCGTGTATTTGTTTCTGTTCAACAGTTTCTGGAAATGCCTGTTTGTTGTGTTCTAAAGTGGTACGAGTTGCTCGTGTGATGGTATTGGAATGGTATAGCAATGAAATGCTTGATAATAGATTTCATACGTTTTTAAATAGTGTTGATAATAATAGTTAAATAGTGTCTGGAAATGGTGTTGGAGGACTATATTGCTTAGGAAAGGTGAAAAACTTCTCCGCGGTTCAAACCGTGCTGCCAGAGAGTTGTCTTTCTTTCTGGTTTGGGACAGCGATTGACACAATTCCTGCCGGCACAATGGATAGTTTGAGTCCTTCAAGCTGCCAAGCTAGTCACACAAGTCAGATTGTCTTGACAATCTGGAGTAGTATATGTCTTAGGCGTATTATGTATCTTTTTATATTTCCTCAGCTGAGCGAAGGAGTTTGTACGATTATGATAGACTGGAAACATCTACAAAGAAGAATTTCTGCTTTTCGCTGCAGTTTATCATTGTGTATTCGAACCCGAAACGATGTAGGAGTTTGTTGCGTTGATCATTTTCATAAGTTATTACCTCAGCTGCTGTTGGGTTTTATGTTGACGGGAAGACAACTTATTCCATTCGAGAATTCATATCCCTGCAGTAATTCGACAACTGAGAAACGCGCGTGTGAGTTCACAGTTCAACGCTGACAATATTACTCAGTACCGTGGCATAATATGCGGTCCTCTGACAGCCGCATGACGATCCCACTTTTCAATGCAACACCCCACAGCATAAGAAACGTCTATGGTGACCAATAAGACCTGCGTCGGTTATATTAAAGTAATTACTCCGCAGAATAACTCCGACCGCTTCTCGAATTGCCCATTTGGTGATATTCGTGAAACAAGTCAGACGAAGATGGAATCAGCCTAACTGATTGGTTACGATACATCTCTTCGAGAGTACTATCGTCCACTGCCCACGATACCTATCAAAAATACCAATACTTTTCACCAGGTAACAGTCGCCTCACGTTGGCGTATTGATCAACATCACTATATTCTCCATCATATAAAAGCGATTGTCGGCGATTTCTCCACCATCTTTGAATAATAACTGCAGCCTGGAAAAAAATCGATATTTTCTTGCCATAATCAAATCGGCTCACTTGAGTTGTCACTGGCAGATCAATATGACGCAAAGCTTGTTGAACTACTGCTTCGACTTGCTGTACCAAATCTGACCAAAATAATGAGTATCATTGGAGTTTCACCCTAGTGATATGAAAAACACTACCGCGTTTTTCACATCGCGTTAAACGGGTGAAACTTCATTGAACTCGTTACCAGTCTGGTCGATAATGTGTCGCTCCACCAGTATCGTCTCCAGCATTCTTCTCACGCTACCATGGGCACCAGCAAACCACAGAGTAACTCCCCGGCCTTGCAATTCTACAGCGAGCTCTTCTAGGCCCTAAAACGACGTCAAGGGAGTATATAAAGGTCTTTCACTCACCTGAATAGCAGTAGCGTCGATGAATGGCACGGCAACCATCTGCATCACGACCGCCTGGACCGACTTGCGGCAGTGACGACTGTATCTCTGCTCGGTATGTAGTAGCCTATATCAACAAGCATAATACAAGCCGAACAGTGTGGGATAATATATACGTGTCAGTGGCTCCGACATGAAATTTTGAGAATTTCTATCCGAATGTGCATAATTAGTGATAAAACTCCTGAACTCAGCGAGCACATATTCCTCCAACAAACCCCACTGACTTGTCTTTCACATGATCCCAGTTGACAAACAGCAGCGGACCATCGACACCAAAAACCAACAGGCCGGGTATGGTCTTGGCAGTAGTAGGCCAGTATGCTAAGGCTCGCCAATGGCCGTTTGACAATCTGAAGAGAAACTACACATTTTCGGCGACTTTTTGGAGCAATGTCGGGGAAATAAATGTTCGCTTTTATCAGCTGAGCTCAGAAATTTATATTTGAATTCGGCTGGAAATGTTCAGAAATAAGCAAGAATTCGCCTAATTTTCCTTAACAACGACAGAACATAAAGTTAACCATGTGCATATATCCCCCCACAGTTCGCGTCACTCACCTGCCCATAGCGTTCGTTGGTGGCATCGCAATTTGCTGTACCATTAGAGTCACCGACAAAACCATAGACAGAAAAACCCCCTGGAGCAGGCCCATCAACAGTGTACCTAACAAAAACATGAAATAAAGCATACACCTTCGATCTGTGCATTTCCTGTGCGATTGTTCACTCAGATATCACAGCAGCTACATCAGTTGAAATAGAATAAACACATATCATCCAAAGGACCAAAAAATACGATATCGCTCTTAACTCCGGCTTATGCCGTATATTGACAAAAACTGATGTGCATCGTGGCGAACCAGAAATGCTGGAATAAAATCTCATGCCGGAAATCAAAACCGCCACAGCCATTTTTCGATGACTTTCACCAGCGAGCTTACCTCCAACAGCTACCAACCAAACGGCAAAATCTCGTTTAGAATTGTGCCATAACCATCTCGCAAAGTGAAAGTCGGTGAGATGGGGCGTTGCCGATATGATGATTCCGGCGAGGGCCGCATTGGGTATCCAATACCTGTCAAAAACAATTGTCACCGCATTTAACGAGCTATGGTCAAAAATGCAGTACTTTAAACTCACGCTCAATAAAGAGAAAACAAACGATTGACTACAGTTATGTCGCTGCAATTCGCAACTGCGCGATTCATACACGGTAGCAGAGGACTACAATGATGAATAGAAAAGAACCTCACTCACATCAGTGACGTTAAAAAGGTAAGTCCCCCAATAGCGATGAGTGCAGCGACAATACCGGCAACCTGACAGGAAATTACGCTACTGCTGTAGTAGAATGTCTCACCTGTGTCCGCACGCCTATACTATGGCTTATGCAGGTCCTCGACAGACCGCCCTGGACCGGAAAGGCACCGAAAACTGAACCTACAACAATTTGGTGACCAAGTCGATAACTTTATCCGTAACACATCTAAGCAACATAATAGTATTACAAGAAGCTGTACAGAAAATTTTAGAAATTCAAAAAGCAAGTGCTCATCATGTTGTAGACTAAAGCCCTTACCGACGAGATTGGCGACGCCCATAACGCCTAATTCGGTGCCCGCATGAATCTCATACCTGCAAGGAATTAACTGAAGGTAACACCATTTTTCTCACCCATCAACGATAGCAAACTTCTTAGCAGCAGCGTAACTCGAGATAAAGCACATGAAAGCGACCATGATGCCATCAGGGAGAACAGCCGGTAGACCACTGAGGGGAGGGAGGACCAACGAGGGTAAACCAGGGGGAACAAGACCAACCTAAAAAGAACGACTTCGGAAACATGTACAAATAATGGAATTTCACCCGTTATATAAAAATATATTTCACAAACTACTGCATAACGCGAATATCGCATTGTTCACAGAGTATTACGCGGTGAAACTCACATGTGGGATGTACTTCTCCCATCCATCATCGACTCCAAATTCCTCCAGCAAACCGCGGCGATGTTGGCAAGATAGTGAATACGCAAGCACTGTCGTAACGGCGACTGAAATGAAACGGCAAGATGCCTTTTGCGCACTGCGAAGAATATCTAACGGTTTCATCACCAGCCACTAGTTCCTTGTAACCGGCTATGAACTGAATGCGCCGGAAATGCGTCCGATATCGCGCGAAGATCCAAATTATTCCGACTGTGAGTAAACTCAGGGCGGTGACTGCTGGTGACGCCTGAGGAAAATTGATATTACAAAATCACAGTAAAGTGCATATGGTAGTTCCCTTGAAATGAAAATTATGAGGAATTTTTAGTACACTCCCGAACTCTGCTGAGGAGAGCGAACGTATATTCCTACTCCACATGACAAAAAGATAAACCGCCGACCACGAAGGAAGCTTACCTCGTTTAGACGCAATCCGACAAGATACATATTTTCAAAGAAGTCAACGCCCTTGGGTAGGTGATGTAGACCGAAAAAGTCTTTCATAAGCGATGCTACTATCACGAACGCCGCACCTGATCAATATAAATATAAAATTATAACACCGGAGTTTCACCCGTTCTACGTGAAGTGGCGTAATACTCCATGTGAAAAACGCGATATGAAGTGAATTGCAAATACTTCACGCTTTCCACGCGTTATTCGCTGCTCATATACACACATATAAGTGAAAAACGTTTTTCATATCGCGGGTGAAACTCCAATAATATCATATTTTTTCATCATGTATCATCATCGTTTTCACTTACCAGTGACAAATCCCGACAGCGCCGGCCTGGATATAAAACGCACGAGGGACGACAGTCGAAGCAGCGCCAAAATGCACATGGCAATTCCACTGACCAGAGCCAACTGGCAACCAACCGCAGTTCCTATATGATCAGCATGAGCTCTGTAGTGGTGAAGGAGGAGACCTCACTGGTTGCCAGGTCTGGAATGTGCGCGACATGTTCACCCGTCATCAACGCCATCATAGCGCCTGTCCCCACCGACATGTGCGGCGACGTGCCAAAAAGGGCATATCTAGAAATACGCACATGTGTTGGTGAAAGGGAATGTAACTTACATTAAAACCGGCCAAACACAGGAGTACGGGCCGTTTATGAGACCAACATGTGCGATGTTCGCGTGAGCTATGCTCTGCGATATTGTTATTAACCCCAGTGTTATTCCGCCTCGCACGTCCATCTCCGCATCTAGTCGTGTGTAACGCGTTAAAACACCCACTAGGGGGATCCAGTTTTTGATAAAATCGCGCATGCGCGTGAGCGGAGCGATGCTAGGTTGTTTACTGCTTGCAGGCGTACCGCTTAGGAGGGGAGTTGCCTGAATGCGGCTTAGTGGTCAGAGTGGTTTGTTGTTTACTCACTAGAGATCTAAACATGCTAGACTCGACCCGTTTCATTGAAGCCTTTGACATTGTGAAAACAGTTGAACTTGATGACGCCATCCTTATATGAAAATTATGATAACACTTCTGAGAAATTCTCATTGGTTTCTGTACATTTCTAGCCGAGTTACACGATTAGCTCCGGAAACTCCTGAGCCCAGCTGAGGAAAGCGCACATGTACTCCTACTCCAACACTAGGGTAAGGAAGAAGAAGCCGTGGGTGCTCGTGGAACCGCTTTACGCATACGAATCAATCTCAAAAGTGCATGCACATGGTGAAATTTCAATTCCTGAATAAGGACCGTTTCGAGAAAAGCGTGCTAGTGCGTCACAATCTTGCGCAGACTTGAATTTCTCGCACGCATACACATGTCATCGCTCATCGGCTCCCAAGCACATATTATACTCCATTTTCAGTTGCCATTCAGCAATTTTCAGAAATTTTGTTTTATCCTCGTAATCTTCCCATGCGACGTCATTCCTCCCCAGGTCTACCTCCTTCTCCCATAAGTGTTATCATCGTTACATTTCTTCAGGTCCCCGCCTGCTTACCATTCCCAAGGGCCACCGTTCCCTCTCGTACGTTTCTAGTTCCCAAAAGACCCGTCGAGACAGTCTTGATCACAAGGACGTACCTAAAAGGGTAGTTATTTTAACCTTTTCGTGCCTCATTTCGTCTTCAGTTCAACCTTCGATCGACCGATACTTTTGTAGACAGTCATTTATCACGTGGCGCTCATCGCACGACACTGATGCTAAGGAGTATACCGTATTCCTACACCCCGAGGGAGCTCTTGGATGAACTCGTTCAAAAAATCGGTTTCCAGGGCGAGTAAGTTTGCTACTCAAGTGGAGAATTATTTCCAAATCAGATATGACTTTTTCTACTTACCTGTTAACAGCAAGCTTTCTTGTAATGTCGGTTACGCGTTTATGAATTTCCGCAATCCTCAATACTGCGAGCTGTTCAAAGAAGCTTTCTCTCATCACACTTTCGAGAAAGCTGTCCGCGGTAAAAAAGTCGTCGGTCAGGTACGCCTTTCCACGTGTGTTTTTTTCATTAGTTTCTCTCTGTCAGGCATCATATGCTCATGTACAAGGTCTAGATGCGAACTTGAAATACCTCAAGTGCACTCGTGTCGGCAGTCTCCCCGCTAAAAAGTCTGTTGCGGAGTTGTTCGCGCCCATGGTATTTGTCGATGGTCGTGACGAGCCCATGAGCGTACAAGAATTCTACAAGCTGCAAGAAGAACTCTTGACCGGCGTTTCTACAACTTCGTCGACTGAACCCGCTGAAGACATTTTCCTCGATTTGGACGAATCAGAGCAGCTGCTCAAATGCTTACAGGAGTTGGTTGATTTCTCGCCACCTTCGACTCCTGTATCCGGCAACCCATTCGACATATGAACATCTCTAGATGCTACTAATTTTTCTACTTTCTCGCGAACTCGTCAAGTAGTGCTTTGTAGATTCTCGTGAGGAAAATATGTTGTACAATACGAAGTCGACTTGGCTTCATGGGGTTGCTCAACAATCCCGGCATGTGGTAAATATCTTCATCATTTCCATCCTCCTCTAGAGGGGAATTTTCACTTCACTCAGTGGAGTTGCTTCTGAAGGGTCTTATGGCCCGAAAGTAGTCATGTATCGTATTACAAAACTCCGTTGAATACATTTTTACTCATGTTTCGTTTACCACTGCATCCTCAATCTGTCGTGTTCATATGTGAATTACACAAGGATATTATCAACCACCTAGATGTGATTAGTAATATCCATTGAATTGCCACAACCCCACTTCGAGAAAAAATCATCCCAACGGGGGTATCCACCAGTACTTTTCATCCTTCATGTACAATACCATTCACAAATAAAACCCCTTTGCGATTACGCGGTAATTGACACTTTGGGTAAGAACGGTAATCCGGCGTTTGATAAAAACTAAGCACACCAATCGAATATCAGCGACGGCAGCCAAGTTATACCTTTTGTTTACAAATCGTCACTGCCCGCAAACTTGTGTGAGCTTAGCTTTCTTTGCATCGCCCTTTAGATGAAATTATGGCATTTTTATATCACTCTAGTTTGATGGGCGAGTTATGAATGCCCGTTGTGCTTACCGTTCTCGGAGAGATTTTATTTCGCATTCTCGTGACCAATATGAATTCACTAATAAACTCAACCAGAGAACTGCAAGAAATAAGGTTCGATAAGTTAGACTCTACTCTGATTTTGTGGCGCGTGACACAATACAATTACTGTGAAATCTCTCTCACCACCAATAGCGAACACGTGGGGCACCTTTACCGTCTGAAAACCGACAACATATCACATCGCTCCGCCTCCAATTGTCATTACATTCTTTTCCCTTTCCCTTTCCCTTGCCATAAGGCGGATAATAGTAACCACCCATTGTCGACCACCCCTTCCCCTTGCCAACAGGTACATAATAGTAATACCCATCGTAATAGTCCCAGGACCCATAGCCTCCACGATAGCCCTTACCACTACCCTGAGGAAAGAATTATCATTATCCAGTGTTATATAACAACTAATAATTATTATATACCACACTTCCGCGAAATTACCTTTCTCCCCTTGCCTTTTCGACCGCCATATCTCGGCGCCTCTCCGAAGTCAGACTCAGAGTTCCTGACAACACAATCACGATCCACCATGAAAAACGAAACCAATATTGATGACGAAAAAGAAAACATCATTGCGCGAGTCAATACCCTTCGTGGTCGCTCTCGTCAACCTCCGAATCTGGCAAGGGCTCTTGATACCCCGGCTTGG